CGAACCATTTACTCTGAATGATACGTTCACCGAACCATTTACTCTGAATGATACATCCACCGAACCATTTACTCTGAATGATACATCCACTGAACCATTTACTCTGAATGATACATCCACTGAACCATTTACTCTGAATGATACTTTCACCGAACTATTTACTCTGAATGATACTTCCACCGAACTATTTACTCTGAATGATACATCCGCCGAACCATTTACTCTGAATGATACATCCACTGAACCATTTACTCTGAATGATACTTCCACCGAACCATTTACTCTGAATGATACTTTCACCGAACCATTTACTCTGAATGATACATCCGCCGAACCATTTACTCTGAATCATACATCCACTGAACCATTTACTCTGAATGATACTTCCACCGAACCATTTACTCTGAATGATACATCCACTGAACCATTTAATCTGAATGATACTTCCACTGAACCATTTACTCTGAATGATACTTCCACCGAACCATTTAATCTGAATGATACTTCCACTGAACCATTTACTCTGAATGATACATCCACCGAGCCATTTACTCTGAATGATACTTCCACCGAACCATTTACTTTGAATGATACATCCACCGAACCATTTACTCTGAATAATACTTCCACCGAGCCATTTACTCTGAATGATACATCCACTGAACCATTTACTCTGAATAATACATCCGCCGAACCATTTGCTCTGAATGATACGTCCACCGAACCATTTACTCTGAATGATACATCCACCGAACCATTTACTCTGAATAATACTTCCACCGAACCACTTACTCTGAATGATACGTCCACCGAACCATTTACTCTGAATGATACATCCACCGAACCATTTACTCTGAATGATACATCCACCGAACCATTTACTCTGAATGATACATCCACTGAACCATTTACTCTGAATGATACTTCCACCGAACCATTTACTCTGAATGATACTTCCACCGAACCACTTACTCTGAATGATACTTTCACCGATCTATTTACTCTGAATGATACATCCACCGAACCATTTACTCTGAATGATACATCCACTGAACCATTTACTCTGAATGATACTTCCACCGAACCATTTACTCTTAATTATACATCGACCGTACCATTTACTCTGAATGATACATCCACCGAACCATTTAATCTGAATGCTACTTCCACTGAACCATTTACTCTGAATGATACTTCCACTGAACCATTTACTCTGAATGATACATCCACTGAACCATTTACTCTGAATGATACATCCACTGAACCATTTACTCTGAATGATACTTCCACTGAACCATTTACTCTGAATGATACATCCACCGAACCACTTACTCTGAATGATACATCCGCCGAACCATTTACTCTGAATGATACATCCACCGAACCATTTACTCTGAATGATACATCCGCCGAACCATTTACTCTGAATGATACTTCCACCGAACCACTAACTCTGAATGATACATCCGCCGCACCATTTACTCTGAATGATACATCCACTGAACCATTTACTCTTAATGATACATCCACTGAACCATTTAATCTGAATGATACTTCCACTGAACCATTTACTCTGAATGATACTTCCACTGAACCATTTACTCTGAATGAAACATCCACCGAACCATTTACTCTGAATGATACATCCATCATACCATTTACTCTGAATAATACTTCCACTGAACCATTTACTCTGAATGAAACATCCACCGAACCATTTACTCTGAATGATACATCCATCATACCATTTACTCTGAATGATACTTCCACCGAACTATTTACTCTGAATGATACATCCACCGAACCATTTACTCTGAATGATACATCCACTGAACCATTTACTCTGAATGATACATCGACTGAACCATTTACTCTGAATGATACATCCACCGAACCATTTACTCTGAATAATACTTCCACCGAACCATTTACTCTGAACGATACATCCACTGAACCATTTACTCTGAATAATACTTCCACCGAACCATTTACTCTGAATGATACGTCCACCGAACCATTTACTCTGAATGATACATCCACCGAACCATTTACTCTGAATGATACATCCACCGAACCACTTACTCTGAATGATACATCCGCCGAACCATTTACTCTGAATGATACATCCACCGAACCACTTACTCTGAATGATACATCCGCCGAACCATTTACTCTGAATGATACATCCACTGAACCATTTACTCTGAATAATACTTCCACTGAAACATTTACTCTGAATGATACGTCCACCGAACCATTTACTCTGAATAATACTTCCACTGAACCATTTACTCTGAATGATACATCGACTGAACCATTTACTCTGAATGATACATCCACCGAACCATTTACTCTGAATAATACTTCCACCGAACCATTTACTCTGAATGATACATCCACTGAACCATTTACTCTGAATAATACTTCCACCGAACCATTTACTCTGAATGATACGTCCACCGAACCATTTACTCTGAATGATACATCCACCGAACCATTTACTCTGAATGATACATCCACCGAACCACTTACTCTGAATGATACATCCGCCGAACCATTTACTCTGAATGATACATCCACCGAACCACTTACTCTGAATGATACATCCGCCGAACCATTTACTCTGAATGATACATCCACTGAACCATTTACTCTGAATAATACTTCCACTGAACCATTTACTCTGAACGATACGTCCACCGAACCATTTACTCTGAATGATACATCCACCGAACCATTTACTTTGAATGATACATCCACCGAACCACTTACTCTGAATGATACATCCGCCGAACCATTTACTCTGAATGATACATCCACTGAACCATTTACTCTGAATAATACTTCCACCGAACCATTTACTCTGAATGATACATCCACCGAACCACTTACTCTGAATGATACATCCGCCGAACCATTTACTCTGAATGATACATCCACCGAACCATTTACTCTGAATGATACATCCACTGAACCATTTACTCTGAATGATACGTCCACCGAACCATTTACTCTGAATGATACATCCACCGAACCATTTACTCTGAATGATACATCCACTGAATCATTTACTCTGAATGATACATCCACTGAACCATTTACTCTGAATGATACTTCCACCGAACCATTTACTCTGAATGATACATCCACCGAACCATTTACTCTGAATGATACTTCCACCGAACCATTTACTCTGAATGATACTTTCACCGAACCATTTACTCTGAATGATACATCCACCGAACCACTTACTCTGAATGATACATCCGCCGAACCATTTACTCTGAATGATACATCCACTGAACCATTTACTCTGAATGATACATCCACTGAACCATTTACTCTGAATGATACTTCCACCGAACCATTTACTCTGAATGATACATCCACCGAACCATTTACTTTGAATGATACATCGACTGAACCATTTACTCTGAATGATACATCCACCGAACCATTTACTCTGAATAATACTTCCACCGAACCATTTACTCTGAATGATACATCCACTGAACCATTTACTCGTAATAATACTTCCACCGAACCATTTACTCTGAATGATACGTCCACCAAACCATTTACTCTGAATGATACATCCACCGAACCATTTACTCTGAATGATACATCCACCGAACCACTTACTCTGAATGATACATCCGCCGAACCATTTACTCTGAATGATACATCGACTTCCACTTCCACCGAACCATTTACTCTGAATGATACGTCCACCGAACCATTTACTCTGAATAATACATCCACCGAACCATTTACTCTGAATGATACATCCACTGAACCATTTACTCTGAATGATACATCCACTGAACCATTTACTCTGAATGATACTTCCACCGAACCATTTACTCTGAATGATACATCCACCGAACCATTTACTCTGAATGATACTTCCACCGAACCATTTACTCTGAATGATACTTTCAGCGAACCATTTATTCTGAATGATACATCCACCGAACCATTTACTCTGAATGATACATCCACTGAACCATTTACTCTGAATGATACTTCCACCGAACCATTTACTCTTAATTATACATCGACCGAACCATTTACTCTTAATGATACATCCACCGAACCATTTAATCTGAATGCTACTTCCACTGAACCATTTACTCTGAATGATACATCCACTGAACCATTTACTCTGAATGATACTTTCACCGAACTATTTACTCTGAATGATACATCCACCAAACCATTTACTCTGAATGATACATCCACTGAACCATTTACTCTGAATGATACTTCCACTGAACCATTTACTCTGAATGATACTTCCACCGAACCATTTACTCTTAATTATACATCGACCAAACCATTTACTCTTAATGATACATCCGCCGAACCATTTAATCTGAATGCTACTTCCACTGAACCATTTACTCTGAATGATACTTCCACTGAACCATTTACTCTGAATGATACATCCACTGAACCATTTACTCTGAATGATACATCCACTGAACCATTTACTATGAATTTTACTTCCACTGAACCATTTACTCTGAATGATACATCCTCCGAACCATTTACTCTGAATGATACATCGACTGAACCATATACTCTGAATGATACATCCACCGAGCCATTTACTCTGAATGATACATCCATCATACCATTTACTCTGAATGATACTTCCACCGAACTATTTACTCTGAATGATACATCCACCGAACCATTTACTCTGAATGATACATCCATCATACCATTTACTCTGAATGATACTTCCACTGAACCATTTACTCTGAATTATACATCGACTGAACCATTTACTCTGAATGGTACATCCACCGAACCATTTACTCTTAATGATACATCCACTGAACCATTTAATCTGAATGATACATCCACTGAACCATTTACTCTGAATGATACATCCACTGAACCATTTAATCTGAATGATACATCCACTGAACCATTTACTTTGAATGATACATCCACTGAACCATTTACTCTGAATGATACATCCACTGAACCATTTAATTTGAATGATACATCCACTGAACCATTTACTCTGAATGATACATCCACTGAACCATTTACTCTGAATGATACCACTATTGATCCATTTTTTACAACCACTCGACCATTTCATCTGAATGATTCTACCACCGAACCATTCCATCAGAATCAAACAACCACACGGCCATTTTATACGTATTTGAATACCACCGATTCATTTTATCTGAACCATACAACCACTCGACAATTTCATCTGAATCATACAACTTCTCAACCATTTCATCTAAATCATACAACAACTCGACCATACCATCTGAATCATACAACAACTCGACCATTTCATCTGAATCAAACAACCACTCGACCATTTTATCTGAATCATACAACCACTGGACCATTTCATATGAATCATACAACAACTCGACCATTTTATCTGAACCATACAACCGCCACTGTACAAACGACTTTGCGTAATGCAACTCCTAATAAAACTGCAGTTTCAACCCCTACATATCACGCTACCACAACAACGCCGGCAACATCAACTACCACCACGACAAGAACAACATCAACGACGACACTATCAACCACAACTTCTAAATATCCTAGAGGCTGTCAAAGTGGTTTTGCACCTGAGGGTCCTTCTGAGAGGTGTGTTCCATGCCAGCCTGGATTCTATAAGGACAGTCATGGGAGGCAACCATGTACACGATGTCCTGGAGATAGACACGGTATACATGCAGCCACTTATCCTGGTGCAACAAGTGTCGCCGAATGCACATTTGTAAGTACTATTATTTCTCATTTAAGAATCAACCAAGCAAGAGAGAAAGATAATGATGTTCTTGTTTCTAGAATATCAAGCAAGTTATTATTAAATTATTTCACCAACATCAACAATTTAGTCATAAGACCATTAGACTGCACGTTTGCATTTTTCTATTATTGTCAACTACATCCATTACTTCCTGTTCTTGGTCTATCAGAACTCAGTTTTGGGCTTAATTTCAAAGCCAGGTATACAATAGTATTGACTTGGTAATCAAGATTTTGAAAAAAAGATTTTGTTTTGTATATTCCATATCTAAGCTTCCAATGAGCCTATATATTACCATGATTATCTATATTTAAGGCTCCCTATATCGCGCATATTTACCCCAATTTTGGTCCTATGGCGGGAGGTACCATGATCAGCATTGAACTGCAACACATTAGACTTCATGAAACAGTGGTTACAGTAAATGTTGTTGGAGTGCCATGTAACATCACTAGGTAAGAACTTAATGATTCTAACGGCAGAACAGTTGTCATTCATTTGTCATTCAGTCTAATTGCGAGACAGTTTTGACGGCACCGTTTTGACTACTAAATGCATATGTTTGTAGCAATACGACCGAGGCAGATGGCATGACATCTATAGTAAACTGTAGCGCACAACGTTCGGAGGTCACTGGTCGTGGAAAAATTGAAGTATATCTCGATTTCGCCAAACTAAACCGCACCCTTGATAATGTAAACTCAACATATACATATATGGAGAATCCAGTGGTTATTGAAGTACTAAACAACAGGTCCCCTGTCAGGTACATTTACTATATCTGCTATGGTTTTCTACTCGAACGATGTGGATTATGTCCTATTGATTGTATTGTAGAACTATAGAATCATCTTTGGCTCAAGATTTGCCTTGTCTTTGTAATTTGCCTCGCCAATTTGTCGATCTTATCTAATGTTGAAATAATGTCTAGTGGAGTATACATTATACACACTCCACTCTTAGGAAAAAATGGTACATGCCCATTTATGATTTATTTATGCTACCATCCTGGAAAGCAATCTGCTACTACTGATCATGAATGTCCATTCCTTTTTGGCATTTATAGCTCAGCAGTAGATAATGGGACGAGTGACTGAGAGGTCCCAGGTTCAATTCACTGAACCTGTAATTAATTTTTTACATCTTGTTTTTTTGTCTTTGGCTGGTTTGTTTCAGTATATAAAGATATTTTCTTCATTTATTAGTTGGTCATTTCACATCGATGACATCCTTGGAACATCAAAGTCGCTTAGTCCTCAATTAGCTTTTGAATTTGCATTTCAGTGGCGGTGTTAACATCGCTATAGTTGGGAGGTACCTCACGTCTGTTAGTGACCCTGTTATAACAATTGAAGTACAGTATGAAAATACATTTGTCCAATCAAATCTTAAACAGGTAAAGCATGGTTTGATTACTTTGTATACTCGAATGAAGTTAATACTCAGTATAATGTGTTATGTTTTAGCAAGTACTTCTACACACTACCATACCTAACAACTTGAAATGCATAAGATACTTTGTTTGTCTAATTGGATTGTTTAGTATATTTTTGAAAGTACCTTATCAACATCTAACTTTCAACCGATAAACCATTAATAAGGAACAGACAAATAAAAACAAATATATAATCATTACTAATAAGCCAAATGGGTTGCTCATGAAAGCCAAATGCAAGGTATAGTAGTGTGTTCTATCTCGAGATAGACGTTCTTGGTTTTATTTTCCCTACAAATATGTGGATGTTTAATTTGTAGGTCTGTACTACTCAAAGTATGGAGTTGATGAATTGTCCAGTACCAAACTTGAGTAAAGTCGTAAATGACATCGTGAATATCACAGGGCAAAATGTCACTACAGCACTTTCAAGAACACGTTTCTGGAGTGGACTCCGTCTGGATGGTGTCAAAACATTTAAAAATCTTACAGAAGCACTGCCCAATAGCACCAACACCCAATTGCAAGTTTTCCCAGACCTTGAACTTGGAAGGTTAAATGGTGTATTTTACGCTAACACTTGGTTCCGGAAAATGACCTTGTCGATACCGGTGAGAATATCATTTATATCAAATATTAATTAACTTTTAATCATACTTCTGGCTCTGATTATATAATATAGTTCTAAACTAACAACTCATTCCAGGTGACAACTCCCTCTGAAGGTGTCAGTGCAGAAGATATGCAGGTCCAGGTTGGGGATGGAGTATGTAAAATACAACTGCTCACTGCAAGGGAGTTGATATGTAAGCTTCCGGATGAAGAACCAGGGTATGGAAAACTTGGAGCAGGACCAGATTTGTCACTATACACAATGGTAAAAATATTTGAACCATTGTTATTATTATATTGCGTCCTTAGCCTCATTCTAGATCTAAACGTGTTGTAAAACCTTCTCTTGGAATGCTTCATAAGGAAATACGATGCACAAACCAAAGCGATTTTATGCAACAGTTTTATTTCATTTCTGATGGGAGCTCCATCCACTGTACTTTAAGCAGGCTTTACCCCTCATCAGGGTCCCCAAAACAACACTGCGTCCAAAGATTACCGACATTAAACGTTAATGTATTTTGAGTGATTATTTGGCACTTATTTTCCAAGGCACGAGTAGGAGACACTGGAAGACAGTATGCAGTTGGTCACGTAAGATATGTTCCCATGGTATTGATCGTATCTTTGTCAGCCGCTGCATTCCTTTTACTTACTGTGGTAACAGTATGCACTGTAAGAAGATGCAAGCAACGCAAGTTAAAAGAGATGGGGTTCATAAATATGACAGTGCTAGGAGATGACGGTGAATATGGTAGGCACACCATAGCTATATGTATTTATAAGTCTTCAATTTGTCACTCCAAGCTTAAAGCTTCAATTAATATCTGTATTTTTACATATTCATACTAACTATCTTACTTGTCTGCAATAGTGCTAAATGTTACCTTCTGTTATAGTTGACTCTCGTATTAAGTTATCAGCTCTTGGTGATGCCTTGTTTACAATGCTTGGAGATAGAAAGCTACAATACAGTGACATTGAAATAGAAGAGGTACTTGGACAAGGTAAATTTAAAAGTCAATTTGTAGTTATCTCCTTCAATGCTTATAACTTAAAGGCCCACTTTGGGAATTTTGAACTTTTTTGGGCAAAATAAAGACTTACATTTAAATTTCATAGTATGACCAATGCATTGATAAAAGACATATCTTTCATTTGACTCCAACAACAGCTCAAATGGACCACAGCAAAGCTTACAATAAATTATCAAAAAACATTTTTGATCTTTCAAGATTTATATATCAAGGTTTTATCAATGTCATTGAAAGATGGCGAAGTTGTTTGTATTACATGATACATTCATTTTTATAGAAGTGTCGCCATCTTTTAAATCAATAGTAATTTGAAATATGCACTTTGTTTAACATGTGCATGCATGTCTAATGATCTCAGAAATTCAAATGCTTTTTCCTATTTGAGTTATTGTTTTCTTGATTCAATATTAAAGCAAATCAAACTTTGTGTCATATTTGAGCAAGTGTGTGAGTAACATGTTTCAATGATTATTTTCTTATTTTTCTTCTAACTTAAGTATAGTGCAGCTTTAATGTATTATATATAGACATATTTTTTTGGTGGAATTAACCAATCTAAAGCTTGTTTTCACAAAACGACATTTTTTATTCATGAACAGGTCAATTTGGCATTGTTTACAAAGGAATCGTACACGACCAAGATGTAGCAATAAAGACTATCAAAAAGTCAAATTGCTCTGAAAACGATCTCTCAGATTTCATGAAGGAGGCCTTGGTTATGAAGGATTTCGAGCATCCAAATGTCCTGAACCTGATTGGAGTTGCCCTGGACAATGATATCCCGTATGTCATACTCCCCCATATGGCTAACAAAGATTTAAAATCGTATGTGCAGGATGAAAAGCATGTAAGTCTACTTCCCTTTAGTTCAAGATCGATATTTGTGTTCAGATATAACTACCAAACTTGCTAATTGATATTATTTTAATTATTTAATATTAAAATAAATTAATAACACCAACACGAATTGTTATGTTCTCTCCAATTAGCAACTGAGCAGATCAAGGGAAGATATTCAAAATTCCAACTTTACCTTTTATCTTTTATGTTCTAGGTATTTAGCACACTGGAGTTGTTTAACTTTTGTCTTCAAGTAGCCAGTGGGATGGAGTATCTTGCGTATAAAAGATTTGTACACAGGGATTTAGCAGCAAGAAACTGTATGTGAGTTATCATTGATGCTTTAGTTATCTATTGGAAAATATTCAAAAAGCAATGACCTCGTTTATTAGTTTACATAAGTCCATTACCGAAATCACATATACACAGGTACCTATTCCTGTCACTGCGTAGGCATGTTTAAAAGAAAATATTACTATATAGTAAGTTTCAAATGTGTCACTGTATCTGGTCATCGTGTAAAGGATTGGTATCGATATGGTGAATTTTCACATTGTCAATTTAATCGTCATTCTTTTAATGGTAATACTATAATTTTTTCAACAATTAGTTTAGCATAAAAACGTCATTGAATTCAGTTCACCTTATCGATACCAATCCTTTACATGACAAACTGAATGATAAATAATTAGGATCCCACGTGTGGATTATTTCCTACCTCATATGATAAATTATATCACAATGAGAGAAATAATTCCTTATGTGGCCATAACCAATAAAAAATAAAACCATGAGAAAAAAAGAAGAAAATAGCTTTTAAACAGTTAAATGCTTTTTATTTGAAGCTTCTTCATTCAAAAATAAATCTAATTTTTTGCCTTGTTTATTTCACAATCGCACCCCCTCCCCTGACTGAAAACCAATTTTTGGGGGCGATCTCATCGCAGCCCCCCCCCCCCTCCCCTCCCTGACTGAAAAGCTGGCTACGACCCTGATAAGTGTAGGGATAAAATCAAATCAGATTGTACATACCTAAATTCAGCATATTGCTTCATAAGAACTACTTGAAAATACATTTCTGATATATTACTGGTAATTTATTATTTGATTTCAAATGCACTTATCATTAACATATAATTATATCCAGGGTATCTTCCGATTTGACCATAAAGATAGCTGACTTTGGCCTGTCAAGGGACATCTATTGTGATACATACTACATGGACACAACCCTATCTCGTCCCCTGCCTGTCAGATGGATGGCTGCTGAGAGTTTGCGAGATGGAAAATATAGCAGCATGTCTGATGTGGTAATATACTTCACGATATATGTGTCAAAATCAACTTCCAAAAAGAAGCGACTATGTTAGAAAATCGATTAAGTCATTCCATCATGGTATACCGGACACTCACTTGAGACTATAAATTATACATCCAGCCATAAACATTTTGACTTGAATCATTTTCAGTGGTCTTATGGTGTAGTAGTATGGGAGGTGTTTACGAGAGGGGGCACACCATACGCCGATGTAGATTCATATGATATAAAGTCGTATGTGTTGTCTGGACATCGATTGGACAAACCAACAAGTCTACCAAATGAAATGTAGGTTTTACAGACAAATACTAATACAATGTAAGCATGCACAGGCTGGACCAAATATGACCACATTTGAGAAAATTAACAAATCAATCATGTCAAGATACATTCGTTTATTAAACATCAATTATAGTTCATCAATCAATATACTTATATGACATGAACTCGCGGTTCTTTCGAAATTTTTAAATCATTATTTTGTATAATGTTGCATTGATTGACTTTTAAGATACGAGATTATGTGGTCTTGCTGGAACAGTGATGCTCATGAAAGACCCACTTTTGCAGAGATCGTAGTAAAGGAAAGAAATATTCTGGAGGAGATCGAAGAGCGCGACCAAGTACTCCATACCTCCACCACTGTGCGGCAGAGTCAACAACAACAACAACAACAACAACCAAAATGGATAAGTCAGTCGCGTTATGGGTCTCGTCTTCAAAGATTGTTCGAGAGAAAGGCAGATGCTGCTACAAATATGTATACACAAGCGTCAGCTTTAACAATGTACCATCGCCATACTGATCTCAATAAGAAACAGTCATATTCTGGCCAATCATTCAAACGTGAATACGACTGGGGTAAAATTGCACACAGTTATATCAATGTAAAACATGATGCCTATATCAACCCCGTTTTTGATTCCGATGTGTAATGCGAAATGATGAACGCTATTTCTATTTTCAGCCTATGGATCTCAGGTTAGGAGCCTATACGGGTTATATCAATATGTAGAAAAAACAGAGTTTCTGTAAATATTTTATTCAGTGATATATAAGTGTTATGTACTGGGAGGGGTTTATCCAGAGGGAGATATGCATATCTACCCGAGGGACCGTAGGGACCGAAGGTAGATGTGCATATCTCACGAGGGATGAACCCAATATCCAAACCGACCGTGCATAACTTCTTTATCCTATTCCAAGTAGAGTTTTCTAATTTTCTTTCAATTTTTTTTCAATTTTTTTTTATTTTTTCATTTTTCGAATTTTTTACAATTTTTTTTCTTTTCAATTTTTTATTTTTTTCAATTTATTTTCACATTTTTTATTTTTTCTAACTTTTTCAAATTTTTTTTCGAAGCGGGAAGATATGCCCTGGAGCGTGAGATATGGCGGGAGATATGGAGGTTCGGGATATGGAAACCTCAAAATCAGGATACGGAATATATCTTAACAACTTATCTCCCTAAAACTCTACTTGGAATAGAATAAAGAATATTATGAATAATATTATGAAAAATTATATGAAATATTGTAGTTATGTGACTTAAGTTATCGACCGTGTACTTTATCCATAATAGGATAGTTTCTAAATAGCATAAAAATCAATGAAATCTAGTGCTGCCATCTTTTATTCAGCTTTTAATTTGGGCTAGAGTTCCATTCACTTGCATGCTAAAATCCTGGAAAAGTGGCTTAATTTCATGATTTATGAAAGTTTGTTAGTTGAATCTGTATAAAACTTGAATGATATACCACATGATGACCCTGTTTATGTACATGTTGTGATTAAACATGCAAATGTTGGTTGACATACAAATAATGCAAGGTTTTAAAAAATTTTAGCATTGCATCTATGGATATTTGGCCCAAGTTTTTTGAATTTGTCATAGAAAATTATTCAAATTACATAACTGTGTAAATCAAAGCTAGCTACAGGAGAAAACATTTCACTGAATTCAAATATGCCATTTAAAAGAAGGCAATGTAAGTCATTAGAGGTCAAATATGCAAGTCTCTTAAAATCTCACGAAAAACGAGATTTAGCGCGATTTCAAAATCTATATGGAAACTATACTATTGGATCTTGTTGTTGAGTTAGATAAATATCTGTCTGTTTCCAAGCATGATTTATAGAGAAAATGTATGTCTTTATTCTGCATTAGACATGATGTTGGCACCACTCTCTTTTTTATTAAAATCAATGTAACATATTTACAGTTTGTAGTGGCTATGACCCCCAAGAGGGAGTATTAGGTGCCACATAATGGTATTTACAATGATTTGTGAAATATTATAAGAAGTGTACTTGTAATTTTGTAAAGTATGATATTGTACATAATTGAGAAAATAAACTGATTTAATGGAAATGGTTAAAGGTCTCTTCTACAATAACAGGTGCAAGCAATAAAAATGTGTAGAGTAATAGAATAAATTTCAATATAACATTATCAAATAGTATAACATGATAACATCTGATGAGATTGTACAGTACTTCAAGGAACTACTCCTCCAAGTATAGATTGCAGTGATAATCTTTAAATGACTTTTTGAGAATAGGGATGCTTTTTGAGGTTTTGATATCAGATGGTGTTTCATTCCATATAAGGTCACCTTGTACAAAAATACTTTTCTTTCAATAGTAAGTGTTAAATTTGGAGATATGGACATCATTCACTTGCCGAGTGAAATGATGATGAATGTCCATATTGCATTTATAATAATTACAAAAAAGATAACTGGAAAATCAATTTTGATTTTTTCTTAAACATTTGAACATGAATATGAGAACATTAAGATGGTAAACATCAACTATCTTTAAAATTTTAAGTTGGGCAGAGAAACCCGATGTATGCTCCCTATTGCTTTTGCATTGCATAGCTACATTTCGCTTAATTCAATATCGAATCTCCCTCAACTTAGTCACTGTTATACCTCACTAGCCTATTTATATCCGATTTTACCAAAGCGCAAGTACCACTGTCCAGAGAACGTTATTTACTTTTCAGGCGTGTTCAATAAAGAATACCAATGTAAGAGTTTAAATTTGGTAGAAAGTACGTATACATATCCATGTTAGCTGCTCTTTGGTACAGAAAACGTTGTCTATTACTATACGTAATGAAATCCAACATCTACAGACTCTACAGGTGGCATCGAACATGAACTGCTCTGCTTTTGTAGATGCGGTACATGGTCTTCATTTGATGGTCTTGTCTCCAAAGCAATTGATGCATGCGATGGAGTAATAGATTCATTATCTTTATCCATATTTTCGTCTTCGAGCTCGTCTCCTTCGAGTTCTTGTTGGCTTTGTTTGCGTTTGCGTCGTCTATACAATAGCAAGGCGGTAACTACACCACCCGTTACTAACAACACTGCAATTGGGACACTTGTTCCCGTCGCAATAGTAACGTCCTCTTGTTGTTTTTGTTCAGCTGCCGACTAAAAGTAATCAAGATATTTTATAGATAGATTCATGCCCAGGCTTTATTTTGATGCTAACCATTGAGCGTTTGCTTTTTAGGGTTTCACGTGTGTTCTCGGAGAATATGGAAGTTAAGCTACACGTTTTTAAGATAACGTTACGTGAACGTGTAATATTATGTGCCACGGGATGATGGTCCAATTGCAATTGCTTTTCTAAGAAACTAGTTACAACTATTTTTTATACCGTTATTCTTAAACGGGCAAGTAAATACAACGGAGGGTAGAACTAATCCATAGAGGACCATAATTCTAAATGTTCACGTACCATATCTCTAAAAACGTGTAGCTCAACCTTCCTAGTGAGGTGAAGTTACACGTTTCTAAGATAACCTCAAGTGCTATACGTGACCATGTAATATTTCGACCCTCGACCGCTCTCAATTCACCTTCCCGGGGACAATTAAAATTATTTCCCGAATACTTATAAACTCAATCGGCCAAGTCAATACTACAAATGGGAGAACTAATCCATAATTCTACATGTTCATGTTTAAGTGGTTTTTTTTTAAATTGTAACTTTACCTCCATGATGTCTAAAGGACCGCGAGTTGTAGAATGAATCGGGTGAGTTTTTTCATGCATTTTGCTTGTGTTTTTCATCTTCACCTTATTGGGTTGTTTTGGTTTATATCACTACTCTATAAGGTGTGTATTAATGATTAACTTTTCTGTTATCTCAAAATCTGCTTCGAACTATACCATTGGACTACTATGGGAAATTCGTCAAAGAGACGATTTTAGGGATAAAGGAATGCGTACCATTTACACAATTTGAGAAATTATTGGCACACTTAATTGAAACCTATTTAAAACAGCATTTATATTATTCAAAAGCGTCCGTAATCATTGATTCCAAGCCCTCTGAAGTTTAAAAATAACAATACCTGGGTGTTAATCCATAGGTAATCTTTGAAAATGAGAAATATTTTTTTGGGATTATATGGTGCAATCATAAATGTTTTAAAGGGTATTTTAAAGTGTTTATAAGATGAGAAAGCGAAATGGATGAAAAAACTCCCACGATTCATTCTACAAATAATTCACGGTCCTATAATACTAGGCCAAAGAAGCCTCACTATTTTTAACTCGATTTATACACAATCGTTGGGTTCAAAACTGATAGAATGACTAATATGGGAATGAAACACAAAGTAAAAACATAGAAGTGACAAGATTGTTGGTAGACGTTGACAACATACCTGGAAACTAAACATAGCTAAAAGTTCCAGGCCTCGTGCAACCTCTGAGTTTAATACAGCTTTTGTTGTTGGTACAGTTGTTGTTGTAGTGGAGACGATTTTGGTAGGTTCTGTAGGGGTGGTAGTCAGTGCTGCTGTTGTGCTAGGTTCAGTCGTTGTTGTCGGCACTGTTGGTACAGTTGTTGTAGTGGTTGGTACAGTTGTTGAAGTAGTTGGTACAGTTGTGGTAGTGGTTGGTACAGTTGTTGAAGTAGTTGGTACAGTTGTTGTAGTGGTTGGTACAGTTGTTGAAGTAGTTGGTACAGTTGTAGAAGTGGTTGGTACAGTTGTTGAAGTAGTTGGTACAGCTGTTGTAGTAGTTGGTACAGTTGTTGTAGTGGTTGGTACAGTTGTTGAAGTAGTTGGTACAGTTGTTGAAGTGGTTGGTACAGTTGTTGAAGTAGTTGGTACAGTTGTTGAAGTGGTTGGTACAGCTGTTGTAGTAGTTGGTACAGTTGTGGTAGTGGTTGGTACAGTTGTTGAAGTAGTTGGTACAGTTGTTGAAGTAGTTGGTACAGTTGTTGTAGTGGTTGGTACAGTTGTTGAAGTGGTTGGTACAGTTGTTGAAGTAGCTGGTACAGTTGTGGTAGTTGTTGGTACAGTTGTTGTAGTAGTTGGTACAGTTGTTGTAGTAGTTGGTACAGTTGTGGTAGTGGTTGGTACAGTTGTTGAAGTAGTTGGTACAGTTGTTGTAGTGGTTGGTACAGTTGTTGAAGTAGTTGGTACAGTTGTTGTAGTGGTTGGTACAGTTGTTGAAGTAGTTGGTACAGTTGTTGTAGTGGTTGGTACAGTTGTTGAAGTAGTTGGGACAGTTGTTGAAGTGGTTGGTACAGTTGTGGTAGTAGCTGGTACACTTGTTGAAGTAGTTGGTACAGTTGTTGAAGTGGTTGGTACAGTTGTGGTAGTAGCTGGTACAGTTGTAGAAGTAGTTGGTACAGTTGTGGTAGTGGTTGGTACAGTTGTAGTGGTAGTTGGTACAGTTGTAGTGGTAGTTGGTACAGTTGTTGTGGTCGGTACAGTTGTTGTTGTGGTTGGTACAGTTGTGGTGGTGGTTGGTACATTAATTGGTGTAGTTGTCGGTGTGTCTGCGTTGCATTCTGGTTCAAAGCTACCTCCATTTAATTTACAGTTAGCCGGCACTACGAACTCGACACATGGATTAGATCTTCCATCGGAGTAGTCTAGTGGTAAACCAGCCCCAGCGGCACATGGCCATAGAATCGAATAGAGGCTGAGATCTGCTCGCTGCTGACACCACCAGTAGTAACAACGGTTAGATTTATCCCGAATAAATTGACCGTGAAAGTCACAACCTAAATAGTTCAAATAATGTATTGTTTTATGTTAATAGTAAATTACAACACTATGATGTCAGATTGTATAAAACCGTTGCACGAAACTGGGGACAATTAGCGTAACATTATGGCGTCAAAATACCAAAACAAAACAATGGGCAGTATAGGGCGCAAAGAGACTTATAACGTCAAAAACGACAGGCGTTACATTTTGTCAAGTTTAGTCAACCTAAAAATAAGATGCTTTATCCTTATTCAATCCTGTTAAAATTCACAGAGCAACAAGATCTCGAGGACAATATCTTTCTAAAATGTTTTTGATTTTTAAAAAACGGTCAGGAAATCCACTCGGGGCGTTAGTAAAAATTGATATGTATGGAATTTGTGGTAAACAATCGATGCGTTACATTTTTCAAGTCTCTAAAATCAGCTCTTATTTTGCTATTATTTGAAAAATAAAAAAATCGGTTATTGTTTTGTAAATTTGGCCATGACAATATTGTGCAGTTAATTTTTTTTTTGAAATCAGACCTAAATTAGAAGGTTAAAGTCCCTGTCTAAAGTTTGAAAATATTTTTTTATCATTCATTTACTATTTGTCAGGAAAATTATTGAAATTTCTTAATCATCAAATATTTCTTAGTGCATTTCAAAAAAGATTGTCTTTTTAACACCAATGCAAAGATTGAACAAAGGACACACTATTTCAATAATAAAATGCTATATTTAATGGGCCACTTCCATTAGTGATGTCACTAAGGTACCAAAAACTTTTTGAACAAAATTGAAATTTTTTTTTCGATGTCAATCTTTTCTAAATATGCTAGACTTTCATAAAAAAACAATGTTGATTGTCTAACCAGGTTAAAAGGAAGAATAACTTATGTTTTATGTATCATTGTACCATTGGTTTCTATGAGAACTAAAATTTTGAAATGCATTTTTCTCAGAACTATTTTCATGTACTGATAAGTTCATTTCACGCTTATTTATGAACCGATTTTCTTAATTTTTTCGGCAAAAAACATGGGAGGATGAATGCTATGCATTGGTATGAATTGTGGCTAATTAGAAGATATAAGTGACCTCTAAAAGTTGGTTTTAAATAAAATCACAAATTTTGGAACAAAAAGTCAAAAACCACTTTTTGAAATTTAAAAAAAAAGTTTCACATATCACACTTTGATAACATTGGGTAAGACTACAATATAAGCCAAAGTGGTTTAAACTTTATACGGGGCCTTTAAGTAAAGGTAAACTTATTGCTTGTCTTTTAAAAGCGTTCATATAAGACAATTTGAACTGTAGCAGTTATGCAATTGTGACGTCATAAATGCACATGTTCTATTGAATAAAATGTGAAATTTTAGTAAAATTCTGATCAGTATTTCAAAAGTTATCCCGATTTCAACGAACTGTGCAAGCGTGAAATGTTACGTCTTACAGCGTATTTGACGATGTCGGGGTACATTTAACTTTAAAAATATGGTAAATCCCATCTAACTTTTCAAGGAAAATAGTTTCAGTTAAATGCGAATAAAAAATACTTCAAAATGATGTATAAAGCACATAGTTAGCTTTTTAAATAAGGCAGATATCAACGTTTAAAGCTGAGATTAGCCTGCATTTCCCGAATTGTCCCCAGGTCCATGCACGTCATAATAACATTCTACGTTTTTTGAACTATTTTGTCTTGCACTATTGACGGATATTTGAATGAGGAAAATCTCTATTTTGATGATCTTTAAAGACACATGTTAGGCTTTAAATTAAATTGTGATATAACTGAGGTTGCGAGATAATTCTATTCACTTCACTATAAAAATAATACACACTCGATCAATACCATTTGATAGCACAAGGGGTAACCCTAAAAACTCATGTCAAACAAAGAAGTTGGTCCGGATCTGGGCCTTTAATAATGCTCGAACCCAATGAAAATATAGCCATTTGTATCACTTACAAGACTGAACAGCATCGCTGTTACATTGGGTCACCACTTTGGAACATGGGTTGGAAATCCCATCGGAATACGTATCTGGGACTGCAGTCCCCGTCGCGCACTGAAACTCTGTCGTGACCAGTTGTAAATAGGCGTTGTAGAGGCATCTATGGAACGTGCAATCATCTACGTTATCTCTGAGGTACTGCCCGTTGAATGTACAAGGCGTCGCAGGACTACCTGATAAGAAAAAATTGAAAAATAGGTTTAGTTAATGGTGTCTAAATACATTGATTTATAATCTTTTCGTGAATAACCTTGTATTCGCGAATGCAACTAACGCCTGTCGGCTACCGGATTAACCTACTATTCCATGGCCAACTCATTTAAATATGAATGTAATAGTGGCAGGTACTATTCATATTTAAATGAGTTACCCATAAAATAGTAAGTTAATCCGGTAGCCGACAGGCGTTAGTTGCATTCACGAATACAAGCTCAGCTTCTGTCATATTTGCTCTACGGCGGCCGTAGCTTTACAAGATCGATATAGAAATTCTACATCGTACTGCACAGCCGGGTGGTTGGCTCACACTAGGATCGTATGTGACTTTTTGCCGCATATTTCTCTCGATTTTTGGAAGCTACTGTCGCCGTACGGTTGCTATAGATCAAAGGTGACCGAGGCATTAGTCTTTATATATGATTATGTAATTAATACAATAAAACTCACAGCATTCTACATTTATCAGATAAAATCTGTTTATTGATTCACGTGAAATTACGTTCTTTTTCAAAGCGTTGGGGTCATGCAAGGGCATGAGTGAAACTATCCGCTTTTGAATTTTGCAAAGTGTCTTCTCAAAATTTTTGCTTTTTAATTACATGAAATAATCAAAATAAATTGATATTAACTTACCCTGTGATAATTGAAAATTATCTTTTAAAATCAAAACGGCAAGCAGTCCAAAAACAACGAATGCCATGCTGAAATCCTTTTCTCAGAGTGGACCATTGAAATGAAACATATCACTAATTAATGATATTTACAAAGTACGCGCTCTTTCGGCAGCATATATTGAAATGACAAACACGAGCTTTGTATTCTAATGAGCTGGAGGAAACAAATTATTTGTTGGTTTCAAGCAGCTTCCGGATTTTTGGATAGTGTGTCCATAGAAGCAATAGCTTTTTTATTAGTTCTGTAAACTGAGTAATGTCGGGTTACGTTTACGAAACAGTGTTTAAGGAACATGCCACGTGGAAGGCCATGTGCGAGAGAAAAAAATTTTCCCTTTGGCAATTCTTTTTTAAGGAGTGGCCATTCACTATTCTACGACAGTTTGGTCGAATTTCATAGGCCTAACCCAAGGCTAAGGAACATCTCAACTTTGTAACGTTTTATGCACCATAGAGATAAATGCGCGTCCGAGGATTTTTCTCATTTTTTATTCTACTGATTCCATTGAATAAAAATGTGATTTTAAATTATTTTGCTTCATCAATGAAATCACAGCTGGAATTTAAGTTATAAAAAAAAGTTTGTAGAAAATTATCCCTATGAGCTAAAATCACAAATTAAAGAGTGTTCTGTCAGCTAGATCTAATAAGGGAAACTACGTATTTCTAGCACATTTGCATAAGCTATAATCTGGAAATGAGTATTATGTTTATAATATTGAGAAAGAGCTAAATACATTTTAATTTAGTAGTAAATATTCGCTCCAAGGATTTCTCTTGAAATCTTTACTAATACCTTTTTCAGAAATGTTGAGAATATCTGAATTGAAAATGAGATATGCAATTTGTATTTTACACGAAAACGTCACATAATACCGCATGATACTGTACATGATACTTTACAGTACTTCGTTTGAGTCTCGCGCTTTTGAGACTAAAGGTCATTTAAAACAAATAGTGAAGCACAACCTTTGATTAAATCAGACATTGGATGGATAACATCGTGTACAATAACATTTCGCAATTTTAGAGCTAATTGAAATATCTCATTCACGAAAATGGTTACAATAGTAACCCAAAATCAAGGGACCTGTAGCAAATAAAAAACCTCGTGCATATTTCTACACTAGTATGATCAACACTCGTATGGAGACTGGAGGGTCCAGCTAATGACAAATAGTCTCCCATTACTATCTTATCATATGCGCACTACTCCCTAATTTCTCTCCCGTCACCAGGGGGCCGCTGTCTTCTGTGTTTGACGTCGCAAACGACAGCGATTTGGCCGATGCGCTTTCGATAGCCTGTCTCCCCACATAGGAGCAGCCGCTCTATTTGTCGCGTCAATATTGAAATGACGCGATCGCGCTAAAAAATAAAGAATACTGTACACTAAAATACTTGCTACTTGATCAATACTGAACCAAATTCTATGATTTTTGAACGAGCATGTTCCTGATTATATATTCTTTCAGACCGTATACAAAATAGGAATGTTCTCTGTTTATTCTCTCTCGTAGCATTGTGTAGACATGGACTGTCCACCTTTCTGACGTGATCATTTACGATGCGAGTCTTCACTTCACACGACTGTATTTCTATTAATACTGGATATTTTATTAATATTTTTGTTAATTATTACTTTCCATATATATGGGTAACCAATTATCGAAAAATAAAATTTCAAATCAAAGTATATTTCTTCATCAAGGCGTTTAAAGTGTATTTACTACAAAATATTTTTCGTTTTCACGTTACATTTTCCCGGGAATTTGGGCTATTTTTAAGATTGTTTCTGTATTGTTTGAAAATAAGATAGTTAACATTTTGTAAGGCATAATAATATGCACATAATGTAATAAAAGTACTAAAGATAACATACATATCTTCTTTCTTTTATTTGATGGTAAATATGTTCCCGGGAACGATATACACGTTCATGTAAAATAGTTTCGTTCATCGCACATCCTCTGCTTCACTCATACATACAACAAGTACGTGTGCATTTCAGTGGTGAGTATAAATTCTTTTTTTATTACACACCATGAACATAACCGTTTAATTAAAAACTATGACAATATGCATAACATATTTATGTTTTGATTTCATTAGTTATTCATTTAAGTCTATGTCAAATACATTCATCATTTGATGTTTTAATTTGCAAATTTTGAAATCCGAAAATTTGCCGCGAAAATCCATTTAGGGCCTATATTGCACTACATTTATTTCGATGATACAAAAACACTGCAACTGTCTTTCTATCATACTCATATGTTTATTTTAGTATCTAGAGCCTATCTACATATCTAGACTTAGAAACATTTGTCAACGACGCTATTCGTTGCTATGAACAGGGGGGCTATCGGGCAAGTTCAACTGAGTGCATTCTAAGAAATTGGGATTGCAGGAGTGACATCTATAAATCGATAGAGTAAAATTTTTATATAGCCTAGTTGTAGTCATACTTGTCTCAATGACACATTGCCAGTTTGTTGCATTGCATGTCAGCTTTATTGAACATTCCCTTGCTTATATATTTTGCATGTATGTTTCATTCTTTGTACTAGGCTCAATTAAATACTAGGCTAATGTACAATAGTTTGCATGTACATATATGTCTTCTCCAGCAGCCCAACCCATGGTACTTAATATTTAAATGTGTTCAATATTTCTCTACATATAATATCACCCTAGGGTCCATTAAATAGGACCTACTTATGCATGTAAATATACAGTCAAAGACATAGCCGAAATCAACATAAATGATAGGCCTATTATTTATCTTTTCAGAATCATCACCACCCTCTCTGCCTACTCTATCTTCATCTGCTTTGTCACTCACCCGGTGTCACTCTCACAAGCCTACACTTTCACTTTCACTCATTGAGGTAAATATATAAACAAGATAGGTGATTATAAACAATGTTTGTACATGACATATTATTTTGAGTTTATTAACAATAACAGACATAAATTGATATTATTTTATCTTTTCAGAATCATCACCACCCTCTCTGTCTACTCTATCTTCATCTGCTTTGTCACTCACCCAGTGTCACTCTCACAAGCCTACACTTTCACTTTCACTCATTGAGGTAAATATATAAACAAGATAGGTGATTATAAACAATGTTTGTACATGACATATTATTTTGAGTTTATTAACAATAACAGGCATAAATTGATATTATTTTATCTTTTCAGAATCATCACCACCCTCTCTGTCTACTCTATCTTCATCTGCTTTGTCACTCACCCGGTGTCACTCTCACAAGCCTACACTTTCACTTTCACTCATTGAGGTAAATATATAAACAAGATAGGTGATTATAAACAATGTTTGTACATGCAACATATTAGATTATATGTTTATTTTTTACAATATTATTAGATATTACACTGTGTTGATTTTATAAATAAAAGGCATAAAGTGGTATTATTATTTTATATTTTCAGAACACTCTCTTGCTCTATCTCTATCACTACAGCACTAGGCTTCAGTTCTCATCACTTCTCATTTCTTTCAAGGTAAATATAGAACAAGCTATGGCTTATCATAAACCAACATTTATATCTCTGACTTTGCTCATTTATTTTGCAATATTAGATCTCATGTGTTTAGTTCCCATACCACCCATATTGTTCTGGCACTTATTCTGTGCAGTCTTCGGATTCTTCCTCACAAATCCCTCCAATAGCAAACCAAAAGGTCAAAGTAAACTGCCTGAACCGATATTACCATTTTGGGCTTTTTTTAAATTCAGAACTAATAAACACCACTCCAGATCAGTTAGGCCTATTCCATTGAGAAAATGCATTGTGCGTATGAACCTTAACAGAATCATGAGACTAAACCAGTGGAAATCAAAGATCAAAATTCCTCCCAAACAAGACAAGTCTGATTCAATTACCTGCGATAGTGAACCACGGGTAGGCCTTTTGTTTACATTAGTAAAGCACACCAAACTATGGATTCTGCGCCTAATCGATACATTCAGAGAAATTATTTGTTCTCCTAGTGCAGTATTCTATCTTGCCCTTGATGTTTTGATACTAGGACTTCGCCAATACATCAACAGAGACATTGATGACACCAAAGAATTACTGAAATACAAATGCTCCTCTTTTGAACACTTTCTCTCGACCATCCTTATCTGGATACTATTTGTCACTGAGTATTTTGGAATGCCACGAGAACTACAAGTCATAACAATTTTGATTTTGTTCTGTGTAATTCTGTACAGGGCAGTTCTCCAAACGTTTCACACAGAAATGATGTGTTTGTTCTTCACAATTGCATTAAACTGGGTCTGTCAAAATGAATCATATGATACAATGTCACTCTTTTTTGACACAATACTCATAGTATTTATCAGTATTAACACCTTCTACACCCAGAGAAAGAAAATATGCCTGTTCTGTAAAAAGTCACCAAGGGCAACATTTGAAAATAAAACATCAACTTGTTCCACCATCAACTACGACAAGTATGTTGAAGCTTTTGTTAGAAAGCATAGTCAGTCAGTGTTAGATGACAATCTCGTTGAATCTGATCAGGATAGTATTGACATCAACCAGACAATAAACAGAAACATAACAAATACAGGGGGAAGTCGATGCTGCATTTTGCACTGTACTAATGAAGGTAGTCGCACATTGAAAACGCTGAATGGCTTGTATGAAATTGATATTGACCAAAACTTCACAACTGATGATGCTGGTAATTTAAAAATCTGTAATGCTCATTATAGTCGTCAACCACACAAGCAATCTAAGCGATTTAGGCATACAAAACAAGCCTGTAGTAGACAATTTACCAAAAGTCAATGTTTGCATTGCAATGAAACATACACCTTAACATCGAGTGCATGTCATAGCCATGTATTAAACATTTCTGGAAAAACGATTTCATGCCCTTGTACATATAGTATTGATCCAAATACAACTGGCAAAACTGAATCTTCATCAAGTCTTGAAATTGCAGGTTATGCCTGTTCAAAGTGCGAGTCCTACTTTCTTGAGCTCATCAAAACCTCTAACAAATTAGACTCATTAATTGATGATCTGTCCGTGCCATTGAAAGAACAATGTTCAATATCCAAGATGTCACATCCAAGTGGAGCTGAGATAAATGATATGCCTTCTCCAGAAAAGGCGCAGCAGACCTCATTTGAACAGCAATCAGTTGATAAACCGTTGTTTGTTACACAATCGAATGACCCTAACTCCACCTCCTATCAATCTAAATCAGAGACAGGTATCTGTGAGAAGTTGCTTAGTCTGCGGATTGAATCAGCCACTGATCCACTTGAATTCTCTTGTATAAATGTCATCACAGAGCTCTGCCTTTCTCTAATAGGTAAACCTTGGAGTATGGCTCTTATATCTGCAAATCAAATAAAAATGACAAAGCATGTTGATAAATTTTCCCACTTTGATGTGTACATATCCAAACTTGAAAATTCATGGAATTGTGCAATTCATATACAAAAATCTGAGATTGACAATTTTCGTATACCAAGTCACCTTACAAACAATGTGAAATCTCTGTCAACTGTAATTTCTGATTATGTTTTGCCAATGACAGACAATATTCAAATATGCACTGGCATCACAGATGGTGAAATTATCAAAGAATTTCAATCAAGAGTGAATCAAGGAAAAACATTTGACAAGTTAACTTTTGAAACAATTGGAAATCATTCAAGGATAAGAACCAAATGTTGTGAATATAAAGTTAAGTCTGTCCATACCACATTGTGCAAGCATTGCTATGAGGCTCATCGTAACACTCTTAGATATCTTCTGAGAGGCTCGGACCATACAAACATCAATACGCCAAATGTATTCCTCTCATACCAGGAAATACTTGAGAAATCGAGATCCCTGAAAAAAGAGAACATGAATCTTACTAAAAAGGTAGTTTATGCCAATAGGCTCCTACGAGAGCAAAGATCTAATCGTGTTAATGCTCCAGCTAATTTCAAGGTCAATGCATCTCAACTTGGTCAAATGGTAGACACAGCAATAGCAAATAAATGGTTGTCATCTGATTCCATTCTCTTTCATATCTTACAAGATTCTATGCTATCCCTACAAAGACAAGAAACCCAATTTGAAAGATCAAAGGGAAAATTAACAAAAGAGAAAAAGAAACCACGTCCTAAAGGTATGCGATATAGTCCCTTGACAATAAAATGGTGTTGCCGCATTGCAAATCAGTGTAAAGAGAGTGGCTACGATGCAATAAGTAACATCCTTCCAATTCCAAGATGGAACACCATCAAACAATATAGGCAGCAATCATGTAACTCTGACCCAATTAATCTTGAAAACATTTCTAAAATGGTTCAGGAAATTAAACGAAGAAAATGCAAGGGTGTCGGCGGTATTCATTTTGATGAGATAATAATTAAGAAAGGATTATGTATCAATAAGCGAACAGGAAATTTAGTAGGTTTTGAAAACTTGAACATTCCAGAAGAATACCTTTGCAACATCCATGAAACCCATGAAACAAAATCCTCTCAAGAATCCTCCCAAGTAAATGAAGAGTCACAATCTAGTTCACAATCATCTCATTGTTTTTCCACACAATCTTCAACAACAGATGATCAAACTATCCCTGAAAAAAATAAACTAGCTACCATGATATGTCAATTTTTCTTCACCAGTATTGAGGGAGATTTTTGTTGGCCCGTAGCTTCATTTCCAGTGGCAAGGGTTAACCATATGAAAATTGATGCAATGCTATGGCAAGTGATCCAATGCCTGAGTAAAATTGAACTCAATGACAAAGAAACCATGCAAATTCTTTATTCAGTCTGCGATGGATCTGCATATTCACGTGCTTTTTTTAAAACAGCAGGAAATAGCAATTTTGTATGTCACTATCCCAATAAATTACGTCACACCCTCCACCTCTTAACTCTGCGGCAATTACGTCATGATACAAACAATAGTTCTACTCGTTTTGACGAGTTTATTGACATATACTAAGAATGAGACCAAAACATACAACAAATATTTACAGACCGGTAAAAGTTCACGACATCTGTACAAAATAAATACATGAATGCATAATAATATAATGAATACATAATAATAAAATAAAATTATATAATATTGGCCTTCATGTGATACCAATGTTAGCATTGCTTTTTATTTCCACCCAAGGTTGAGTTTACATAACATTAAGTACTTTACGATCCTCCAAAGACTGTAACAATGTAAAATATTTTAAACTTAAAGGTGCAATAATTAGTGCAGAGGGGTCATTCAACGATCATAGACCAGTGTCAAAATATATTTAAGTTTGGATATTTCATCAAGACTAACATCTATTTTTATTATCTACAAAGAAACCCCATAGATAAACATTATTTTAGCTGATATTCCTCTTGAAACATGGTGGATCTTAAAAATATAAAAGTGAAAGTCCCCTTTTTGAAGCTTTGAACTGAATTTACACTTCTTAATGCTGAAATTGATAATTTATCCATACATTTTAAGAAAATAGGTATGTCAAAGAAGATGTTAAACCAAATGTTGCCTTGATAGCTCAGAAAAAATGAAAAAACTTTCCTATTTTCTCTACATTCCTTATTGCCCCTTTAAAACTACAAAAGAAATGTGTTTCATTATCCGTTGGCTTTCATGAAATTACAAAAATTACCAATGATGACCCAATAATTCATTCTGTTGACAAGATGATTTCACTGATTGTCCTATATTTATTTTGAGCTTTAAACAAGGAATACAAAATTAGGGATATTACTTTGCATGAGCGAGCTACTGCTATACACGAGGGGAAAGAGTACCCGTGTATATACAACCTACCGCCGAGCAAAGACCCGAAGATGTCTGAAAATGTAGGGGTTAAGTTATAAACGTTTGTTTATATCTTGAATTTCTCAATATGAGAAACAGATAAAACACAGAATTGTGTGTAACTGATAAAGTTATTGTTCCAGGCACTCATGTTTGCAAAATAATGAGTACTTAGCGCAATGTTTACTATCCAATCGCTAAATTCAACTTCTAAATATTTGAATGATGATTTACATCTTGAATAAGTAACAACCATGGCTGTCTTTACTTCATTCGATTCAAAGATACAATAGGTGTAAATGTATCATATTTATTTCACGGCCATACGTTGCATATCATTGAAATCACCGGTGAAAGTTGAAAATGAAAGACCCGATTATGTCACGAGTACGATTATACAGGACCCGAAGCTACCACCGAGCAATTCCGACTATACCGTGAGTAAAACCAGCACTATACGTCAACGTCTGTTTCCGGCAAAGTTCTTTAAAACATTGAATTCATTCTTACACTTGAATCACCATAATTTCCTATGTGTCTATGGTAAGAGTGCAACCCAAAAACATTTAATTCTGCATTGCAAGCGCCATTCTACTCAAAGAACACAACTTGAAGAATCCCTCGAACAGTACAACCTGACATGTGGACCCCACTCAGTGGACAAGAAAAAATTGAATCTCTTTAATTTTTCAAAATTTCCTTTCACTTGGAAAGGATTCTGATTAAAAGAAAAGTTTGTTGAATTCGTTTCTAGTAAAACTTAATTCACTTCTTCATGATTAACTGTTGGCATTAAAGCTTACTGGCACTTACTCACTCGCATTCTCTAATTTTTGTTTTATGTATAACTTGAAATGCTAGCCTATAATGCAAAATGCGCTAGGCAGCGGCTACTGTAATTCATTGTCGATGATCACTTCTATTCTATCTGATCATAGTCCAAAGATTTTGGTACGACATTTGGTCCTTCGCACTCGTTGCAATGTTTTAAATTATTCAAAAACTTAATTATTTACTCAAACTGAACAGGTGTTATACAAAATGACTGCATAAAACATTTAAAAAGCACATACTGCTTGGAACTATATTCTTTGCAGTTCAATGCAAAGAAGTTATTTGTCAAACCATTTTCGGTGCTAAATTCAAAACCAATGAAAAAATAGTATCCATCAGATATACATAGGGGATTATGTTCCTCCCGAGGGCTCATAGGAACCAAGGGAACACATATTGTATATCCCAAAGAATATTTTAATACTCAGTAATGGATGGTGCTGACTGAAGTGGACCACAAAGTCATCCATCTCGTGTGATTTATAACTACAGTGGAAGCATTTGTACCGAGGACCTGAAATACAATGTTTCGATGTGCAGTGGTAACTGGTGATGGCCATATTTTTCAGTTTCATTTATTGTTCACAACAAAATGATTCACATGAATGATGCAGATTGTATGTTTATTTTTTTATCAGGACGTCATAAACTCGACGATATAATCGGATCTCAACAGATTTTACTCAAGTAATGTTCGGATTCTGAGATCCTAATTTACTCAAGATATTTTCGGATCTTTATAATATCACTCGTCGATCACATCGGGTCCGAAGTCCGATAACATCGGATCTTTTAGGACAAAGTATAAGTGAAGATTTTGCAGTTCAAAAGTGCTATTTTGACCTAATATTTTGACACTTAATATATTATGCATATGCACATCCATTTACCGACCCAAGTATGTCTTATGTATGGCCCATTATCAATTAAAGCGAGTATGAATGAGAAAAACAAATCGAAAACCATTATACGTTTACCTTATCTCTTAATTTAGACATAAAAAAGAAATAAAAAAAAAATTGACATAAAATTTACAAAATTGACATAAAAAAATTATAAAGAAGCATGGGTTCTGGCATGATAAATTTTAAAATTAAGTTAAATTTTCAAAATCAAGTTATAATATATATTTATTAAAACATCTAAACATATACTGTAAATAACACTGTACTTGAAAATTCAACTAAATGGTACGTACACTCCCCTCCATAAGTTTGGCAACCTTTTTCCCCCATTGAACTACGTGTTAAAGCCTCTTTAGGTTTGAATTTTTATTCACTTAACCGGCGATGAAATAACTTATAATATTGATGGAAACGTAACTTGACTTTATTTCCAATACCTCCAAATTTTCTCAATTTTTTTCCTCAATTACAATAGGTCACAAATTGATGATAAATTTGATGAATTTTTGAAAATCGTCATTCCCATGTAATCCAATGAGAAATGAAGGGTTCGAGGCAAATCAGAAATCAGGATATCTTTTCAGTAAAAGATTCAGCAAAAAATATTTTTATATAGAAAATTGAATTGTCTAACTTTTTTGAACGCTAAGTGTTTAGTTTATTTGATGAATATTAAAGTTACAGCGCTTCAAAGTCATTTTTGAAAATGATTTTTTTGCCTCCTGTGTTATTTCAATGGGAGAGGTTTTTTGAAAAACAATTTTGACTTTAAAGCACTATAACTTTGTTTAACCTGAAGAAACATATCAATTTTTTGTTAAATAAAGTTAGCAAATTCAATTGCCTGCCTAACTCGTATTTTTTGCAAGGACTCGGATGGGTGGATATTCTGTCATATGACTTGCGGCAAACCTACCATTTCCCATTGGTTAACATGGGAATGTCGATTTTCAAAAATTCATCAAATTTATCATCAATTTTCGACCTATTGTAATTGAGGAAAAAAAATTGAGAAAATTTGGAGGTATTGGAATTAAAGTCAAATTACGTTTCCATCAATAGTATAAGTATTTTCATCGCAGGTTAAGTAAATAAAAATTCAAAGGTAAAGAGGCTTTAACACGTAGTTCAATGGGGGAAAAAGGTTGCCAAATTTATGGAGGGGAGTGTATATGAAATAAATACATAGCAAAACGTCTACACATGGGAATCCTCTTCTAATGTAATTAGAATATTTGCAATCCACATCACAATAACATACGCTAAATAAACAATAATAAAATATAAATTAAAACCGATTCATATAATACCTATCATGATACAAATTATTTTGGGTAATTTTATATTTTGTTCACAATGAGTGAAAGTAAGAGAAAGAGAGAACAGATATGATACTGAGTGAATGAAATATGTGACCTGTTACATAGTAGCAATAGTGATACACCACCCAACATCAGTTTGGCAACCAAAAGTTCTCGCATCTGATAGCTTATAAGAGCCTGTCTACTTTATGTTAAAATTTTAATTTAATTCCTAAATACAATAGGTTAGAAAATGACACATGCACTGAATATGTATGTAGTCTACTTTATGTTTAAATTTTAATTTAATTCCTAAGTACAATAGGTTAGAAAATGACACATGCACTGAAAGGTGATTGGATTGCCAAACGTTTGGAGGGAGTGTATAATCACGGGGAGTAAATCACCCCCTTCCTTAATGTAATATAGAGTACAGAATATAAGGGGGAGGGGTGACTTACTCCCCATGTGTATAGTCATCAAATATATGTCTAGATCTGTTCATGCAGTATGGGGTTTCCTCCTGATTTCAGATTCTAACAGCAGATCTAGATATATGCATGAAATCTCAGCAAATGACATACCAAAAATCCCTCAGTCTGAACTCAATTTTGACATTAATATTCTAAGTTTGACATTAAATTATGAAGTTTGATCTCAATCCTGGCAAAAAGCTGTAATACAAATATCTATTTGATATTAAATACAAAATTACTTAACAACACCATCAATAAAAAATAACAATTCTTCATCACTAATAATATCATGTGAACACCATATCATTTTGGACTCATTTTACACCAGACCGTAGAATTTAATTCTCTGTTTCAAATCTATACATTTTTCTTCTCTCATCAAAACAGATTCTACCATCATGGGTGTAAAGCCACGATGATACCATGAGCACATGCTTTGAGGATCCACGTTGTTTGAACCTACCGCCGAGCTCGTTAATACAGTAAGGCCATGAGACAGCCATGATACTGCCGAGCAAGCTCACTGTATCATCGGGTCTGCTTTACCCCCCCCCCATCATAACTGTCAAATATTTCTGACTTTGAACTACAGATAGATGGCAGTATTGGACAATATTTGAACATATTCAAGAAACATAAAAATGATATATATCACATTATTTATAGATATATATAGTCTATATAATAATTTAAATATATATATCTTAAAGGCCCTATGATTTCATCATTCATTTACCATTTTTCGCTTCTCAAATATCGATCCCAGATTAAATCCCTGTATACATTACACATTAAGTAAGAAATACCCAGAAAATCTATGGTCAATAGCACACTTGCTTCAACTATCCTTGAGGAACATGAAACATACATAATATGTAGAGTATGTATTTGTGAATATGGAGATGTCACCAGACAGACTGTTTACATGTATCCAATGTGAGACATGACCTGTTCAATGAAATCACAAATGTACTTGATCATGTTGATGTAACAACATCAACTTCACTCCTTAATGGGGAAGAAGACGTTTTAATTGAAACACTGTTAGGCAATTCTGATGTTTAATTTAAGTACATTATAGAATGATGAAGTGTTTATATTTCATCAGAACTTTGACTGAACGAGAAGTACAAAAGCTGCGTATAGTATATTTCCATAAGATACTATATGTAAAATACTGATTATAATGTTGTGATGTAAATAATTGTAGATTATAGATGTTCTTCCTTTTTTAATCAAATAGCATAATATTGTACTCACTATATGAAGGAATAAAGCTAATACAATACAATACATTTACAAATAAAAGTTGATGTTTCTTATTCCACTATACAGTGCAAAAGACTTTTTAACAGTAATACAAAGATTGAAAAAGGACAAACTATTTTAATAATAAAATGTCATATCTTATATAATGTGCCACTTTCATGTTTTAGCATATCAATAATATTTTGCACCTTAGTGACGTCATTGTGTCATCTCTGAACCATATTCATACATGGATGAGTTCATTTCTTGCTTATTTATGGATAAATCTTTTAAATATTTTTTTCTAAAAACATGTGAGGATGAATGCTATGCATTGGTCTGAATTATCGATTATTAAAAATATGTGTGACCTCTAAAAGTAAGATGTAAACAAATTTAAGACGTTATAGTGGTAAACTGCTTCCCTTTAGTCACCAAAGTGAACAAACAAGTGAAATACGGTACCCATTTTTATGCAATACTCAATGTAAAAGATAATGTAATACATTATAGTTTGTATGTACAACACTAATAATAAATAAATGAATTTGTTCAGCCCATTTTACAAAATCATTTGTGCAATGGTGAGTCTCTTTAAAATGTCATTTCCAAAATTCTTTGCATGTGTGGAGGGTGATATTCCGTAGAATATAATGAGTATTTAAAGTAAAATAAATATTTTGAAAAATGAGTAATGCCCGATTAATGCCTATGTATTCATTTATGGTGATAAGGCATTGACATCAGAAAAACAGAGTCTAGCTATTGGCTCTGACATCAATCAATCATTTGACAAAAGAGGTAAGCTTGAAAAACTATGGACCAACTATGATAAAGGGAGAAAATCAATAAACTCAAGGCCTGTGTTACACTTGGTAACTGTATATTGAATGCTCTTACTATGCTAGAATATTTTCTGCCCCTATATCTTGACACTGTTAAAAGTGTACAAAAAATGTCAGTCAACAAAATTTTATCTCAAAGCTGCCTAACTGCCAATAGCAATAACTTTGCACTTCTGGCAATAAATTTGAAAAAAGATGTCGCCTTTTGTGCAATGGAGTGAATACCAATATGGTAAAATGTGGCTCAATCAGCAAACGTGCATTAATACAGTATATAACATGATTCAACTTCACTTTTTGAAAGATATTATGAATCTTTTTGAGATCTCATATTTGGAATGTTTAAAGAAACATTAGTAAGAAAATTGTGGACATTGCAAGCAATTTTGTCACACCTTACAACCTCTGTTTCTAATTTTAGAAGAATTTCATTGGATAATTTTAAATTCTGTTCATTTCATTATCCTCGTCTCCTTTCTCCATCCCTTGTTCTGGTGGAGTTGCGTCAGATTCATTGTCCATCAATAATTTAACGTACTGTTCAAAAGCCGACTTGACTGCTCTGACATCAGATTTGTTACAGCCCTGGATAGTCCATTTGCGGTCTTTACAATGAGTCTCAAGCTCCAGCGCTGCTTTCAGCTACAAAAATATACCAAATGAAGGAAATATATTTCTCCAAATGTCACAAAAGATGATTCAGTGAAACCTGTATATATAAACATTTCTCAATGTAAATTTTTTATTTTGACCTCTATTATCTCCCATTGACTCACATTAAAAATAAAATACCTCCTAATCCAAACACTTTTGCCCAGTCCCAGTTGTATTTGGACGAGACAGGTTTTACTGTATTATTTCTTCACAAGTCATTAGTTAATATAAAAGCAACCATAAAATACTACATTCTGAGTAATACAAATAAATACAGTTTTGTGCAACCAGATACACAACTTACATCATCTAGTGATTGAGCTCCTTCTTTATCCTGGCAATTAGCAAGGATCATACAAGGGAGTCCTCTCAAATTGTCATTCTCTAGGGCTTTACATAGTTCCAGTTCAGTTGTTTCTAGCTCTTCATTGTTAACTGAGCTGTCAACAACAAATATGACTCCCTCTGATTTGGAGTAGTATTTGTTCCAGAATGGTCTCACTTTGTCATTTCCTGAAACAAAGTTGATTTATTTACTCCATGAATCTTTTGTATATGAGGCAGCCTATAATACTAGTTCCTCAAATGGTGTTCAGTAATTTGACTAAAATACAAACAAGGCATTAACATTAAATGTCACTCCTGCTATTTGTTACGGATGCCAAATGTGGAAGTGACATAAAAATAGGACCCAATAAGATGGCTTTAAATTGTACATGTATTTCAACAGAAAATAATGAATTAACCATCAAAGCATGTGACACTTCAGTGTATTTCAGTATGTGATAAGGATTTGGTATCACACAGCATACTGTTGAAGCTATTAGAAGCTATAAGGTATGAGAACCAGTAAAATACTACATCTTGATTCACAAGATCTCAGTTGCTCCACTGGTTCTTAAAATAATTCATATGTCAGGCCCGTAGCCAGGATTTGCCAAGGGGGTTTCACTTTTTGAAAATTTCCAGGGGGGGTTCACTTTTGACAATTGTGGTCTAAAAATGGCCAAAATCACTTAAATGTGCTCAGAATGATGAAAAACTGCATGATTTTGAAAGAATTTTTGGCCAGGGGGGTTCACTCAAACCCATCGAGCCCCCTGGCTATGGGACTGTATGTATTGTAAAAAATTAGGAACCCATGGTTAACCTCCTATCATTTTGCTCTATAATATGAAGTTCAGATTAAGGTGGAGTTAACTTGAAAATTCATTTATAGAAGGAAGGAGGTTTTAGTCAAGTGGTGTTTTTTCTAACTTACCTCCAATTTCCTTCACATTCAATACACAGTCATTGAATTGCAGAGCTTTAATGTTAAAACCTGAAAATATAATGGGCAATTTAAACTATCTATTTTAATATACATATATAATTAATTTACATAAATCAACAGCAAATATCATAAATCATATTTCTATCCCGTTTGCTCTTTCAAAATAGACTATAATCCATTAACACTAGGTAGTAGTCACAGTGTAGTCTGTATTCAACAGACTGAATCTCAATGATTCGAATTTATTTCAAGTTTATGATTTCCAGTAATTTTACCTGTTGTTTTCATTTACTAGTTTTCATTTATTAGTATTTAGCCTGTTGTGAGAAATCCTGGTGAAACTCCTGAACTATATCCTATTAATGTGGCAACAAAGATTAGAACCATGAAAATGTAGGAAGCGATATTTCCAAATTCCATGCCATTATGTCCTTTGCTTTCCTGCACTGTACTTTTAACCATCTCAAAAAAAGAAACTTAAAAAATATCATAAAAAACTGGCTTTTGGAACTCTTACCTGAAGTTGGCTGTAATTCATTGAAACTCTCTCCACTAAGTAGATTTAACAGAGTGGATTTTCCGGTATTTGACAGGCCAATACAGATCACTGAGAATTCAGGCTTTGCGGCACGTGGCTTTCCCCCACATATGCTTTGAAACACCTAAAAATATAATAAGCAGAACAATTCATGTTTGGTTTGCAATGCAGGTTTAATCTAAGCAAACCCCTATCATAATCATAATCATGCATGATCTCCCCATCATTAAAGCATGTGGGCGCAACACTCACCTGAAATTTTGAAAATAGGCTTGCACCCACCTGAAAATCCATTTGCACCCACTTGAACATGAGAAAAATCATGAAAAGTGGGCATATTTTGACCAAATTTGGACTGAATCGTGATAATGAGAATTTTGCACCCACTTGAGAAAGAATCCTGTGGAGATAACTGTATTAAACATATTATACATACAAATGTTATATGCGAATTGATCAATTCAATGATTCTGAACAAAACACTTAGTATAGACATGGGCTTTCAACTAGAGAGCCCATGGTATAGACCAGGTATTGTACAGACAAATAAATACCAGGTGAAATATTGACTTTGTTCACAGTTTAAAGAAGGCGTGAATACAGTCATGTTTGAAAGTGTGACTTATGAGACTGAAGTATTATACTATTGATAACAAGGGTTCTAATACACTGAAACAAAGCTCTTCAAAAGTTGAAGTCCATTTCATTTTTTTCTTTTTCAATTACATGTAATCAATAAGATTTGGAAAATGAAACGAATAAGACTTTAACTTATCTACCAGTATTGAGTCTGGTTATACTCATACATTTAACTGTACCCACTTCGTTCTCTCCACTATGGAGCATAAGCACAAACATTTAGTCATGTGAAATTTGGTTCATTGATTTTAATACAGGTTATATGATTTCTTTATAGAAACCTCAAATTAGATAAATTGTTTTATAAATACACTTAGACACACAATGAAGGGGAATCAGCAGCTGTGCCGCTGTCCTTTGAGAGGGAGTAACTCAGTGGGTTTCATAACATAGCCTACAAGCTACATGTAGATGGCCTTTGGAAGGGTAATTGAACTAAGCCATACTAGAACAGCCAGATTTTATTTAAAATGAATAAATCTTCTGTTGTGGGTCTAAGTGAATATGGTGATATGTATAAATATATATATATATATAAAAGGTCTAACAACGACCACAATTTTCTTCAGATAAGGGCTTGTACAGGAATGCCCCTTGGACGAGAATGCATCTAGGTCCTCTAGTGAGTCTATTGTAGTGACCCTTGGGCACATTCGTCGGGAAGATGTAGTGTAACAAGCCAGATACTAGACCCTAGTATGTATCCAACAGACCGAATATAATATTCGGTCTGAATTTATTCAGACGAAGGATACAGTCTATAGTCTATACTAGACCCGGCCAAAAGGGGTGGGCTAAATTCAATGTGGGAATCGAAACCATGGATTATCCGCTCTCGAGGCAGACGTAGACAGCTGAGACTGTAGTAGCGACATTCTATAGAAGGGCATTAAGCTACACTAGAGTCAATACGTCCAAATCCAAACAGGGGGGTAAACACGAACGGGTTCCAAATAATGGCAAGCAGATCATTGAATTGAATAATAGTACCTCTACTACCTCTACATAATATTTATAGCCTGAAAGATACAATATAATGATGTATACCAACAATCTTACAATAAAATAATCAATTATGATGATTTAGGTGTTCGGAATTACCCCCATGCTAGTGTTTGGAATTACCCCCACAAACTCTGTGCGTTTAAATAAATAGATGTCAGTAATAAATGATTTAAATTTGGGTTTCTTGATATGCAGGGGTGACAGGATCCAGTATCATAAGTTAAGGGTATCATATAATGATATACCATCAATCTAATAATTAAAACAATTAAGTTTAAGTTAAGTGTTTGGAATTACCCCCATGCAAGTGTTCGGATTTACCCCCCAAAAAAACTCCTGTTCGGAATTACCCCCCTGAAATACCTTGTAGTAAAAATGGAATAACCCAGATATTTTTTACAATTTTTCGTAATTTTTTCTGCAAATGCATTCTACCGTGGATAATACACATAATATATATAGAATCATAGCATAGATGTGCAGTACAGCCAAGCTAACTACATTTTTTGATGGGGGTGTTTGGAAATAGACGTACTGACTCTAGTCTAAATAATTAAATTCAAAGAAAAACAATTGTAAAAATTACTTACAGTGTAAACACAGATTCTACAGATCCCACAAGCAAACTGGAGACTCTCCAAGATACTAGACATCTTTAATTTTAATACTGACCATGTTTTGGTAAATATAGTCCGTACATTGAGCTAAATTAGCTGTAAACCTACAAATATTAATTATTTTGAATATTTTTTTCACCGGAAGTTTACATCGAGATCTCGCGAGATTATACGAGAAGTACCTGTTCTTCCGGGTTTTTGAAGGTGAAATATATAAAGAAAACGTTGATTTTCTTTATTATTCATTCAGGTAAGAAATATTGTAGATATCTTTTTGTCATAATCGTTAATCAAACTATAGGACCAACCCCAAAATTCTGAGAAACCCTTAGAAATTGATAGAACTTCTTTCATTGTCATTGAATGTCAGTGACATTCACATTCATTGTCACTGTCAATGCCATTGTCAATCTCATTCAATGTCATGGGGTCTGGGGTGTGAAACAGTATGTATTCATTGTCTTCAGAACTTATTTCATTTCTTTAGTACAATTTCATCAAAGTCCAATCAGGCCCGTAGTCAGAGGGTGGGTCATACCAAAATCTCCTCGCGACGTAGATTCTCCAGTCTGTCTGACCCAGTGTGCTTAAAGTTGTTTAAGGCAGTTTTACTGTCAGCTTTGCATGGTTTTCTGCGCCATTTTGAACCACATAATTTGGGCTGAATGAAAAGGTGAATGACTGCGATATACTGTACCACTGACCTCACTCTCACAGGAGATGGGTACTTACTGAAAAAAGGTTTTATAAGTAGATGATTATATATTATCTGTATTATGTACTGTATAATATTTCAGATTCATGAATGATATTTATATTTGGATTTGTTACCCTAAGGAGTTTGAATTGCATGTACTAATTATAATTTTGTGTATTTTCAGGTTAAAAGTAGTTCCCAAATTAGCACAATGGCAAATGAACTTTCTTTTATCGAAAATGATCTGCTACAAGAGCTAGATGGAGATCGAGAGAATATCAAAGAGATTATAAACTATTATGGCGGATTTGATGAACTTCTAAAAAAGGCTAAAACTGGAGATGTTGGGGCCATGTTAACTCTTGGCAATGCATACTTTGTTGGCACACATTGTAAAAAGGATAGAAAGGAATCTTATAAATGGTATGAACATGGTATCCAAGCTGCTGAGAAGAGCCCAGCCCATGATGTCCTCATTGATTATTATTATGAATTTGCTACGTTATTGCTGGTCGGAGGATTCAAGGAGGTGATAGGTGATTTGAATGAACATATTGCTGTAAGGGCCCTTCATTTGTTGAATGTTGCTGCAGAAGGCGGTCAAAGACGTGCCCAGCATTCTTTAGGAATGATGTTTATGTATGGAGATTTTGGTATGGGAGTCGATTACAATAATGCTGAGAACTGGTTCTCAAGAGCTAGTGCTGATAAGGAGGAAAACCTAACAGCCAATCAGAAACTTCTCCGAGATCCTGAAGCAGATTCTGACCCCTTAAAGTATGTATGTTTGTATCGGCTTTGGGAAATGTATAGTACTGATCGGAACTCAAAGAGGGCACCTCAACATGACATTGCTGTCAAATATCTAAAAGGCTCTGCAGAAGGAGGTTTCCCAGAGGCCCAAAGGGAACTTGGGAAATTATATTTAGAAGGAGATATGAATGTTGAAAAGAATACTGCCGCCTGTAAGCTTTGGCTTGAAAAGGCACAGGCAAATGATGCTATCGCCAAGAGACTATTGAATAAGCTGTCATTTCCAGCTGATGGGACAGTTCGTAAAATGTGCCATAATGAGTCGTGTAATAAATTGGAAGGGGAAGGAGGAATAGAGAAACTTTTGAAATGTACAAGGTGTAGAGTGGCCTTTTATTGTGGGAAAGAATGTCAAAAAGCCCATTGGAAGTTGCACAAGAAAGTGTGTCAGAAGACAGGCACTGAGCATTCTTGTAAAAAGTGATTTTATGAAGAATATGTCATTGCCAAATTTTTTCTACTTAATGTCCTCGTAAATACACTTAATTTGATACTACTTAATTTGGATGATTTGCTTTTCAAATATTGATCAAAATGGCCGCTCATTTAAAAATGGCGGCCATTTTAGTGCCGATTTTACAGTAATTTAGGTTCTGCATATAAAACTGTAATAGCAATATGTTTTAAATGTAAAAAAGTTATATAGGACATTGATTAAGCTAGAATTGTAAATATAGAAGAAATGGCATGGCAGCCATCTTGAAAAATGGCTGCCTTTGCACATCATTTTACGATTTTTGCTGTAACTTGAAAAGTAGTGGAGCGATTTTGTTTATATTTGGTATGTGAATACTTTAAGCATGGCACAATGTCTACTAACATTTTGGGCAGTATGCGGCCATTTTGAAAAATGGCCGCCATTTTTACGTGTGTTTTTAACATTTTTTACTGTAACTCAAAAAGTAGTGGAGCGATTTTGTTCATATTAAGTATGTGAATACTTAAGCATGGCACAATGTCTAATGACGTTTTGGGTAGTAGGCGGCCATTTTTAAAAATGGCCACCATTTTTACGTGTGTTATGTAACATTTTTTACTGTAACTCAAAAAGTAGTGGAGCAATTTTGTTCACATTTTATATGTGAATACTATAAGCATGGGACACTTTGGGTAGTAGGCGGCCATTTTTTACGTTTTTACTATAACTTGAAAAGTAGTGGAGAGACTTTTTCATATTCGATATGTGAATACTCATGAACCTTGCACACTGTCTCATGACACTTCATGTAGTAGGCGGCCATTTTAAAAAATGGCTGTCATTTTTACATTTTTACTATAACTCGAAAAGTATTGGAGCGATTTTGTTCACATTTGATATGTGAATACTTTAAGCATGGAACATTGTCTAATAAAACATTGGGGGGTAGTTGGCCATTTTGAAAAATGGCCGCCATTTTTATGTGTGTTATTTTTCATTTTTTATTATAACTCAAAAAGTAAAAGATCGATTTGTTCATATTTGAGATGTGAATACACGTAAGGATTGCAAACTGTCTTATGACATTTTTGGTAGTAGGCGGCCATTTTAAAATATGCCAGCCATTTCTGTTTGATGGGATTTGCTACGCTTTGGCATTGCTGTTCTGGTTTGGCCAAGAAAAAATGTCCAGTGTTGGTAGGTGTTCACACAACAGAAATGGTAATTTATACACTACAGAAATAGATCTGAAAATTGGCTGATTTTTCAATCCACCAAATTAAAAAGTGAGCCAAATTAAGTGTACATGCATCTTCAGTTGTATTACATCATATTATGTGTCATTTATATGAAAACAACTAAAAAAGTACCCCAATTTGTATGGCTTTAAAGATATAGATGAGTGGTTATGACATCAATCACTGTCAGTACAAAAATTTGGAAAAAGTGGGGCTATTTTGGAATTTTCTGCAAAAAGCTTCAAACAATTGGAAGATCAATTTAAAATCTCAAATGGATTCCTCCATAATTGGCATCTATTCTACTTGTACTTCATAACTCTTTCAATAGAGGCATTTTCTTCTGGAAAGTCATGAATATTTTTAAATTAACAAGTGGAACATGCAGTCCAATCCCTAACAAAAATGCCCTCTTGAACATCTTTTGTATTTTGTTAAGGAAGATTGTGATGTGTTAATTTGGTGCTTATTCTAGATTGCCAATTTACAGTTGCTTAATACAATTTACAAAATTTTGTCAGGATTTCAATAATTTCAATGAGACGGATGTATGACTTTTAACGCCCTGTGAATTGGTATTTCACTTTAATCCTTGTACTAGATTAGGGCTGATCTGCATTGGAAAATGAGAGAAGTAAGATTTACAACATGTAAGAAAGTGCATAATAAAATGTTTAAATATCAACAAATAAAACAAGTTTTCTTGGTTTGTAACATACACTGGTTTTATTTAAATAGGAAATCTAAGTTTAACACAGTACAGCTGACAAGATTTTGGACATTAAAAATATTTCTAAGAATCTCAATAAAAATCTCCTTGGGACAAAATGTGTTGATAAAACAAACTCCAAAATACACAAATAAATCGTTGTTCATGCATGCATAATGTGCTGTATTTCTTTTTCATTTCTGGACACTGCAAACAGAACTTTTCACAACAGGTATTGAACTCTGAAAAACGCAAAAAAATATTTTCCCATTTCATGGCTACAAGCCCAATGCCACCAGAACATAAACTTGTTATCTCCAGGTTATAAATTGAGACAAAAACTATATTGCAAACTAAGGTATCTACAAATAATTTACATTGCTGATTCGACCAACTGTCATCACCATTTACATAATACATTAATATGGGATTCTTAAGAGTAAGAGAATAAATTAAATTTAAGAGCCTGTCACATCTTCATTTTTTAATCTAATATGATGGCACATTTTTGATGTCCTGATAATTTGCAATTTTGTTTTATTCATGATTATTCCATTGGCACTCAAATGAGAATCAGATATAACTTATTACTTAACAGCTTATAGTCTAACAACTATGCAGTAAGCCAGTATAATAAAAATATAAATCGAAAAATGAGCTGAATACATAAAATAATCTCATCCAAGTTTACTTATTTGACTAGTAGTATGTAATAGATTGACAACAGAGATCAAAAAATACAAGTATATTTACATTTATAATTGATGTATACAATTCATGGAACACACATATACACCCTACAATACAAATGACACTTGCTATCAGGACGTTTTCCACCTTATATTAGAACTACATGTACGAATAGTGAGTAATTTGGCCTATTGATTCAATTAAATATAGATCTAATGACATTTGGCAATATAGAAATAGGAAGCACAATATAGTGTGCAGCATAGAATCTGAAGTGATATATTTTAAAGACAGCACTTAATACTGAGACATTCATAACATTTGGCTAGGAATACCCAATCTGAAAATACTTAGATTTAACTACAAGAGACTTTAAAGATAGTATTTAAAGCCACCGGGTTCTCTTACAGAGATCTTACCATACCATACAACTATAAATATGAAAAATCTTGATTACATTGAATACTGTAAACCTACAAAAATTTTGCACAAATAAACTATAGGACTTTACAGCTCAAAATTTAAAATGTGCAAAAAATGTCTGGGTTTACAATACATGATTGTAAAATTGCACTCAAATATGAAATTCATTGATTATAATTCCTAGAGTAAATGCTGATGTACAAGTACTTAATTATTACAAACATTCTTTTATATAAATAGTTCAAACATCTTCACAACATACAGCTATATGAACACAAATAATGGGACTTTATGTATTTTATACAATGAGGAGTCAATCTGCATTCTAGAATCTAGTCATGTAGGAATCACAAAATTTCATTGAATGTAATCCTTTATACGGTGTCCCATAATGCAATAGTTCTGGCAGATGACATTCTATTGACATTGCAGTTGACTGGCTGAGGTGTCATATCCAATGCAAATCCAAGATTCCTTCCCATAATGCAATTATCTCAGTAGACACCCTAATACGATTAAAGGGACTCTTTCCAATAATGCAAGGTTCCATGCAGACTGCATCCCATTTACACTCAACAGCGGGGCGTTCAATCCAATTCACACAGGTAATAATACAGTAAGGAAATTGTTAGAATGAATGTGTGTTTTATAAATACTCCTTCCCATAATGCAATGGTCGGAGCAGACGACACTCTAGTCCAGTTTTGTGGCATTTCTGGCTGCAGCCTGCGCTGCTTCTGAGATAGCATCATTGGCAAGACCTTCAGCTGAAAAGAAAACCATTTCAAGTTTGACTACATACGTAATACGCAGCAAGCTAGCTATACATCTAATAAAATATTCAGAAAAATTACAACAAATAATATGAACATTTAAATTTAATGTTGAAGCTAAAAGGTAAATACAATCATTTAATCTGTTATTTAAAACCCTTAAAGTAAAATATAAAGAGATTGAGAAAATGTATTTTGGTTGAAAAATGAAAAAAATTCTTTGCTGGGATATGAACCCACTCAACCAGTAAGCTTGCTAACCACTACACCATCATGCTAATTGCTTATGAAAGAGAATTTGTTTTGAAAAACATAAATTATTTTAGAAAATGTTACCTCACTACACTAAGATTATATTAGAAAATGAGTTATTGTTTGAAATAAAAAAAGAAGCCTTAAAAAACTTAAAGTAGAAACATAAACAACAGCCATTAGTGCTAATGCAGAGCTTTAGTAAGGTGTGACTTAGTAATGGTATCCATATTTAAACAATTGAGATTATTATGATGTTTGATTTAAACCCTCTTTACCTTTTTGATTTCTATTTATCAACTTTACAGATAAACATTATCTGTTTTCGACAAATGTTGATATTTGACTCGATCGCTTAAAAGTGAAATGTTTTTTTGCAAAAAATGGAGAAAAACACGAATATGTAATGGAAGAAAATATTAGTTTTGGCTCAAGTGTTTCAAAAGCAAAGTGTGCCTCAGTTTTTTTTCATACCCTGGCTGAAACTTCATGAGGGCAAACCAAGAGTACAATGTTTTAGTGCCTGAGTTAATGACATGCATAATATTCCTTTCACCAGTAATTGAAGATATTTCCTTAAAACCCATTTGAGAAAACATTGATAAAATTTAAAGTATTGCCGGGGTCACATTTGCTCCGATTTGGGTAATTTGTTCAAAATTGAAGGTCAATTTTGAGGTCAGATGTGAACTCCTGAGAACTTGTACATGATTTAAAAAATTTGGTCAATTTAAAGCAATTTGAAATCAGTTTTGAACATAATACTGCGATTGACCAGGCACTGGCCGATGTCTCGGAGCAAATGTGACCTAGATATGCCATTAGAGTGAAGAAAGATAGCCAAGTTGTATGAATAAGTATAAGTAACCAATTTTCAATTAAAGGGATTTGAACAGAGAATTAAAAAATTCAAAATAACCCTGAACATAAGAGAACTCAACCTGTAGTTTTTCCTGTGCGTAGAACTAAAAAAATGTATTGAATGAATTAACAGTAACTATGTTCTTTGATAAACTACTCTCTAGATATCTATAGCTGACAAATATACTATTTGAGAATGCCTATTAAAGTAGATTCTGGCATGCCAGAGCCCCTCTCATCTGCCATTTGGAGGGATAAAGACAAAGGGCACGCGACTATCATGACGAGTTAAGTCATAATAAGCATCACTTTGGTCAAAATTGGTATTTGAGCCAAAAAGTTATAAGATTTTGCTGAAAATGAATGCTTCTGCCCTCTTGAAAAAAAATATAAGAGGGCCTCTGAAAAGAGCTTCAAATTCAAGAGAAGGCTATTAACATTTGAATCAATTTTTCATTTTCCTCAAACAATTTTTACTGTTTATACTTGTCATATAATTTTACTAATGGCCCATATTAGGGGAGTATTAATTTTTCCACAGAATTTTATTGAGTTCTTATTTCTTTGCCCTTACATTCACTGGCTAAATCTCCCATTTTGTCAAGAGCTTCATCCACTTCAGCTTCATATTTGAGCACAAAAGGACGCACAAACCGTCTGTAGATGAAACTTGCTCCGTTGTTTTCAATGGGTGCCATGCAGTAGATTAGGAATAAGCACTAGTATAAGTAAAATAAAATAGAAAATTAAAAATAACTATGCAGGCATACAGTAAGCCTCATAAGGTATTGTTAATGTGTTAATACACCCATCTAACGCACATAACTATGTATTAACCCTTTATTGATTTGCATTGAACATCAGTAAAAGTTTGCATGGTGATTATAGATCTCCAAAGTATTAAAAAAAATAATCCTAAAACCATAAGATTCATTTGACAATATCTGGATAAATGATCGGGCCTTTTGTAGGCTCTATGTACAAATGTCTGACACACAGACATTCCTGGTTTTACAGTACATGTAGTTTGCAAAATTTGCCATAATGAATCAATATCCCAGATGGGAGTAGAAATCTTGATTTACGTCATTAAAAACTCACAATTCAGTCAAACTGATGTCATATTTGGAATCTACATGTAAAATTACATTTAGAAATGTGGTTTTGAAAAGAGTTTATCAACTTTGAAAATTTAATTTTCTTTGAAAATGAGACTTCTAGGTCGGGGAGATTCCCCATAGACCCCATGTTGTAAAACCACAAAAAGTGAAATATCTTTTCTTGTGTTGGGCAGATAATATTTTCTTTTACTGGACATATTTTAATTTGTATAACTATCAGTTACATAAGGGTAATATGAAAAGTGAACCACTAAAACTGATGCATATTCAAGTTTAAGGGAATTTTGTAATACCCTGCCATGTTAATTCTCCCGAATCAGCCACCTGGTGGCGAAACTGGTAACTACCTACTCGCATCTGAGTAATTAATGCCCCTTCAAATTTTATTTAGAACTTATACTAGTATGTACTTTACAAGTTCAGGGTCAATATTGATAATGTATGGTCAACGAAGGGTTAATCTAATGTGAAGATCTATCTATGGATAAACTAAACACTGAAACATGCATCATTTAAATAAAAATACAAATGTATATGTAACAACAAGGATTGTTTGTCATGTTTTATGACCCAGATTCTAATCCATCTACAACTTTTTGAATATTTTGATATTGTTTTAAGAATTTGATAGAAGTCACAAAACATGACAAACTCAGAAAATATTATTTGAAATATTAGTACAACATAATATAAATCAATACCATGCATCTAGCATCTACAATAAGCAAAACTGTTGTTAATGTTAGTGATATGTTAATAGGTGTTTTTACAGGCAACATAAACTTTCTATTAAGGCCTATACAAATAATTGTCTGTTTACAGCCTACCAGGCCACCAAAAAGCCTCCCGGTCAAACGTCTTGTCTTTCATTTTCAGGATTGTAGAATTTTAATTTCATTTAGACATGCCTTTGGCAAGTTAAGAGTAAATGAGAAGCCTGGCCACTTGGTAGTTTTCCCCCCCCAAAAGGCATTGAAACGGACAATTCACCTGAAGCAGCCTTATTTGTGCAAAAATGCTGTCAAGTCTTTCTCAAGTCCATGAAAGACCAGTCAAATACATTGCAAAGAACATGGAAGAACATTATTTACTGGACATGTAATTGTGAATCATCCACTTTTTGTAAACAAATTACTTGTGTCATTGTGGGATTATGTTTTGAAGAAAATTTGAGACAATTTTTGAGAACAGTTTATGTAAGCACACACAATATTTTTATTTTGAACAATGTTGCATTAAAACAAAGCACTTTTGCTCAATGATCATGAGAGATAACACAAAAACCACTTTCTTTATCATTTCTTTATCATATTTGACTAGTTGTCATGGCCTTTACTTTAAGCACAGCGCCTGCATGCTACATTACATGTATATTTATAAATACAAACCGGCTTGGCCCATTTTATCTAGTGTGTCATCAACTTTTTCCTGGTGGCGAAGGATGAATGGTCTAATGAATCTGTTGTAGATCACATTAGAGCCGTTCCAGGGGAATGGGGCAAAACAGTAGACCAGGAAAATACACTACAATTCAAAAATAACAGGTCATGGTTATTATGCATGTGAATTTGAGAAACTTGAATAAATGCATGTTAATGTGATTGGTCAGGTTTCCTAAAATAAATTTCTATGACATTTCCAAACAAAAATATTATGTCCATGTCTATAAAAACCTTGGTAGCACAACCAAAGTAGACCCTCAGATCAGGCTGACCCCAAGGGGACAAAAATTTGATTAAGCGATGTCTCCAATGCTGTTTGGGTAGGCTAGTCTTGTAGCAGTCCCGCCAAAATGGATTCTGTGTATTCTGTATTTTACTGGAAAACTTTGACACACAACAGTTATGAACGGTGTCTTTCAACCCTACGTTTAAACTTTTGAGATTTAAAAACAGTAGAATTTAAGTTTTTAAATGACTTTTTGTTTCTGTTCATATAACATGTACTGTTATTAAGTTTCTATACATGGAGGTCATATACAGAAACTTAACTGGTATGACCTCTACATGTGAAAATATTACTCCAGTGCACGTCAATCATTTTGGCAAATACAAAGATGACTAAGTCCAAAAACACGAGGGTGATTTCACATTCTATACATTCATACATTCTATACATGATATACATAATTTGAATGTTTTTATCAATTTTTATCAGCAATTGGATTGATCAAAAATGATATAATTGTAATGAAGAAATCAAATGAGATAAGAAACATTGAATCAAACATTACTTAGACATATTTCAAGTGCAGGTTATACATAATTGTACTTCAAATGATAAAGTATGTATTTGCCCAATGACTAATACTGGAACTTACATCTATCTACCATGATGTAGGGATCCCACAATACATTATCTTATGATTCTAATTCAATATTTCCTCCTGCTGATGATTAGAAAAACTCTTCCCTATTTGACAGATGTTTAACAGAGTCGCAATGTTTCAATGTACATGGAATCCCCAATATTAAGGGAAAATACTTTTGATCCCCCTTTTGACAAACAGATGTTCAACAAATGAGTCACAGTGTTTCAATATATGTGGGGATCCCAAATATAAGGCAAAATACTGTACTTCCGATCCCCCTATTTGACAAACAAATATTTGACACATGAGTCAAAATGTTTCGATATTTGTGAAGATCTCCAATATAAAGGAAAAATAATTTCCTACCCCCTATTTGAACAACAGATGTTTAATACATGAGTCTTACAAGTATGCAACTCAACTTACACCACCTAACAGATAATAAAACATACATCAAGTTGTACATGATAAGAATTTAATATTAATATATTATGCAGGTCTATTAATCTGGTCTGTCCAAATGAAATATATGCAATGTGTGCCAAGTTTAATCATGCTGACATGTACTTTAGCACAATAGATAATAGATTAGTAAATAGTAAAATGGACATCATTATTGAAAAATATGTCTGAAATATTTTACTTTTTACTAAATTTTTAACATTTTGACCAAACAATTGCATTTAAAATTTCTTGGGTGAGATTTGCTATTAATCTGAATGTTTGGAGACATCTATAAATTGCTCATTTCTTAATTTTTTTAATATTACCTTGAGTAGCCAATAGAAGGGTATCCAGAATAGGAAGATGTCAGCGAAGAATTCAACGAGGCTGAATGCGCTGTAAACGACCCAGTATGTCAGCCACTGAGTATCGTCATCCTTTCTTGTACTTTCTATAGCCTTCACGCTGAAATATCAATCACAGTCACTCAATAAAAAAGACACATAACCATCCCTTTGAAAACACACATTTACCTCAATAATGTACAAAATAATATCCAAAACACTCATTTTCTAGTTCCTCAAAATCACAACTACTGTTAAAATGAGAATAAATCTGCTAATATAACTTGATATTTTTGTTTTAATTACAATTGTATACAATTGTTGACCTCTCCAGAGGTCAACCGGCAAAATTGTATACCGAGACTGTAAACCGAGACACTACTGTTGACAGAGACCGAAGGTCGAGGTCAACAGTAGTTTCAAGTCGAGGTATATGATTTTGACAGTTGACCAAATGGAAAGGTCTACAATTGTTTTGTTAGTCAGAAGAAACTAATAATACACATATAGACGACAATCATCAATCATGGCTTCATTTTACAATCTTTTCTCCAAACCACGCCAGCAATGATTTTTTAAGAAAATCTGAAGACAGTGGTAGCTTAACTCTCTGTTTCCGGCACATCACTGCGTACTTACTAGTAAATTAATGTTAATTTTACGTTTCTATTTGTATTTTTGCAATTCTTGTCGTCTAGTAAAGTAAAAAAATATCACTTTCATTGACGTTTACAAAATGTCCCTCTACCATGTTTTTTCTGTAAACATTATGACGTCATATTCCCCATAATTCACAAGTGTAGTACAGTAACAAACGCGGTCAATAATATGATATCCCATGATGCACAGGTGGGGTACAGGCAAAAATGTTGACCGCTAATTGACCAATCAGATGCGAGTATTTACACCGAGGTACTAACAATGGAAATTGTAGCATTCAAATGTTATTCTTCACAGGTTTTATTTGATTCTAATTTGTTTTTTATTTTCTAATTTGTTCTTTATTGCTATTTCAGTAGAATATAATAAATTTTTATGTTATCAGATATAAAAATCACATTTAATATAATTTTCATTTTGGCATTCTGGCACTTTTATTAGCAGCAATCACCACGAAATTTTATCTGGTTGTTTTTACAAAAAATCTACATCTATTTGAATGTGAACTTTGTTGTTGTCTCAATGTTAAAACTAATTCTGCATGTTACACAATACCACACCCCCCCCCCATTCTCTGATTCAATGTTTATAAAGTCAAGCTAAAATGCAAACAAGTATAAATCAGATATGTTGGACTTTGATTTGTGGATTGGAAGATCAGTTACATGCCATACGGGTGTGATTAGTGTGTTAGTCATATGATTTCTGTACTTATTTATGTTCTATGTTGATATGAGAGGTGAGAAAGTGTGTGAAATATGACTCAAGAAGTGAAGAAATGGAACGAAAGTTTAAAAATATGGAATACTGGGAAAATGAAATAAAAAATAAGAAGTACAAGGTCCTAAAAATAGTGAATAACGTGCTCTAAAATTATTTTAGAAAATGAGAAGAGAAGTATTACCACTAGGGGTGAGACGAGTCGAAAAAATCCGATTCGAGTCGAATACGATTCGAGTCAGAAAATGATGATTCGAGTTTCGAATCCCTTTCGAGTCGCGCGAAGTGCGAACAACATCGCTTTTGACCGTTCGTATTTTTAATGCGTCAATGGTGGAAAGCCGGAAATATAAACAAACACAATTCGTCGTAAGTTTATTCTGATTTTATTACATATATTCTTTCATTTATGTGTACATACAATATAATAATTTAATACAAGCATATCCAAGTCATTGAAACTTATATATTCAACGCAATATCGAGTAAAAACATGCATATTGACAGTATTTTTCTGAATTTTTTTATTTTTTCGAATTTTTTTCTCAACTCGAAAATGATTCGATTCATCAACTTCGACTCGATTCGACTCGACTCGAAGCCCCAAACCCGCGAGTCCTCGACTCATCGGGTTGTCGTCTCACCCCTAATTACCACCCATTCTGTAACATTCCTCCCCCTCCCCCACTCTAACTTCACATGTTTTCATCTTCAAGTCACTAAGACATGGTTTAAATAGAAATCAATATGCCTATTTCCCATATGCCCACAACATGAGCTAAACTTAACAATAGCTTGCCCATGTTAGGATTTTGGAAAGTTGTATTCAGATGCCTTATAAATAAGCTCATAACTGCGCATTCTTCCAGGTTTGTATGCAATACTGGTTAGGACTATTTGATCTATGATGGCAACTAGATGACTGACATGATGAGTTCAAAACTGAATTCATTTTAATAATATAATGGTCAGAGAGTAATATGACGTCCCAGTAGAGATTCAATAGGGATTCAGGGTACCATCTTTCAACATCTGGATCATATCCAATATATGACTGTTTACACTGATCATCCCTAATCTCATTTCATGATGTTTTATCTAATTACTGTTAGCAGATATGATAATTAGTTCACCAGTATACATAGAGATGATGAATTGACCTGGTAATGTATTATATTATGGCTTTTAGTAGGAACTAGTCCTGAACTTGTTCATTAGAGTTGGAAATAGTCAGTATTACCCATTTCCAATAGGCATTGATTTTGATTGTTTCTAGCTTCATTGAACATGTTTATATATTGATACTAGGAGAAAAATGTTCTTATTTTTAAAAGTAATGTTCAAAATCCTGTTCATAATTTATCCCTTGTCAAAATCTCACCCCTATATGGCATAGTGTAGAAATGATTAAAACATCTAAGAGTAGTACTAGCCTATATGTAAACCAGTCAAAAGGAAAACAAACCCCAACTATCCCAAATCATAATCCAACATTAGAATCATTCAGCCTAGTTAGAAAAAAATTACGATTTTTGGAGTCATTATATTTTGGGACCTACTTTTTATGACTCGTACCAAGATTTTTTAAAATGTGGGATCTCAGGGCGGGGACCCACTTTTTCAGACCCTAATGAAAACACTGATTCTGTCCTAACATCTTCACAATATCTGGTAAATGTGTTGATGTATATGAAAAGATTTTGGTGAACACTCTGAGCAATGAAAGTTCTATACTTACGATGCATATGCTGGATATAGGAAACCAAGGAAGTTACACAAGAACTGCGCCCCATATCCTACCATAAGATAAAGTGCTAGGAATGCTACCAAACCTAAAACAAAAAAATGTATAAAATGTAGATCAAGTCTGTACAATTTGATGCAAATTCTTTTGTAAGTTTCATGATTATATAGTAACAAAATAGTATTTAATGTTAAATAATGTAACATTTTCTGGTACAACTGTGTACAATGAAAAATAATGTAACAATGTCTGGTATAACTGTGTACAATGATAAATAATATAACATTATCTGGTACAACTGTGTACAATGATAAATAATGTAACATTGTCTGGTACAAATGTGTACAATGATAAATAATGTAATAACAATGCCTGGTACAACTGTGTACAATGATAAATAATGTAACATTGTCTGATACAACTTTGTACAATGATAAATAGTGTAACCTTGTCTGGTTCAACTGTTCAACAATTATAAATAATATAACATTGTCTGGTAGAACTGTGTGTACAATGATAAATGTAACAATGTCTGGTACAACTTCAGACAATGTTAAATTAGTGAAACTGCTTAATTGAATTGTTATAATATTTATTTTTGGGAAGTGAAGCTTGATAATTTTGTGCACAAAATTCCTTGTTTTTTCCACAGGAGGGATCAATAGACTGAATTCTCAAGATATTCGGTCTATTGGATATAGACTAGGTCAAGGGCTGAAAAACTTGAATTTACTATGATGAATCATCTACGGTTTTGACAGAAGATAGCACTAGGCGAATTGTTATAAATTATATTATGTGCCATGGTTGAGCCAAACCCATGCAGAGGTCGTTAACATCGCCATGGGTGTACCAGACCCGACACATGCATTTGATTCTGACTCTGGTAATTGACCAGAACTTGAATGAGCCTAGCAAAACGATCAATCGATTGAAAATTTGAAAATTGTGATCCTGAAAATTTCTGAGAAAAATCTCGATTTACCTTCCATACTTAAGATTGTAGCTGCCTTTACATCATTTCTAATAAATTACATACTTCTGACTATATTCCGCAGATTCTTTTGTTGATTTCATGGTCAGTTGATGAGAATAAAGTATGAGAATCTTATTCATAGTTTTTTATGTTTGTATACATCCGGTATATCGAATGTGCATCAGCAATAGACTAGATGTGAGTAGAAATAATTAGTGGTGTCAATTTACAGCCAAAAACATTGTTCGATTAACTAAAGATTTGACGGTTAAAGTCGGTTAACTGACAGAGAGATTGAAAAGAGTATTTTAGAATTCTTTTTATGTTGTTAGATCGCCAATTGTATGGGTTTATCGGCAGAACGAAGAGATTTTAGTTTTAAAATCGGAAATATGTCAGCAATTTTCAAAATGTCTGAAGGGGAATTCTCCAGGGATTTCCCTTATGACTGGTGCATGCCGGGAACTGAATGGAGGAATTTGACGGTTGAAATAAGTTAAATATTACATGCAAATATTGCTATCAAAAACGAAAATATCTTCGTTCTGCCGATAAACCCATACAATTGGCGGTCTTTACTCGAGTCTCTAGCTTACAGCTAGATGTAACTTCATTGATTTCGTATGTACTCGTATTTCGTATGTAAAAATTGCTACACGCACCTAGAAATCATTTTTATTAAATTTTATAAATATTTCTAAGAATATTAATTATATTTAGGATGAAGCGGTGCTTGTCTGGATTTAGATATTTCAAAATTTCTTTTCGGAGTTTGACACATGGTGAAATTTACTCGCTGTAGCTAAAAAATGGCTTCCGGTTCCGAACGTGAATAAATGGAGGAAACTTTGAAATTATTCTCGCTTAAAGAAATCAAATATAACAATAGATTCAGACGGAAATGTGTGATGATGTTTCTCAAATCTATACATAGAGGTATATTTCATATTATTATGCTGTATTTACTGTGCGTGTGACACAATGATTTACAATATTCACAATACCAAGGCAGCTCAATCTTTCTACTCAAAGCCGGAATATAGAGAAGGCTTTGGACCGAAGTAAGGCGGTCTAACAACATAAAAAGAATTCCAAAATACTCTGGAATGTATCAAGGTAGGTCATTTAAGGCGACGCTATATTAAATAAAAAGTACAAAAAATGACTGCCATATTTTTTTGATAAAGACACATGTTTTTAAAATCTGTTTACCTTGTATATGAATTGTGTATCTTGACTAATGAAACATGTCAAAGTTAACATCACACATAAACGCATTTTTCCAAACTATGAATTGGAGGTGCATGGATCCCCAAAGCTAGCATGAAGAGTGCGAAGTGAGGCTAATTTTTGAAAGTTTCAAGGAGTAGCCTTGCAACAGTCACACATTTGCAAGAGTCTAAAATTTCCACAAATCATCTTACCTTTCCCAGGAACAACGAAGGAGCATGAAAATGTGCACTTCTTGCATTGTTAGAGTATAATAAAGCTCAAACCATTGTAAATTCTAAATATTTCATGTCAACATTTTGTTTGCCGGAACTACTTCTAGACTTCCTGATTAATCCTCATGCAAGTTTTGTGACTACACCAAGTGGCATGGATTATCACTTGTATGTTTTATCTATTACAGTGTAATTATCATGATAGATACATGATAGAGGCTTTATGAATGATAAACAATAGAAACATGAATGAAGATAACTCTGGACTAAAAAATAGTTCCAGGAAACAAAATGGTGGACATGAAATATTTAGAATTCACAATGGTTTGAGCTTTATTATACTCTAACAATGCAAGAAGTACACATTTTCGTGCTCCTTCGTTGTTCCTTGGTAAGGTTAGACTATATCTAGAAATTTTGAATTCTTGCAAATGTGTGTCTGTTGCAAGGCTACTCCTTGAAACTTTCAAAAAATAGCCTCACTTCGCACTCTTCCTGCTAGCTTTTGGGAGCCATACACCTCCAATTCATAGTTATGAAAAATGCGTTTAATTGTGAGGTTTTCTTTTATGTGTCTCTTAAGTCAGGAAATGCATTCACATACAAGGAAAACAGTATACAAAATCTTCTGACTTTATCAAAAAAATATGGCTCCCATGTTTTTGTACTTTTGATTAACTTAAATGTCACCTTAATAGTGCAATGCGTTGTTCATTCTCCGACATTGTAGAAAGACAGGCTTACCACTGATACGGGCGTACGACCACAATCTAAAGGGGTCGTAGGATGCGATAAGGCCTACCCCACCCAGAACAGTAAATAGATGTCACTGCAACTGAGTATGAACCACAGTTACAGTGAGGAATAACAGTACAATTGGGTGTACCTTGTTTAGCCACACCCCCTGCACTCGTTTACTTCATTGACCTGAGCTATAAACTCAGTTCAATCTGCATGTCTTTGATTGAAATTATTTGATAAATAATTTTTTCAGTTCACAGAATAAGTCAAAAAAGTCAAGATTGAAGTTACAATTATGCCATAGTTATACGTACCTAACACGAGGTAAAGGCGCCTTACACCGGTTTTAGCTTCGACCTTTGCAAGAGCATCATTCACTGAGTTTTCTTCGTGCAATTTCTTATCTAATTTCACCTTCCAAGAGTCGAAATTTTGTTTCACAGCTTCTGCCATTTTGACAGTTTTGAGATCTAGTGACGTCACGGACATATGACCTACTTAATTCTTCTGTAAAAACAATAAAGAACAATAAAACAGCGTCCAATCATAAAATATTTTATAATTATAATTATATTTAGTTTATTTATATTATGTTATTAGATTAAATGGTGTTTTTGATAATAAACAATTGATTTTCCCATCATTCCTTGTCCTTTTAATTGAACTTCCGGCAGAAAAAATATTTTTGGTTTTTAATTTTTTAGGTCCTCAAATGTTCAATTTGTATCGTATATATAGCCGATCTCTACAAATTGTGATTTTATTCTAAAGTGTGAGTATTTGTAGAACATATCTAGTTTAACAATGGCTTTTGATTACACATGGTGTCTCATCATTTCTAAAAACTAGATCTAAGTTGTTCAACAATTGTCCATATTATTGATGAAAAAGTAGATTTAGACTAGCCTAGGGCAAAGGGATGTAAAGTCTGCGTGTGTGGTAATGTCGACATAAAAGACGGGATTATCCCGTGCCAGGACTATAGTCCTGTAACAAGCGCATTCTTTTGCCTGTATGATTACAACTTGGGAGAATTATCTACGCCCCTTACACTTAAGATACCTACTTCAATAGATTCCTGGGTATTTTAGCATTCTATTCGTGTAGTTGAATCCACAATTGTTTGGGTATATCGGCAGAATGGGAACATTTTTCTTTTTCCTCGAGAGATATTCTATCACTTTCCAAGATGCAGGGCTGTCAACTTGGGACCACCTAATATGAGTGACTTCAAAATGTTGGACACCTAAGTCCAAATCTGAACACTTTTGTCCAAATTTTGAACACCTTTGGCCAACTTTTAAACACCTTTGGCCAAAGTTTGAGCACCTTTGCCAAACTTTGAACACCTCAAATTTTTCGCGCTCGCTACGCTCGCGATTTCGACAACGGGGGGGGGGGGGGGGGGGGGTAGGTACGAAAAATTTCCAATGAACATGCGTGACACATACAGGATTCGCGTGACAAATCCGAACAAATTGCGTTCGGTTTTTTCCGGCGTTCGTATTTTTACCGTATCGTAAACATATTTCGAAAAAATTTCTACAGAAACATTTTTGCTTGACAATTACCAGGTAAAATGCGTATTTTGCGTGACATTTTCTGTCACGCAAAAAAAACTGGCGTGACTTCAAATTCTTCAGCAAATGCGTGACAAATACGCAAATTGCGGGACAGTTGACAGGCCTGAAGATGGTGGTTGGATTTAAAAGGGGATTCCCCGTTTGACTGACCCGGATAACCAAAAATGGAAGAATTTGACGGTTGAAATAAGTTAAAAATTACACGCAAATATTGCGATCAAAAACGAAAATTTCTTTGTTCTGCCGATAAACCCAGACAATTGTGGGTACAAGAAATCTATTGAAATAGGTATCTTAAGTGTAAGAAGCGTAGAAAACTCTGCCATGTTGTAATCGTACAGGCAAAAGAATAAGACGTTCGGAGGACTATAGTCCTGGTACGGGATAACTTTGACACTTACTTATTAGAAGTAGAATTTCCGTTTTCTGCCATGTTCCATGCGAGAAAAAAATTATCGCTTCCCCCTAGATCGGAAATAAGGGCAAATAAACAACAAGTTGTTGAAGCAGAGACATATGTTTTATATGTCTCTGGTTGAAGTTACCCTACATGTCGAAGTTACCCTAAAATGGTGTCGACGTTACACCCCTTTGCCCTAGACATCTATAATTAGGGCGAAAGGGTATAACATCGACACAATTTCGTTTCAATTTTGGGTAACTTCAACTTATGGGGTAAATCTGACACCTTGTTGTTTATTTGTTTCAGATTTTGTTTCTCTTTCATATTATATTGAGATCTCTGGAGATTTTTTTAAAGCAATATATTGGGCATATTTTCTGAAAATTCAAAATATTCTGTTTAGTGACCTTTCAGAAATGCTAACTTTTAACTTTTTTCAGTCGCAATTTCAGAGGGCTGAAAAAGACATTTCAGCATGGTAAGGGTCATTTTGACTTACCTTCTTCTAAGGCCACTGTATCGTGGCCTTCCAGTACAGATATATTCCTGCATGAACAACTGATCATGTCGTAATCATAAAATTTGAAATCATATGTCCGCCATTTTTCCACATCACAATTTGAATTGCGAGTTTTGGTCTTATACCTCACCAAAAATTCCAAAACACACATAAAGTGATCAGTGTATTAGTAAGTTCACATCTTCTGGATCGCTAACTTAGAATTTACAGCCAGTTACTAATGTCAGACGTTAACTACATTTCGTCCAGTTTTCGAACATCGCCATTTTTCTTGGAGCCATTTTGTTTTAATTTTAGACGAAATCCTGATGAAATTATGTCATATCTCATCAAGGAGCCGAGCTGGGTCCGGTTTGATTGATGATTTATTTATCTGGCGATTTTTAAAATATTCAATAAATTTATGACACCACGGCCAGCTTTTTTCAAATAGAGTTCACAGTATTCCAGATGAAATCCCCTCTAGCCAAGTTTTGGCTAGAGACTCGAGTAAATCTTGACCATGACCATTGTGACCAAAGCAAAACTCTGTTATCTTAGTTCAAAAAATTCTAAGATCAACATGTTTTTTTCATTTCCTGTTCAGTTAAATTTTTATGTCCCTATTCACAATATGTTCGTCCATCTTGGATTAAGATCAAATAACAAACATTGTTGCCTGCATAGTTTGAAATCATAAACCAATGTCAAAATAGCCCCATGGTTGAAATAACCCCATGAGATATTAACCCCATATGTTGAAGATCAAAGGAGCTATTTCTATTTATTCTATCATCTTTTCTAATGTCAAAATTCAATTATTCTCTTATTTGAATATCTCATTTCAAAGATTATACTTTTTTTTTTACTTTCAGCCATTCTTGTTTGGAGACCAAATGAAGGGGATAGAGGTTTTAACCAAGAGAAGCTACATCCGAACATTGTCATTACCTTGCACTCTTAACTGTTACAGCAGAACAAAATATATTTAGAATTTCCAGCAGTATGGCTCATAAGAGACTGGAGAATACATTAATGATTCAAACAGGTGTCTCAGACTGCTTCGATGTCGGAACAAGATTTAGTAATATCCACCCCCTTGGCTATGGAGGCAATGGTCTTGTCTTTTCTGCTATAGACAAAACGAACAATGAAAAAGTTGCGATTAAAAAGATAGGTTTCAATGACAGAAAAAGCTGTCAGTATGCTCTCAGGGAAATCAAAATATTGCTGAAATTTGACCATGAGAACATCGTGAAAATTCACGAACTACTTGGACAGAATGGAGAAAATCTGCATGTTCATAACACAAATAATAATCCAGATTTGAAGTCTGTCTACTTGATTCAGGAATTGTTAACAACAGACCTTCATAGAATTTTACAACATGAAGTGCTCCATCAGGATCATATACGCTTGTTTATGTACCAGATACTAAGGGGTCTGAAGTATGTCCACTCTGCCAATGTGATACATCGAGATCTGAAACCTCTAAATCTGCTTGTCAATCTAGAGGATATGGTTGTAAAGATTGCTGATTTTGGGTTGTCTAGAGTCCTGGATCCATACTATTCACACAAAGTAAGTTATCAATTTATTAATATGCACTGTAATAAGTGACTTTCCCCCATGAGGTACAAAGGTGCCAAAGACTCTTTTGGGGCTAATTAAATAAGGTTGCACAGATGTTTTTCCTATAATTACACAGTTCATTCTAACTTCTTCATAAATCTTGTTGATCGTGTATGCACTGAAAGCTATAAAGTTAATAACAAGGGTTATGATCTGGTAAGTTTTGATTTCAAACCCTGTCTCCAATACTGACTGTACATATAATAACTGAGATGTATCCCATAGTTTAGTTTAGTTTATTTATTAAAGTGTCACAGGCCTATTATTTTACATAATTATACGTTCTATTATTCAAAAGCCCCAAGCCAACAAGGGCTTATGAGACACTGTCCATATCAGAAATATTGCTTATGAAAAATTATTGATTTTGAATAAAAATAATATTATAGACACACAATCAGTCAATTACTAGTACGTCGAATGATCCAATCATTCTAAGAAGGCTTATTTATGATACATGTTGGCAATGAGAGTCCAACTTATTAATTGTAATATCCATGACATTTCACCACAAGTATATCAAGAGCCGGCTATTGTTTGTTGAATCTCACTCACATAATGTTCTTTAAATTCCAATCAAGCGTGTGAGCATTGACCTAAATTAGGTTACCAGATTATATCATAAGTCCACCGCAATGCTTGTTTTATAATGTCCAAAGCTTGAATGTAGGATGGCCCATGAAATCAAATAAATTCATGTAATTCTGGAGCCTCTGGCCTCAATGTTATTGCTCTGGTGTGACCAAAATTTACCGAATCTCTGCATATTCCTCAAAGTATATTCCAATTCTAGCTGTTTCCTGGTCTTTTGCTGCTCCATATATACGTTGTTGTATTCCTTAGAGTATTTTAATTTCGCTTTTGACTTCAATATACGTGCTTTGTCCTCCGGAGATTTCAACGTAACCAGTACAATACCAGCACTATCATGCCTTTTTGGTAGTCTTTTGACATCAATGGGGCACACATCTATCGGGTTATCATCACATACAATTTCGGACAGTACATTGTTTACCATGGTAGAATCCAATATTGCTGGAGATTCCGGCAGATTCTTTATGACAATTACAAGTTCATTTACTGAACTTTCATTCGAGGTATAACGAGGTTTCTCAAATTCATCAATACGCTCTTTCAATATCTTGATTTCAGCAAGGCGGCCAGCCCCCCCCCCCCCCTATATGGGCCCAGAAAATTTTTCATTGTTCTGGTTTGGCAAGCATTTTAGATTAGTGAATTTTGGCAAATTGAAAAAATCACCTAATTAAATAGTCGCCAAAATCCCGGAAATTTGACATGTTTTTCGTTCGGTGCATTTCCAGTTAAAAGAAAAATACCAAGATGGCCGGGCCATTTAAATTGATAGAAACAAGTAATATTGAAGAAATTGTTATCACAACGACATCAACTCTGACAATGAATTTTGAATTTTGTTAGACAGGAGGATGTCAGGTACACTTGAAAAAGTGCCAAATTAAATAGACACCAATAGGGCCAAAAATATGAAATCGTCGAATTAAGTAGCTCCAAATAAAGACAAATACAGTTTACCCACACCTTATGTACAGAAAACCTCAGTACAGTAGGTATGGGATACAGTACAATATATTTATATCCACAGAGATCTATAAACTGCAATACTATAATGTATGTGCTGATAGTGCTGTCCTTTAAAAATGTAATTTGGTTTCATTGTTTCCAGGGTTTTCTCACAGAGAATGTGGGAACATGCTGGTATCGTGCCCCAGAGTCAATCCTGACCCCCAAGAACTATAGCAGTGCAGTAGACATATGGGGGGCTGGATGTATATTCGCTGAAATGGTCCAAGGACAACCTCTGTTCACAGGCGCACATGAATTTGACCAAATATGCCAGGTATTTTCAGGAATTTATAAATTCTCACTTGAAAAGAAACGGCTTTTGTTTTCATCATGTTTTCAAATGTATAGCAAACTGTTTCAAATGACAACCTATATTTGTAAGAAACACATGTGTGTAATGAACAGTTTGGCCAGTGTGGAGAGCATACATCATATTCACACAGGTTTAACTAACTCTATGTGGCATTCATCTGAGAGTTTGCATGACATGATGAATGGAGGGGATGCACATGCAATACATACTACATACACATGGTTAGTTTATTTTGTAAAAGTTAAGAGAAATGAATCTTCATGAAATAAAAAAATGTATGGTTTCAGGTGTTGGATGTTATAGAGCTGACAGACCAGGATTGGACTAATGTATTAAATGTTGTGCCTAACAAAGTACTCAAGAACCATCCCCTTGCAGCAAGATCCTCAATACGCCAAAAACTACCAAAGGTTGACTCACAAGGTATTACACCTGTTCAATAATTCAGATGTGAAATAGCTTATATAATCAATGACAGATTGTTCATTTCAATCACAGATTGATTTGGCAGAAAGGCTATCAGTCCGTAGATTTTCGAAGGCATGGGTCCTATGTACTTGATATCGTTAAGACTGTAAAAATGACAATATGGAAAATGCAAAAATAAGAGAGCTGGCAAGTGTCGTGACCAATAAAGTTTTTGTAAGACAGTTTTATGTTAGATTAAAATTACAACCAATCAATATCAAGATGGTTTCCTACCATAATTAAACCAAAGAAATTATATGAAGTCAGTTGCCAGAAAAACATTGGCATGATCTTCGAAATAATTGTTTCCAGCATTTTACATTCTGAGAATGATCTCATAAATTATAACTAAAAACTCTGTTTTCAGTTATTGATCTCATAGAGGGGCTCTTATGTTTTGACCCCAGTAGTCGGCTGACAGTCTCAGCTGCATTAAGTCATCCTTATATGCAGCCCTACCATGAGCCCGGAGATGAACCCACCATAGCTCAGCCATTCCATATTGAAGATGAGGTGGGTTTATGTGACTCATATTTTTCTTTTTATTGCTATGCTATTTATTTTTTACACAAAATAAAGTGATAAAGAGTAAATGTTCTATTATTTTTGTGTGATGAAGTTCAATATTAGAATATTTTCTGCTTTCAGCATTCAATCAATATTTTGATATTTAGAGGTTATGTAACTATCGTGGTATATATGCCCGAGGTTTTCGGTGATATATGGCCTGACCTTGGGAGGCCCTTTGATCTCTGAAAACCGAGGGAATATGTGCCATGATAGTGACACAAATAATTTCTAAAATATCTACATGTATGATGATGTAGAGAGGATCAGAGAGCATTGTTTTCTCATTTAACCGACTAATAAATGGCTTAAAAACAAAAATTTATGGTCTGTTCCTGTGTCTGCATTTGACCTAATGCATTACGCATGATCAACTGAAGATAAACTACTTAAGCAATTTTTGTAAACCAATAAACATGATTAATAAATACATTTATTAATCAATTTTCATGTTTAAAATACTTCTAAACCTAATGCATTCATTACAGGTTGATGATATTCCAGCATTATCACTCAGGAAAATGATTTGCTGTCAAGCTCTCAAGAAAAACACCCATACCCCCAACAATACCCAGCCCCCCACAGATGACAGATTTCAACTTCGCCATTATACAGCTAGTGATGGAAGTGAATGGGAAGAAATCGAAAATGCCAAGAATATGTATAATTCGCAAGAAAACCTCAATAAGTTATCCCATTCACAAGAAAATCTTAAGAACATGTACAATTCACAAGAAAGCTTGAAAAGCCTAAACACTTCCAATGAAAACATCAAGAATGCATCAAATAGAAATGTGAACCAATTTACAAGTAATGAAGGCAGACCACAAGAAAATCTTGATAGCAGTTTTGAGGTAATCGAACTATCAGATGTTGAACTAATGGAGAATTTGAGAAATATGGCATTGAGTGAAAATAATGATAAAAATACTTCTAATGATGATGGGAAAATGAAACAGCAAAAATATTTATCAAAAGAGGATCTGACTCAGCTAGAATGTGAGAAAGACATAATGGAACTCTCAATGGAGAAATTGGCTGAAGAAGAAGAGATATCCCATAATGCATCAGCAGTCACAGCAGACGATGATGACAATATCATGGCTGAAATTATTGATGCTTGCCTTGAAAATGTTGAAATAGCTAACAATGGTGATGTTATTGACAATGAAAATGATGCAGATGGTCAATCATCTTCCGTTTTTAACCAGTTAACAATCGAAATAACAGAGAACAAGAATTTGAACAGAAACTCAGTTGAACAAAATCAACTGTCCCCTAGGTCCAAAGAACTTATGGAACAGCACAACAGGGAGGTTGCTATGCGTGAAAAGCAGCAAACTAGAAACAGCCCTAGTAGTTTAGATAGCCCTCGTGCATTGGAGCTTAACGCACCACCTGATGGTAATAATAAAAATTCCCAAGGTGCAACAAGAGCTCGTAAATCAAGTGGCAGTTCAATAGATTCAGATGGGTTAACTGAAAAGGAACGATATCTGTTACAACTAGAAGATGAGGAGATCAATAAATGTCAAAATGATAAGCAACAGTCGGAAAAGGTGGTTAGGAATTATGATGAACTTTACAGACTACCAACTGATCACCTTCACAATCGAAGAAACTCTAATGAAATGGGCAAACTGAGAATGATGAAAAAACCAAAGCGATCAAAAATGAATGAAGATGCCAATGAAAAAATCCGTCTAGAACTTGCATCCCCTCTTTATCGTGACCCAAATTTTCACAGTTCACTACATGGCCACCAATTGCCACTGGTGTCTCGTTTCCCTGGAATAGATAATTTCCATGATAACAGTAACTATGGGTACACAAGTTATACAACCAATCAACAGATGAACAATCAGGACAATAATCAGCGTTCACATATAGGTGGCGCTTGTGGAGGAAATGGAGAAAAGTCACCACCTATGAAAAACTCCCCCAGAAATTATGACATTAAAGATAATGAGCAAAATTGATGATACTAACCACATATGTGTCTAAAAAGTAAGCTGCACATGCAATATCGTACCGTGCCAATGATTTGTCAATTATTGATGATCACACTACAGCATAGCTAAAATCAATTATATAAAATAACCTCTTTTAGCCTACATTTACCTCATCTATTGATTTTGCCTCCCCTCATTTCTATGTTCTGATAGATGAAAGAATCATCTGTAAACTAAAGAGTACTGATGAAGTCAGACTCTTGGTAAGGGTATGATCTATCAAAACATAGTCCATCTGCCAGTAGAGACATGAACATTTTATAAAGAATCCATCTTGGGTTCTTTCTAAAAACACATTTTACTTTTGAAACTCAATAAATAATCTAAAAATGGATATAAAAACCTCTTTAACAGATTTCTCTTATATAATGTCTACTGGCAGATTAAGTTCACAAATGAATGAGATCAGAGTATATAACCTTTTGGGGTGGATGATCGAGTAGCCAAGCCAAGGCATCAAGTCTGTGGCCTCACCCCAGCTTTTGATTTATCTCCCTACCTAGAAGTCGAAAAGATGTGTACCTAGCTGTATGTAATTGGGGCATAAACTTGATGCCAAACTACATTATTGCCAGGATATAACCTTATACAGGGGCGTAGCCAGCTTTCAGTCAGGGGGGGTGTGCGAACGCCAATACTTTTTTTCGGTTTTCAGTCAGATAGTGGCGTAAGCAAGGCAAAAATTTTCTTAAAGATTTGTTTTGAATTTTACAAAAAAGATGCAACTTCCCAGTTATGATTGCAACCATCACACCCCCTGGCCATGCCTGTGTTATAATTGCAAATTATCATAGTTGATGACCAATATAGATTTATAAATTGTTAGTGATGATAGATTTATGATCATGTTATAGTTACAATAGTTAATTGTATGTTATAATATAATAATTATATTTAATCAGGTATTCATAAAAAATATTATATGGTTTATAAAATACTGTATAGATGTGTGGTGGATATATTTTTTATGTACAGTGGGATATAATATGATTGATTGTGAGGGGACATTCAGGGAGTTGGATTATTGCACTTTGAGCGAATGGGATTTTTGGGCATTTGGGATTATTGCACTTTCGGCAAATGGGATTATTGCACATTGAGCAAATGGGATTATTGCATATTGGGCATTTGGGATTATTGCACATTTGGCATTTGGGATTATTTAACATTGATCAAGTGAGATTATTCCACATTGAGCAAATGGAATTATTGCAAATTGGGCATTTGGGATTATTGTACTTTGAGCTAGTGAGATTATTTAACATTGAGCAAGTGGGATTATTTCACATTGAGTAAGTAGGATTATTCCACATTGAGCAAATGGGATTATTGCAAATTGGGCATTTGGGATTTTTGTACTTTGAGTCAGTGGGATTATTTAACATTGAGCAAGTGGGATTATTGCACATTGAGCAAATGGGATTATTGCACATTGAGCAAATGGAATTATTGCACATTGAGCAAATGGGATTATTGCAAATTGGGCAAATGGGGTTATTGCAGATTGAGCAAATGGGATTATTGCACATTCAGCAAATGGAATTATTGCACACATTCAGCAAATGGGATTATTGCAAATTGGGCAAATGTGATTATTGCACATTGAGCAAATGGGATTATTGCACATTGAGCAAATGGGATTATTACACATTCAGCAAATGGGATTATTGCACATTGAGCAAACGGAATTATTGCAAATTGGGCATTTGGGATAATTGCATTTTAGTGAGTGGAATTATTGCACATTGAGTGTTTTTTTTAGATCAAATGATTTATAGGTTTCATCATACACACACTCAGTTTTATTGCCTTAGTTATTTGTAAGGGGTATCCTAAATAGTAACCTAAAAATAATTTTAAGTCCTATTGATAAGAAAAATCATGTTGTGGGGCAAAATTGTTCCCCAGATGTTTTGTTCATGCTTATGACCATTTACAAGACTATTTTACTTACTTAATAGGGACATATGTTGTTTTATCACAATTGTATACTTAATGCAGAACCCCTGCCATTTAAAAGTTAATTTATTGTTCATAACCACCATTTGTTAAGTCAGTTATCAGGTTGTCAAGATATGGAATAAAGTGATAAGTTCAAATGATTTATCGAGTTTGTTAGTTTTATGTATTTGAACATGATATTACCTAGGGGTTGACTGAGATGTGGTAAAATATATTGAGTGACTATTGATAGACCACTTGACATGCATTACTCAGTAAAGTATGCAGATAGCCAGGTATTCTTCATTTAAAATGATAATTATGAGACTATACATGTATGTGTCGAAAAATGACAGCTCTCAGAACTCATTTCATAGAAAAAGTAGTAATAGTAAATGTGTGTTCCATTTAATATTTTGGGAAGTATTTTTATTTTTCAGGATATTCTTTCCGATGTTTTTGGATTCAGTGCAATTAATGTGGCAATGAATATCACAATTTTAAAATTAAAGCTAAGTTATTAAAAAATCAAAGTGTCAGCAAAAATAGAAAGAATGGAGCAAATGCATGGAGAAAGCCTGACCACATTCAGAAACAACATACACTGGATATTGTAACTAATATACATAATTAAAAATTTAAAGTTCTCATGACCCATCCTCCGATCACAGGGCTTCAAAATCCAGAATATATTCTTTCTTTTTACACCCTGCAATAAGCAGTTACCATTTCCCCGATTAAGAACTCGCAATCTGATTGGCTGTCGCAACACTGCGACAGAAATCATGTATAAGTCGTTGCGCATAATTAGATCACGTGATTCCGTTTAATCGGGCGCTTCCAAAATTGTTATAGCAAGGGGAAGAAGGAGGTACAGATTCTGGATACCTGCGTAGGAGGATGTCATGACCATGTTCAGTCAACTGCAGTTTGATCTTAGATTATATTATTATTCCAGTATTGTTGGTACTATTGGAAGAATGCATAACACAACTGATTTTTGCTTTCCCAATCAAACCACAATTGACTGAGCCCATGACATCTTGTATCTTATTCTCATCAAAAGTGCAAATTTTACTCAGAGGTTAATCATAACTATTGGTTTCTGAAAATCAGGGTGACTGAAGATATACAACATGTACAATACTGCTTTTCGCTTTCTGAACAGAAATCTTAACGTTCGTATTTCCAGCGTATTATATTGATCGTCGTTTCTGAGCGGTCGTAAATTTATTGCAACTGCAAAAGTTGATCCTCGTTAGGAAAAAAATATTTGAAAAAGTTGCACCAGAAACAGTTCTGGAACTTTCCTCTGGGATTCCCCTGAATATCCAAGACACGTAGTTCTTAAAATGTGATTTGTCAGCAGCTTTGTGGATGAAGAATGCAGAAATAGGATTGTCCATTGCGTTTGTCACGTTAAAATGGAGAGAATGTAATTGGAAAGCAGTACACAACAAGAGATTCATCAGCTGACTCGTCGGAGGCCTGAGTTAGATCTAGCGAGTAAGCGAGTTGACAGCCAACCACCTTAGTTCAAGTCCCTTATTTGAAGTTACAATGGACCCTATTGCTAACTTTGATGGTAAACTGACTTTTTACTATTTGCACTTCACTTATCATATGTCTGACATATGACTTTTTTTGTGTGCAATTTGAATCATCTTGGAATTAACCAATTAAATCCACAGGAATATGTTATTGAGCCCTGGGGATTTTTCTCCTTGGCCATTACAATATAATATAGTACTGCAAGGCCTGGCATGACCGTGACAATGTACTTTAGTACTGCAAGGCCTGGCATGACCGTGATAATGTTATATAGTTCTGCAAGGCCTGGCATGACCGTGACAATATAATATAGTATTGCAAGGCTTGGTATGACCACCGTTGCAATGTGATATAGTATTCCAAGTTCGGGTATGAGATTGGTAATGTAGAAATATATGATTGCTATAAGTGACCGTGACAATGTGTATTTCAAAACCTGGTATGACCGCAGGCCCGTAGCCAGGGGGGGGTTCGCAGGGTTCGGGCGAACCCCCCCCCCTGGCCAAAAATTCTTTAAAAATCATGCAGTTTTTCACCATTTTGAGCACTTCTCAAGTGATTTTAGCCATATTTGGGCCAAAATTGTCAAATGTGAACCCCCCCTGGAAATTTTTGAAAAATGAACCCCCCCTTAGCAAATCCTGGCTACGGGCCTGGACCGTGACAATGTATTATGGGATCGCAAAGCCTGATATGACCGTGACAATGTAATATAGTATTGCAAGGCCAGGTATGAGGGTGGTAATGTAGAAAGTTAGGCTTAGTCCTACTATGACCGTTATAATGTATAGCAATGACTAGTAAATATGTATGACATTAAAGCGGCTCTAAGGTCTGTGGAGAGAAAAATGGAGAAATTTTACCTTTTCTGAGCTATCGGGGTGAAGTTTGGTCCAACATCTTCTTCCTTATTCCTATTTTATAAAAATGTATGCATATGGCAATATTCATCAACCAGTAGAACTGGCAAATCGTTTAGAATCTACAATTCCATACAAGGAGTCCCACTCATAGATTTTTCAAATTCTTTCCAAGTCGACGTCGAAACACCTAGCGGGTGAAATCGAAACTAATTTTTCTGGCTGCTCAAATCGATAAAATCTCTGATAGTGTGAGTCTTTTTATGAAATCTTTCTGATAGAAAACACTAAATTAATATTAGAAAGCATTAAATGTTGAATCCGAAGCGAAATCTGAAATAAAAGTGAAAAAACATTGCGCGGACGTCAGAGAGAAACTTCCGGTTTAATAAAAAATGGCGGACGTCGAAGGAGAAATTATGACGAAGAATTAGAGGATTTTCCTTTGCCATTATCGATCGTTATAAGGTATGTGCACAAATTCTAGTTGCATACATGGAAAATAGATACATTTTTAAAGGCAACAACATATTCAAAGCTTTCATTTTACGATAGGCCCAGGATCATTGGATACGACTCGGCAATCGATATTCCCACTTTAATGCCAGGAATATCCTTAACAATTTTAAGTGATCGTCATTACAATTAAACAGTTTAATACTATGATCATGGTGTTAAACTACCTTAATCATGTCAAAATCAAAATTACTACTATACATTAATATTCACATTCGCTTATAAACCACAATAAAGGCTACGGTCGCGCCAGGCTTCCACGATAACAGTTCCAGGGTCATGACAGGCCTTGCAATATAATACAGCATTGTCACGGTTATACCAGCCTGTCAAGGTTATACCAGGCTTACACGATAGCACTACCACGGTCATGGCAGGATCCTTGCGCTACTTAAAAACACTGATTAACATGGCGATGGTTGTGGCAGGCGTAAGTCATGCAATAGATAGCATGTGAAAATTTGTGTTCAATTTTCTCGAAATTATAATCGGGAGCACAGTATTTCAGGCTACAGGCACATGGTCATGAAATGTCATCAAAGTATACACTGACCTCAGTCATTTATCTTCATTATCATTAGAAAACATTTTCAAAATGTGTGCCATTTTTATCACAGAAAATTCACTTATTGAGCTACACCATGTTTGAGGTACCAGTGCTGTACTATTTATTTTATTTTGGTCTGAAATCTTAATTTGAACTCCAGTTGCGATGCTAGTCTTGTATAATTGCTGCGTGGTAAAACAGACAGATCCATAAATAAAGGCATATGGATGCATTTTAATGTGACTCGAGGGCGCCCCAGGGGAATAAATAACTAACAACTGCGAGCATAGGTACAACAAGCCAGATTAAGAAATTGAAAGAAAATGTGCTAAATTCGATGCTCCGAGTGGGAATCGAACCCAGCTGGGATGTAGTAGCCACTTGCTATCAAGGGTCGTTACAAATGCATCTATAATTCATCATAAACTAAGAGTTAATAAACTATGATCTTTAAAATTGAACCCTTCAAAGACTGTATCATGTCCCACATACGTGGGTAGGTGGGTATGAGGTACAAAGCCTTAAAAATGCCCTCTTATGTCCTTTTTAGATTCTCAGGATGACTCATCAGCATGGTCCTTTGGTATGACAGGCAGCTTTGGACATCATGAGATGAACAAGCAGAACATAGTGGCAAAGAGACAAGACAACACAACAAACCATTTACTCCTTGTCTCCCTTATAGACCATCTCTGCTCCCTCTATGTAAAAGATAAACCCAAGAGGGATAAACTATTCAAAAGTAAGTAAAAATTGGATGTGATATTTGTGATAAATAAAAACTGCAATGAATAGTGTAATCGTAAAGCCAGATTGTGCCTGTGCTGTGTTAAGGAACTGAGTAACTTCTAGATGCATTGTACCAATATCATTATTACATGTATTTTGAATTCATTACCATATACATGTACAGTACATAGCATTTGGGTGTTAGGCAGATCATGACATGCAAGGAGGTCAAAAAGCACTCTCCTATAAAGAATTAAGTTATTTCTTGATTTCACCACAATTGTCTGTTTGTCATCAACAAAAAATGAAAAATCTCAAAAAGTCCTCAATATTTCATGTAAGTGCTATTTGACATTCGACTCAAACTCAATATGCAAATTGAGCTGGTAATGAGAATGATAATAGGAAATTGAGAAATACTCATGTTCACTTCTATGCTCTTGCACATTCATGTCAATCTTTTAAATGTAATCTAGAATAGTTTTGTAAGTGTCAGCCTCTGAACTGACATTTGCGATATACAAAAATAACTTCATGTATAAATAGTTTGAATTCTGATAATCTGATTATTCCCTGTTTCAGTTATGTGTGAACACCTTGCCCAGTTGAATGTGATGTCATCAATGTCATTTGTTGATGAGTTCAGCTCAGTAAGGTCTCAATACAAGCTGGCATTTACCAAGATGATTCAAGCGGCACTCATCACAGTTGAACAGGTACAATATATGATGATATTTGATTTTATTCAATGATTCTACTGGTCTGATCAGCCAATGTGACAAAAATATATTCATTATTTTCTTATTGTGTGATATAGAATCATAATCTTTGATGTCTTTGTTCACTTGGTGTTTAAAACTACGTAAAGCACCATAAAGCCCGGTTTTTTACCAATAAAAAGTACTGGAGTAAAATGAAGATCATTATGGTATGGCTAAAGTCAATTTTGAAGAGACCATTTTAACCACTATAGAATTTCCAATTTGCTAATTTGAATGTCATAAAAATCCTTTGATTATGTGAGATAAGCATTTGAAATAAAATAAAAAAGCTACATGTGTAAAAGTATTTGACATCGTTTTCCGTAAATGAATGTTTGGTTGATGTGGTTTGCAGCAGCCAGTTGCGACTCCTCTGATGGCTTTGCCTGGACTTACAGAGAGGGCAGCCATTATGTTCCAACCAAGGTACTAAGTCATACATCTGTCCTTTTGTAAAAGTACATTCCATAGTAAGTGTCTGTCTAAATACATGATTCTAATTGTTAAGAAACTGATCAGTAGTTGTCACATAGTGAGCATGTGAGATCGGATACTGGCATCTATCCTTTCCACAAAGTCAACATTAGTAATACAAAATTGAAACCGCTCTCCGATCCTTATTTGATTATATGCACTTTCACTAGGCCTATTCATAGTATCTATTTCATCTGTCATTATCCCAACGAACTTCGTTCGTTAGGGATATAGTGAAGCCCTCCGTCCGTCAGTCCGTCTGTCCGTCCGTCCATCCGTCCGTCCGTCCGGAAGATAACTTAAATACGAGTTGACGGATTTTCTTCATATTTAATGGAAAGATGTATATTGGTGAATAGTTGTATGCAAAAAAAAAATTTTCAAGATGGCCGCCGCTTTAAAAATGACGGGACTTTTTCGCAAAAACCATAAATTTTTCATGCTAAACGAAAGTAATCAATATTATTGTTTGAAATTTTGGTAGTATATTCGCAACATCTATCTATTTCACATATATTCCGTGTTTTTCATCCTGACCCCCAGGGGCCGTGTAGGGGGGGGTCAGGAAAACAGTAATTTTTAGATCTTTCTGAAGTATAGCTTTATTATACTCAAATGAAAGGCAATTAAGAGTAGATTGCAAATATTGTATCTTTTTTCTGATTAGAGCCTCGTAAAATTCAAAATGGCCGTCTAATGTACGATTTTGCAATAATTTTTCGATCCCTTCAAAGTATGGCTATATTATACTCAAATTGAAGGAATTTTGGAGTAGATCACAATTATGGTATTATTCTTCAGATTTGTACCTCAGATAATTCAAAATGGCTGCTTTGCAGGAATTCGCAATTCTAAAATCTAAATTTTTCAATTTTAACCAAAGTAATGAGTATAATTGATTGGAATTCGGTAATTGATATTTTGTTCGTTGGGATTTGCTACTCCGCGGAGTTGCCATTGTCTAGTTGCTTTTGAGTCCTCTTAGTTTTTGAGAAGTTTTGACTTCAAAAAGTCACATTTTAATAATCTCAAAATTTGTAGATTAAACAATCATGTGCCAAGTTTTCAACCTGAAGATATACTCCATCTACATACATCCAGATACAGGGAGGAGTTTACTGAGGAAGACCTACTGGGATATGGGGGCTTTGGTAGAGTCTATAAGGTAATCATATACACTTGTACAGGGCGTCAAATAAGTCTGTTCTCCCCCTTAACTTTTTTAATTCAGAAATAACATAGGGTTGGTATATACCATCTTAAAGGGAATTTAATTTGCTGATCACACACCAAATTTCAAAGTGATTGGTTAAATTCCAATTTTTTTAGAATATTTTTAGTGATGTCCATATTTCACTTTTTAATAGTATGTATGTCTCCCCCTGCAGCCCAGGTGGCCTCAATTCTACGAGGATATGATCCCGTATAAATCATTCAGAACGTTTAATTTTGGTTGTTATCAACTATTTTGTGATGAAAGATGCCCCTGCTTCAAAAGCTCCCCTGAATGTAACACATTTTACTCTGTAACGATATTGAGAAACATCGAAATCACCCAAATGTTGGCATTGTCACTGCAGTATCATTTTCACTTTTCAATCTCTATACCTGGTAATTTTACTTGTTTTGACGTAATCAAGGGTCAACTACAACCTTACAAGAAACATTGTAGCAATTTTATTAGGAGGAGTTTATGATTGATTTTTTGAGGGTGATCAGCATTTTCCATAAGCTTCAAAATGATATATGGGAAAGTATGATAAATTTTAAGATAAAAAAGTTAAGGGGGGAGAACAGACTTATTTGACACCCTGTACACTATGTATACATTCTTGTAATGTTAATAGCAGTCAATAAGGAGATACCATTTAAAGACAAACATATGGATCTTTGCATGATATACAGGGTGATCCAAGAGATGTTGCTATTTCATTACCACTGAACAAATCTTCTTGAAACTTGTTACATATGTCTCCCAAACAATATTGAGTATACTGTAAGAACAACGCTTCTACTATTTGACTGGTCACTGTCATGGTTACTTTGGTAACCTGATGTGACATCATCCATGGCAATTTTTTTGTATATGACATGCAAGCCTTATTTTAGGTGCGTCACAAGCTAGATGGCTGTCAGTATGCAGTGAAGCAGATTCGACTTAAGCAAGCTAGCCCTGACGTGTGGTTAAAGGTACATACATACTGTTGTGTCGAATATATCTGACATTTTGCCAGTTTCACTCATGGAGGGTCGATAGATTAATTGAATAATTGGTTTAGATACATTTACAATTGATTTGATTAAGATGGAATTAGATCGATGCTCTGTGCTGTTCTTCAATTTATGGTGAGCCTATCAAATCACCAACTTGTCTGCATCCCCTTAGATTTGTCTGTCCATCTTTCCGTCCATCAACAATTGTTATACAAATGTGCTACAATTTGTTTTCTGGGTGCTTCTGTACAAAAATATTTCAATGTTAAATTTTGCATAGCAATCATTATCGTGAATATTTATTTTTCACCAATTTTCTTCAATCGCACAATATCAACACATTTTTTCTGCAAATCTTAAATCATAAATGATCTCTCTTTACCATGTAAACCCACTTTTGAAATAGCGAGAGACATAATAGGCTGTTACCCTAACTTGTTTGTGTTTTGTACATTTCCAGCTGATTAGAGAAGTAAAACTGCTGGCCAGCTTATCACATAACAACATAGTAGGCTATAATGGAGCATGGTTAGAGCCCAAGTTAACAACTGGTAAGACATGTCATAAATAGCATACTGAGAAAAGATGTTTTAATACTCAGCCAGAATAGAGTGAACCTCGCAGAAAATTATATTACATTATAGGAAGGTTCACTTACACATATGGCATAACAATCATTTTTTTTTATATTTTCAGGATCAGTAACATCTAGCACTGAGGAGTCCAGTTCTTCAAGTATGAATCAAATACCAGATAGTTCAAACAGTTCTAGTCATGGTATAACCTTTGCAGACCCATCTAATGAATTCTCCACTCCTCTAGTCTCTCCTTCTACATCCAGTCTCATCCCTAGTGTCTTCAAACTAGAACTTGAACAATCATATAAACAAAGTATGTTTGAAATTGCTAGAAATGGCGTCAGAAACAGTCCACGGCGATTCCGGCGCCGTAGCAGATCACTAGAAAAACAAGACGTGGAAAAATTACACACTGTTGAAAAATATGAAGAATATTCTTCGTTTGACTATAGACGAAGTGTTAGCCATGAGTCAACTTTGGAGGATTTTGCGCCAATTTCTTTACCAAGTGGAGGTCATAATGGTGTATTAACTCAGTATTATAACCCAGTAAGCTTTCAACAAGAGGTGGTGCTCTATATACAGATGCAGCTATGCAATAATAATCTTAGACAGTGGATTTGGAAAAGAAATCGAACGCCAATAGCAGGTAGAAAACCAATTGTAACAGACTGCAAGTGTCATTTGATGCTTCATTTTGGAAATGTATGGTTAGATTGAAGAAAATATGATTTCTTGTTGAAATGCAGCGTTGAAATGCAGCGTGAGTTTATGATTTTAATGCAGAAATATTCAACAATATTAAAGGTATGTGGTTTCAAAATGAAAAATATAATATGATTTTGTACAAACATTATTTATATCAAATGTACTGTATATATTTTTGGGGGCTTAATTTCTTTTATTGCAATAATTTCAGAAATGTACATGTTCCCCAGAAAGTGGACAGTGGGGTTATTACAAACATAGGGTTTGTAAAATATATGGTGTCATTGCAGAAATGTATGATCTGATAGATGAGGAAAATAACATGGCCATATTCAGACAGATATTGGAGGCAGTTGACCATATACACCAGCAGGGCATTATGCACAGAGATCTCAAGGTAATCTTATCCCTTGTCATAATATTACATTGATCAGTTGGAAAAGAACAGTATTATCCAAGGTGACCCAATAGAAATTGTTTATATTGTCTCCGGGAATAAAATCTAGCCTACTATTTTCATATCTGTTACAAAATTTGATATTAAACCTCTATTCACAATACATGTGTTTTTCAGCCCCAAAATGTATTTCTACTAGGTGACAATGTGAAGATAGGAGACTTTGGTCTGGCTAGAGACAACTTACAAGATGTTCCATTGTCACCTCTAGTGCACTATGCTCCTGTTCCAAGTATGTGATATTTTTCTACTATAAAGCTACCAAAAATTGACTAACGTGTTCTTTAAAAATCATCCAAAATATGAAAAATTCTGAAAAGGTTTCATTGCATGTTTTTTTATTTAACAAATCTAGTTCAATGACTTGTTTATTAACATTTAGATAAATGGGGCCATACTACTGGTGTAGGAACATGTACATATGCTGCTCCAGAACAAATCAATGGCACAGAATACAACTATAAGGTAACACACTATGTAGAGTGTGATAATGTAACTAAACAATTACCATGAGATCTCATTATGACTATGTACTTGTAATCTGGAAATGTACACGAGCCTATAGATTTTATTTTGAATATGACGAGTTAAAAAATTGTGTCTTTCTAAGAAGATGTACAATATTCTGTCTCATTCTGAATCCTAACATATTTCAGTGATCTCCCCAGCATTAAAGCAAGTGGGTGCAGCACCCACCAGAAATTTTGAAAATATGCTTGCACCCACCTGAAAATCCATTTGCACCCACTTGAAAATGAGAGAAATCATGAAAAATGGGCATATTTTGACCAATTTGGGTCTTAATTGTGAAAATGAGAACTTTGCACCCACTTGCAAATTCATGTATGAATATACATGTATGTAACCTATACTGCAATTTTTGATTTTTTGCATTTAAATTCACTGCGTTTATGATTTAATTTCAGATTAAACCATTTAAGAACCAGCCAAACATATTGTCCATTTTCTCACATGCATATTCAGGTATCATAATTATGCCTATCTGAAGTTATTTATGAAGTGTTTTCTTGCAGTCTGACATGTATAGTTTGGGAATCATCTTGTATGAACTGTTCCAACCATTCACTACAGAGATGGAGAGGTCCCATTGCATCAACATGGTCAAACAGGGTAAATTGGCTGAGGAACTGTGCTCAAGATTTCCTAAACAGGTATTTACATACATATCCTGATATAATTTGGGTCACATCATTGATATGCATACTTTGTGTATTTCAGATTATTTCTCATGTCGGTTTTATGAAAATTGTAAAACTATCACAGCTTGCTTATCAAATCAAATGATCATATCAAATCTTACATTATTTTTGTCCCATTGGATATGCTTGCAGACATATAGGTTAAAAGTATGATAGTTTTAGGCTGGGATGTATTGTATTACAGGTTGAGTGTATTGTACTTACAGGTTGTGTGTATTGTACTTACAAGTTGAGTGTATTGTATTATTACAGGTTGAGTGTATTGTACATACAAGTTGAGTGTATTGTACTTACAGGTTCAGTGTATTGTACTTACAAGTTGAGTGTATTGTATTATTACAGGTTGAGTGTATTGGACTTACACGTTGAGTGTATTGTACTTACAGGTTGAGTGTATTGTTCTTACAAATTGTGTGCATTCTCCTTACAGGTTGAGTGTATTGTACCTACTGGTTGAGTGCATTGTACTTACAAATTGAGTGCATTCTACTTACAGGTTGGGTATATTGTACTTACTGGTTGAGCATATTGTGCTTACTGGTTGAGTGTCTTGTACTTACTGTTTGAGTGTATTGTACATACAGGTTGAGGGTATTGTACTTGTATTGTACTTACAGGTTGAGTGTATTGTGCAGCTGCTGAGCAAGGAGCCACTATTGAGGCCTTCAGCATCAGAATTACTGGAAAGTGAACTATTTCAATCTAAAGATCAAGTAAGTAATGGAGTAATCTTGAAATATCACAACATTGTGATTGAAACCAAAGTGTTTATTCTGTAGTCTTTTATAAGCTTCTGGTACAACCTTTTCCTCATAACCTTTTTCCTGAAACAGAGGTGTAGAATGCGTGTTTATACGTGAGATTTTCAAAGGCTTGGTGTAGAACTATTTTATTTTTAACTTTCTCCAACTGGTTTTCCTCTAAAGTATGATTAAAATTAGATTACTATGAAAAAGATACCAAATACTGAGTTAATATTTTGTGAATTAAAAAAATGAAAATTTTACTTTCCAGATCATATTGATGCTCAAAAAACAAACTCAGGACCAGGAATCTGTGATAAATGAACTCAGAAGACAGCTGAAGGAAAGAGACAGCATAATACATAGACTTTCAACAGAGACTTGAATACTAAATTACCAGGCCCGTAGCCAGGGGCTTCGGGGGGTTCAGGCGAACCCCCCCCCCCGGCCAAAATTTCTTTGAGTGATTTTTGGCCAAATTTGTCAAAGTGAACCCCCCTAGAATTTTTGGAAAAGTGAACCCCCCTTGGGAAATTCTGGCTACGGGCCTGATTTCTAAAATGCAGGAAATGAAAAGTACAACTCTACGGTGTGGTTTATGAAATATCAAACCCAAGGCTCCAGGTTTTTCAGGATTTTCCCTATTACTGTCAATACTTCAATAGTAAATCTTGTTCATTGGCAGCTTCAAACGAAATTGTTTTGACAATTCAGTGACTAAACATGGCCACATTAAGCCACAATGTAAAATGTTATTATTTTATATTATAAAATGTTTATTCCATTTGTAAAATGTTACCATTTGGTCATATGTAAAATGTTACCATTTTACCATATCTAGAATGTTACCATTTCACCACTAGTATATGTAAAATGTTTATTCCATTTGGCCATTTGTAAAATGTCACCAGTTTGGTGTATGTAAAATGTTAACTTTTGGCTGTAAAATGTTATCATTTGAATGTTCTCTCTGATGTCTTGCCATTTGTATAGTGCTAGTATAAAAGAGGTGCAGCTCATTTATTGTTAACAGTATTTTCATTTTTACAATATTAATATATTTATTTACTGAGTATTATTATTCTGTTAATTAGCATGAGATTTTTGAGGTGTGAAGTATGTGTGGTTATCATGATAATATGAGCACTTGATAGGAAAGAACTTGTGAATTGATAGTGCTTTGTATAGAAGTCAACAAAATATTCATCAGCTGAAAAACTTAGAAATCGAATGTTCTGAGTCCGTTAGAACTAATGATAGAGTCAATAGCGTATTGAAAGCGTATGAAACTGTATGGTTCATCCCTGAGATATAATTTATGTAAATATCACAATTTATTTTGTCACCATCACAAGTGGCAACATATTGTTATAGTCATTAGTCTCCAACTTTTATTGCGCCACATTTGGTGGTTGTTGTTTGGCATTTGGTGGTCTGTGTCTGTAATTGGTTTCTATGAGAAATGAATTCTTTCTCTGAACCACTTTCATGCATGGATGATCTCATTTCTCGCTTATTTATCAACTAATTTTTTTTCTACATAAGTAATTTGAAGATGAATGCTATGCATTGGTGTGAATTATCAATACGTAAAAGATATGTGTGAGCTCTAGAATTTAGGTTTAAATAAATTTTTTATTTATTATGTACATGTATGTACCATTTTACATAATCTAATGTGATCTGTTGAAATAAAAACAATTGAACATATACAGATATACTATATTGACTTATTTCCTTTATGCATTTGGGGTTAAAGGGTCACGATAAGCTTCCCGTATAAAAACAACAATATCGCAGATCCAGGAGAGTCTACTGGCTGGATCAGTCTATTTTTATTAAGAAATTGGGAGAGTTTTGTGAATTCCAGTTTATTGAAATGTCTTGAAAATAAGATCATCCGTTTACGATGATCCTGTAAACATCGGGAGAGTGAAAAAAAAGAATGCATGAGCATCAGCCAGTATAAATCCTTGTACCAATCCAAACTGCCTTGTTTCATTTACAGGATCAATTCATAAGACCATGCTAGGTGCTAATAAGTGATGTGTAAATCTAAATGGCGATTTTTCCTATTGAACACAAATAGATCTTGAAACTTGATGTGAAATTGATTTGTCAAAATGAAAATCGCCCTTTTTATAAATGTGTGATCTATACTATTCTTACATAAACAGGCAGAGGTGTTTAAGCATCGACTTCAATTTGTTAACCGTTTAGGTTATAACAAACGGTGAGCAACATCAAAAACGAGTGTTGGATTTGCTAAACGGTATGCGTTACCCTTAAAATGTCCCACACAATTAAGCTCCCTTAAATATAAATGAGTCATTGGTAAATACAAAACAGGACAGCCGTATTTATTGAAAATACAATAATTATGAACTAAAACTTGTTGACATCTTCTATTTTTTGTGAAACATACATGTATTTAATTAAATCCCTCGTCATTTTGAACATGAAATGATAGAAGTAACCATGGTAACCAGAGAGTAGTATTATAGTGTTGTATTTTTAGCAACATCTACACCCATGATGTGAGCAAATCCATCAACTGGTATTTGAGTTATCACATCTTATATTTTTTATTTTTATGAAAAATGGCAGCCATTTTTAAATGAGCAGCAATATTGAAAATGCCGTCTTGAGCAGAGATAATTTGCCAATAAGACATTAGCCTATAATCTTCTCAAAATATGTTTTTAAAACACAATTGACATCTTAAAGGATGTTTGGCTTTATACATGACAATTCCCCAAAGGTCTTAAAAGATTTTGTCAAGAATGTAGACCATTTTATCAGATTTGAACCTGTGTTGAACTGAACAACAAACTGACGATAAAGAGTTGAGAATATTAGACAAACTAAAAACAAAACACATGAATTGGTGCAAAATTTTTTATTCATATTTTTGTAAAAAATACTTTTTAACAATAAATAATGAGGATATGACGCATATGAATACATTATAAATACTTAACTACTTAAATACATTTAACAATAAACATAGTGCTAAATCTCATAGGAACTTGTATCACCAAATAACAGCTGCTTCCAAGGAGAATAGTGAGTTCACACCATATTCTCCAGGCCCCTAGCCAGGATTTGCCAAGGGGGTTCACTTTTTAAAAAGTTCCAGGGGGGTTCACTTGTGAGAATCTTGGTCCAAAAATGGCCAAAATCACTTAAAAAGTGCTCAGAATGGTGAAAAACTGCATGATTTTGAAAGAATTTTTTGGCCAGGGGGGGGTTTCAAGCAAACCCTTGGCTATGGGCCTGTTCTCCCCAGTGAGAATAAATGGCCACTGTTCTTCCAGATAAACCAAGAGATGTCAGGTGATGATACAAGTTCCTGCGCTAAATCTAAGCAATGCACTAAACTACAAGATGCAATTCCAGATAACATGGACAAATTGTACATCTTCATAGATTTCTAAGCTTTTCATTTTAGTGTGCATTGTGAAACCTATTGGCAGACCTGAAAATTGATAATGGGGGAAATGTTTATTTTGAATACCTCCATGTGTTTGCATGTAAAAAATTTCGGTATGTTTAAAAAGTTTACTTTAATATTTTTAAAAATGAGGTCATAACATTGAAGACACTATCACAAGCCTTAGACTTCTCCCTCCAAATCTACCAGTGAAACCTTCAGTGAATATGACATATAATTCAGTGATCTCCCTAGCATTCTCTGCATCTCCCATCTGGGAATGGACATTACAGACAGCATCCAGTTAGGTATTTGGAAAGCATAAAAGATTACAACTTTTTGCCTGGTTTCAAGTTTTTAGAAAAATCCTAGGGAAAACACTGTAAATGTACATGTACTATAAATATGTGTCCATGTTTGAGTGTTCCGTGGGTTAGTGTACACTATGGGTGCTTTATGTGTGTAGTCTCTGGTTAGTACTCTGTCTATATGTAAATCAATGGAGAAACACATTCATTCTGTAAACAAAAACACTACAGTAAAAGCTATGAAAGTGGAGCAAGTTTGGTACCTTGAGATTTTATTGGTAACTGTTACTGTACATTGAAGTGTTCCACTTATGAGTGTTTCACTTTTAGAGGTGTTCCACTTTACAGGTTTTACTGTGTATTTACTGCTATGACTTTCAAATGCTGGTCCTGGTATACAGATTAGATACGATTCCATTTACCTGCTACAATGATGCAACATCCTTCTTGTGATAACAAAATTAAACATTTTTGGCAACCACAAACATATTCTCCATGGAACAAACACATCATAAAGATGTTTTACCCGACTAGGCCTATTCTTAGCAAATTTATTACAACCTAAAACTTCTCAACCTCATATATATTAAGTGAAAACCTCAATTATTTGTTTATCAGTGTTATGATTTTGTAAATACTGGAACAATATCTGTTATCATGAATATTACAGATACACCAATAGTGTCACAGCTTGTAACAGTAATACCAATATTTTATGTCGATGATCGCTTATTTCTTTTTACATTTAATGACTCCATATTTCAGTCGACCATCGCTGACATTTGATGTTGCTGTTTTTCAGTCAATCCCTGCTTTTTGAATAACTCCACATTTCAGTCAATGTTACTAGATCATTTATGACTCTGTATTTCAGTCAATCAATGCTAACTTTGTGGCATCAATATACACTCAATCTCTAATAATATTATATTATATCATAATGCCAACCATTCCTCAATCTGGCACCCTGGTTCAATTTGCCATTGCCTCTTACAGTGCTCAGTAAGATCTTGGTCTGGTCACTTCCATTCTATGGATAACTAGGAGACATCTACAAAACAATGGTAAAATTATATATATGTTTAATGCACATAATTACAGATACATTTACATCACAAGATACAGGAACATGTTCCTTTGGGAGATATCCCAGGATAGCACCCAAGGATGTGATAAATATTTGTAAGGAATCATTTGATTGATCATGCCCTTCTTTGGCATTGAGTAGATGTTGCTATATACATAATAATTATTGTACTGGTAATTACTGTGCAAATAAGAACTTAACAATGAATCTTTCATTTAAATGAGGACACACTTTTTACAACATTTGCAACACTTGTGGTTTAACATCTAAAACAACACTAAACTGGATTGCAGTTTAACATCTAAAACTGGATTGCTGCTTGTTTTTCAATCATATGATCTTAATCAAGTTTTAGTTGTAAAATAAAACAAGGTGGGCATTCTCACCTGCTGTGTTGTGATCCTACTTGGGGCATCATCTGCTTCTCTTGGGTAAGGATAGAGGGAGCTTGATGCACCCTAGAAATATATTTGTAAGAGATACATAACGATTTTCTTGGAATATACACAAACAAATGATCTAATTTTTAGACATTATATAACTCTACATCCAGCAACTGTCATGTTATATACACTCTACTATACCTTGCATTTGGTGTTCATGAGCAACCTATTTGGCTTATTAGTAATGATTATGTATTTGTTTTTATTTGTTTGTTCCTTATTAATGATTTATCGGTTGAATGTTAGACGTTACTAAGGCACTTTCAAAAATATACTAAACAATACAATTAGACAAACAATGTATCTTATGCATTTCTAGGTTTTAGGTATAGTAGAGTGATATTGTCTCAAAAGTTATGGTTGTTATAATAATGGGAGTTGAGGGTATGTGGAGAAATGTCATAGCGGTGTGTTATCTTAGTCAATGTAGTTGATATTTAAGTTTACATGTTATCTAATTCAAAGGAAGTACCAAACAATCATATTCACTTTTTAACATTTTTAAAAGAATTGTACATTCTCGAAAAATGTTGTATATTCTGTATATCTCTATTGTCATAATACAATGTACAGGACAATATTGTACATGTACTTACTTTGTAGGGTAATATTGTATTTTATTATATACCCAATATGTAACACTAATCCTGATTGGTCAATACATAGTCACGTGTTCCGAAACAGATTTACTATTTCCCTTCGAAAGTTATATTTCCTCAAATGTAAGAAGCGGGAATATACATTTGAACTATTGCCCGCTGACGTCACGATTGCAACTTCTATTACCCTTGGAAACATCTGCGCATCATCACTGCGCAGACGAAAAACACAAAAATGGAGGATGAGCACAAACACAAATCAACTCCGTTCACCATGATAGACGTAAGTAAACGATACAATATAAGCAACGTGGATAAAGTTCCCTAAGCTCAATAAGTCTGTGTAATTTCAATGTTATGATAATCCATTTCAAGTGTTAAACACGATTGAATTTGTCAAGTGAGAGTCTCAGAAATTTCTTAGGAAAAAATTTCTGTTGAGCATATAATGACGTCACAGCTTATAATGCTAACAATGGACCAGGGGAGGGGGCTTTCTAAGCCGTTTTGGCCTTCGCGGAGGAAACGGGACAAGAGTCGGTGTAGGGTATATAATAAAACAAATAGTGACTGCCTAATTTCGAGCAACAGTGTAAATGATTTTCCCTTGGGAATATCCTCTATAATGTACATTTTAAAGAATATTTCCTCGGGGAAATAATTTACAATATCGCTCTCCCTCAATGGCAGTCACTATTTGTATAATGTAGTAGTATAATAGTGTACATATACTTTCATTTGTAAGATAATATCATGTAGTAGGATAATATTGTACATGTACTTACATTCATAGGATTGTATTTTATCATGTAGAAGGATAATGTTGAATAATATACTTACATTTGTAAGATAATTCATCCTGAAGGGCTGAATCCTGAGATCAAATGTTTGAGTTGGTCCCTCTGTAGTTGCAGCATTTTCCCGAGTGTCTTCATAAGTTACATTAAAGCTACTTTTGCTGTGATCTCCTGCCGAATGAAAGCTTCGTTTCCTTTCTCGAGGTGTATATTGAAACCCTTCACTGAGATCAGTTTGTTTACTAATAGCACCATTGTGTTCAACCTGCCCTTGAAATAATTCCTTGGGTCTGAATGCTGAGTTTGCATAGTGTTTTTTACCACCTGACAGAGGCCTCGAGTTAAGGGGAGTGTACCCAGCAGTTTGGCCATACAGAGTGGGGGTCTCATGTTGTAATCCATGGGGCAATATGGGGGTTACATCTTGTAAAGTATGGGATCTAGGATTTTCTGAGTATTTTTGGAGATACTCCAGGTTCCTAGTAGTAGCATTGTTAGAATTCTGCTCAAAAGTATTCATTTGAGACTTTTCATCAAATATATCCTCAACTAATATCTTTTGTTTCTTAAATCCGGTGTTTCATTTCATGTTGGTTTTGAGGTATTGACCTTGGGTACACCCCATATTCTCTTTCTCCAGATGGAACCCAAGATCGCTTTCCAACACCAGTGGTCGTCCCTGGATACCACATTTTCATATCATCTTCACAATGTTCAGAGTGGGATTGATAAGACTGTGGATAACTGTTAAATAACTGTGACAGATCTGCATTACCATTCATGCTACTGTGATGGCCTGTTGAACTGTTTATGGCATACACTGAGGGAGGGTAGTAGTCTGTTGAAATGTTTGTGTCATACACTGCACTAGGGTCATGGTCTGTTGAACTGTTTGTAGCGTACACCGAACAATGCCTGTTAATTGACTGAGTACTTGGCCCATCTGTGTCATACCTTAAACATGAAATACATTTGTGTTTATCCAGTACAACAAATGAGAGCTGCTCTGCCTTGATCACGATTATACAAGCAAAATATGACCATGAAAATACTGAATATATACATAAGAAGTATTGCTAATGCCTCAGTCACATTTGCTCTATGGAGGGCGTATGGTGGCCATAGATTCACAAAATCTATATATGAAACTATATTTGGTAATGCTTATCCCTATATTTTATGCTGTATATTTCTGTCGATTTTGGGACGCTATGGCCACCATACGATTGCAACAGTCAAATTTGACTGAGGCATTACCTTCAAGTGTCAAACCAAACAAAGCTAATATCAAAACATTAAAAAATATGATAAAACTACTCATTAAAACTACAAGTAATAGTAGTAAGCTTATGCAATATATGAGGTTTTAAGGTTTAATATATGAGGTTTTAAGGTTTAATATATAAGGTTTTAAGGTTTAATATATAAGGTTTTAAGGTTTACCAGTTTGACTGCTTCTGGTTAAGTCTTGAGATGTACCCAGCAAGGTCCATACCACACTGACCTCTCTTTGGTTGCTTCTTGCTCCTGCTTCCTTTCCTGAAATAATCATAACAAGAATATAATGTACTTTAGTGAAATGACATCTTGTACTTCTACCCTCTCTGGCATAAAATGTTACATGTTCCCTCATGTTACATGTATCCTCCTTGGAATAACATGTTACATGTATCCTCCTTGGAATAACATGTTACGTGTATCCTCATTGGAATAACATGTTACATTTATCCTCTGTGGAATAACATATAACATGTATCCTCCTTGCAATAACATGGTACATGTATCCTCCTTAGAATAACATGTTACATGCAATCTCCTTGGAATAACTACATGTTACATATATCCTCCTTGGAATAACATGTTACATATATCCTCCTTGGAATAACATGTTACATGTATCCTTCTTGCAATAACATGTTACATACATCCTCCTTAGAATAACATGTTTTATCCCATACTTGGACGTGTTACAGGTACATAAAGCCAGTTTGTAAAAACTTATATTTTCATCACCGGGCAGATATAGCTTTACGTCCCGCTCCGAGCGGGCAGATATAGTATATCTGCCCGCTACGTCATAATCGCCGCTCGCATATTTGTTCATAATGTGTAACGTTCGCGTAATGACTGTAAACGACAATGGAGAAAACACAGACAATCTGGATCTGTTTGATAGACACACAGTGATAAATATCGCACTTTGAAGAGCAAACTGGCCACCATGCAATTTACCCAGCATGGCCAAAACCTAATCAGACCTTGGCACTAGTCTGCTCTTGCATCTGTAAACATTTCAAGTTGAGCGGTTAGCCGTTTTCCTGCAATTTTGATGACAAGAATTTATTTGTAGTCTTGAACTTTGGGAAAATTTAGATAACATTGTTTGTGACCTAATTTGATGACCTTCGACCTTGAAAATTTCACTTTTTCAGACCTCAGTAGGAGTTTTGTAATTAAGCTGACCTTAATTTAAATCCAAAATATCAATTTAGAAAATCAAATTTTTGACCTTTTCAAGGTCACTGAAGGTCAACGAAAGGTCAAATCTGAAATCTAAGGTCAGATTTGAACTTCTGAGAACTTGTAGATGTTTTTAAAAAATAAATTTGGTCAAGTTGGAGCAAGTTGAAAAATTCAAAATGGCCACCAAATTGAAAAATTCAAAATGGCCACCATGTAATTCAGCCAGCATACCCAAAACCTAATCAGATCTTGACAATAGTCTGCTCTTGCATCTGTAAAAATTTCAAGTTGAACGGATAAGTGGTTTTCCTGGAATTTTGATGACAAGATTTGTTGAAAAATTCAAAATGGCCGCCAAGTAGTTTACCCAGCATGCCCCTAACCTAATCAGATCTTGGCACTAGTCTGCTATTGCATGTGTAAAAATTTCAAGTTGAACAGGTTAGCAGTTTTCTTGGAATTTTGATGACAAGAATTGATTTGTAGTCTCAAACTTTGAGAAACTTGGATAACATCATTTGTGACCTAGTTTAATGACCTTGACCTTCGACCTTGAAAGTTTCACTTTTTCAGACGTCAGTCGGTATTTTGTAATTAAGCTGACCTAAATTTAAATCCAAAATATCAATTTAGAAAATCAACTTTTTTGACCTTTTCAAGGTCACTGAAGGTGAATGAAAGGTCAAATCTGAAATCTAAGGTCAGATTTGAACTTCTGAGAACTTGTAAATGTTTTTAAAAAAAATTTGGTCAATTTGGAGCAAGTTGAAAAATTCAAAATGGCCGCCAAATTGAAAAATTCAAAATGGCCACCATGTAATTCAGCCAGCATACCCAAAACCTAATCAGATCTTGGCAATAGTCTGCTCTTGCATCTGTAAAAATTTCAAGTTGAACAGATAAGTGGTTTTCCTGGAATTTTGATGACAAGATTTGTTGAAAAATTCAAAATGGCCGCCACATAGTTTACCCAGCATGCCCTTAACCTAATCAGATCTTGGTACTAGTCTGCTCTTGCATCTGTAAAAATTTCAAGTTGAACAGGTAAGCAGTTATCCTGGAAATATGATGACAAGACTGTTTATGTGCCGCCCGCCCGCACACCCGCCCAACAGCACAAGACGACGACAATATAGCACTTTTTCAAGATAAAAAGGGAAGGAGCATTCACTTAATCAATCAAAAATTCGAGAAAATAAATGTGGGAATATTTGAGAGAACAGGAAAGTCCGCCCACGGCCAAGAAAACAAAACTGGACGTGAATATTCTAAAATATTTCCACGATTGAACAATGTGAACCAGATGACCAAGATTGGTATGGGATAAACATATTATCCTATAGTCGGTTCAGGATATTTGGATTATCCCTTGGCCAATATAATATATTTTCCCTCGGGACCTGCGGCCCTCGGGCAAATATATTATATTGGCCTCGGGATAATCCCAATATCCTGAACCTCATATAGGATAATCTCTATACATGCAATCCCCTTGGAATAATAACATGTCACATATATCCTCCTTGGAATAACATGTTACATATATCCTCCTGCGAATAACATGTTACATATATCCTCCTTGGAATAACATGTTACATGTATCCTCCTTAGATTAACATGTTACGTGTATCCTCCTTAGAATAACATGTTACATGCAATCTCCTTGGAATAATAACATGTTACATATATCCTCCTTGGAATAACATGTTACATATATCCTCCTTGGAATAACGTGTTACATATATCCTCCTTGGAATAACATGTTACACATATCCTCCTTGGAATAACATGTTACATGTATCCTCCTTTGGAATAATAACATGTTACATGTATCCTCCGTTGGAATAACATGTTACATGTATCCTCCGTTGGAATGACATGTTATATGTATCCTCCTTGGAATAACATGTTACATATATCCTCCTTGGAATAACGTGTTACATATATCCTCCTTGGAATAACATGTTACACATATCCTCCTTGGAATAACATGTTACATGTATCCTCCTTTGGAATAATAACATGTTACATGTATCCTCCTTTGGAATGACATGTTATATGTATCTTCCTTGGAATGACATGTTACATGATGCACATGTATTTTTTTGTTAAGAAACAGGTTACCATGGAAATGACATCTAAGGGAAGCTAGGATACTGGAATATTGCATATTAGGTACCAGCCAGAGCTCTTATTATAATAGTGCAGGATTTATATCTCACAGTATACTGAAATGACTTGAACACCAAAAGTCAGTTCATTTTTCATCAGAAACAAGAAGCAATCAGCGACCTCCTTAGATAGGCAGGAAATGGTATCATTTGTTGTAGAAATAAATCACTGTCAACCATGACTACTATCTTTGTTCGTAGAATACGCCTTTTGATTAAAAATATACTTTGATGCAGAGGGTTCCTATTTTTTGAAAGTCAAATTGTTTGAACAGATTTCACAATGCGAATACACGTATGACGGTGATACAATGAACTAACCAAAATATTGGAATTCACACTTCAAACTTGCATTTTCAAATCTATGAGATTAAAACTAATATTTCTTTCAGAGATGAAGAACTGCAAGCAAAAATTAAAGGGAGGTAAAAAGGATAATTCCAGTTAAGTATGTTCATAATACTTATAGACTACTGTACAGTATATACTAGTACTATACTAGACATAATTTTTGAATGATTGAATGATTAAGCAACATTTTGGGATGATTTTCAAAACAAATACTGAATAAAGTTTTACAAGTTTTACAATTCAGCTAACTATTAATTTTGTCATAAAATTGGCATCTTTAACACAAGAATTGTAATTTAGATAAATAAAAAATGAATTGCTGTACCAAGATTTGTCCCAAAAAATTGATCCAGGGGATTAAAGAAAGAGGTTGGGATAGTGGCTTACCAGAATGCAACAAGGTACAGGGTGAACAATACCTATATCATAGCAATGTGGGCTTGTTGACCCCAAAAGCAAGATGGCAAATGAAAAGTTAATCAGCAGTAGTAACATGTGTAAGAATTTGAAGTAAATCCGTTGAGTGTTTTTCCTAGAATTGTGATGACAGGATTTATCTAAAAACTTCCAAAATGGCTGCCAGAATGCAAGATGGCTGCCAAAATGTTAATCAGCTGTAGAACTTCTTACCATGTAATAGACATGTGTAAGAATTGGAAGTAAATCCATTAAGTGGATTTCCTGGAATTGTGATGACAGGATTTATCTACAAAACTTCCAAAATGGCCACCATAAATATTGTGTCTTTTTACATACGGTATAAAGCAACACACCTTTTTAAAAGTGTACATAAGATATAAAAGTAAGACTTTCATAACAACATGCATTTATAATGATGTGATCTGAGTGTTCTCCTAAGTATTTTTCTCAACTATACTGTATTTCACCTTTTGTTCTCCGACCAATATAAATGTTCATAAACATTGATTAAAATGCATCCATTTTCAAAATAATCAAAATTATCAATTGGGTGCAAATGGATTTTCAACAGGGTGCAATTAGAATTTTTATGTTGGTGCATTGCCAAATTACTTTTAGGCTGGGGAGATTTACATTCTAATGCTAGTGGACAGTGTTTCTATGAGGGATCAATAGAGCACTACCCTAACAGAGAATTCTGTAAACGTTCACAAAAGAGGAAAGGCAATGGAAATATGAAAACAGATTTTAGTTTTCTGATCTAAATAAATATTTTACACTCTCACTGGACATGTGTTTATCATAAAATAGTGGAATTCATATAAGAAAGCAAGTAAGATTGATGTGAGAGATAATTCCTGTAAGGTAAAGACTTGGTTTGATTTGATTTTCTCCTGATTCTATCTTAAGTGAAATATTGACAGTGATGGATTCTTGAGAAGAAAATAGAGTGAAAATAATATTTATTCATCCAAAACTCAAGCTGGCTTTGTTAGCCGCAATAACATAAGTTGATAAGCGTGCAAAATGTGGAATGGCCTGAAGGTATTGGTCTTCGTGAGAATTTCTATATAAAATGATGATCAAAAGAAACCAAAAGTCTACAACTAACAATCTTAAGCAAACACCTAAAATTAGGTGTCGATTTTTGATTTTATGACAAGATTAATATTGGTGAAAAATTAATTTTGAGTTGATTTTGGGGTTGACTGACTGGTTCAAAAAATGTATTTTGAATTTTGAACTATCCAGAATTATATTATTATATATATTTATATATATTTGTATGTGTATCCACTCACAAACAAAATATTTCAGGATGAGAAATTTTGAATGTAGCTGATTGTCTCCCTTTAAATAGGTATAAATACTGAAATAAGAATCATTAAGTAAGTGGAACATCTCTGTATAGTAAATGGAACACTTTTCACATCCTATAAACCATTAACTTAATGTAAAATGAACCTCTGCAGGTGGAACACCTTACAAATGGTACATTATTTGAGGTAGCAAAGGTGTTCAGCTTGGATTTACTCTAACGATTCTCTGCCCAACTACAAAAAAGCCTTTATGGCCTTCACCTCAGTGTCAAACAGACAATTCATAAAACTGTGTGCACATATGTCAAAGTTGTCTGAATATAAAATACTGCAGAATACAATTTCAAATTCTCAAGAGTGAAATTATTAAGATAAAATAGCAGCAATGCCCAATGCTTAAAATGTACACCAAACATGCTATATCAAACCATTTCTCTCTGAAGAGCTACACCTTAAATCTAGGTAAAGATAATTAAAATTAACTCCACAGATCTTAGCATAATCTTGCCCTAATTCCATTTTTAGTCCAGTCTGTATTTTGACCATGAGCATTTATTCACCAGAAACTGCACTCATAAAATCAGTGAAAATGAACTGCATTGATAGATATCAAGGTTTGAGTGCTATTTTTATGATCAACTGAGGAGTCATTCAAAATGGTGTTATATTAATCCAGAATTTATCAGAGTCATTTCTGTCATATAAACATGAATATTTTATCAATCTATATTAATAGGTCTCCTCTAATACACTATGGACATTCTAAACCAATGTAAAACATTTTGCAAAAGCAGGATTCTGTATATTCTGTATCTGTACATTACAATGAAATGTGCATTCATGAATGGATACAAAAAAAAACAATTCTTGGTAAAGCAAGATTATAACTTAAGGGTAGACTTCTTTGAATTATACATACTTTTGTTTGAGAGAATTAGGGTGGGGTAGGTCTTCTACTGAATATCTCTGGCTTCTAGTATCAGGTCGCACCACTTTCTGACTTCGCACCTGAAAATTGTGTGTAAACTCAAACTGTACAAACAAAATTTTCAATGATTAGAAAAGAATAAAATAACAAGGAGTATTACTATACATTTAATAGGCCAGGAAAACAGTTATGTTTCTGGTAGCCAGGTGTGTGGTATTAATTTCTATATAAATGAGTTGACCCTACGGTAAAATGGTAGAACATAGGAAATATTACCTCATCTGACAGACATGTTCAATAAAGTAAATTATCAAAACAGAAACTTCACAATATCTCATGATACTATAAGAGGTTTTTAATAGCATAAACATATCAAATATATTTCATAATCTGTGCCTATATTGCATTAGCCAAATCCAATACTGGTTGGTATCATTGACAGTAATGTGATCAAGTAACGATTGACTGAAAATCATTATGAAAAAGTACATGAACATACTAGTATATAATCTGTAAAAATAGAAATAACATTCCAATTATGTCTCAATAAAAAAAGAAGTGCTGCAGCCTATACTTTTGAAACAGTATGGATCTTTCATTCAAAAAATGGATTTGCCTTGCTAGAATTTTCCTCACTATGTTTCATTATTTGCTGTCTATAAAGTGTCCAATTTTGATTTATTCTGCTGCTTTCAAATATTTCCCTTACGATATATTTGCAATCATTTCTGAATTTTGCTTTAACAAATGCTACATTTCTTTTTAGGGAATATGAGTGACATCATTTGAGGAACACAAAATATATTGAATGGGGTTACCATCAAATAATTCAATATATTCTCAGTATTTTTACCATATGTACTCCCAATATAATACAGAAACCAAATTAAAAAGTTGATAAGTTATAAACATGACAATTGTCAGTGGACAAAGCTTTCAATCTTACACTGTGGTTATATGCAAAAAACGATATACACGAGCCATTTCTATAAAATATCATAGAGTTTATTTATTTATAAAAACATACATGTACATCATAAATAAACAAAATACCTTACAGCATTCTGTGTATTAGATTAATAAAATGTCTTAAAATTCTTGAGATCAACTATATTGGTGTTGATTACTGACCATTTTAAAGTTATCCAAAGAAAAACAATAGTTTTACAATGTTTCAGTTTACACCCAAAAAGGGTATGATTGTAAACAATATATTGCACGATGATGAAATATAAAGAGAATCCTGAATATCAAAGTCCTAATGACAATATTTTATCGGTAGATCCAGTGTCTTAAATCCAAGGTCCATTGTTTTATATTGAGATCATCTTCTGCGTAAGCCAGAGTGTCATGTAGTCATATCTTTAATACACCTCTTCTTGTGAGAACTGGAATGGTCCTTTTATAAATTCATCTATATCCACTTTACCATTGTCTGGAAGAACATGAATAGCAAAATAAATTTGCTGCAAAACATATCATGCCTGATTTCATGCAAATAATTAAAGTTAGATTTACTATTTAAATTTTTTTATTTGATAGTGGTATGTTATAATGTTATAATGGTGAATGTGTTCTCTCAGTCAACAATTTCCTTGTGATATACTCTTCAATTTATAATTCTAAATTAACATGTCTTATATTTTCATAGCATCTTAATTTTAATTATATAACATCAACTTAAAATATATTGCAAATATCTGAATATACTACAGGAACCATAGGGGACTAGTGAATTCAACACTCTTGTGAGTGAAAAATGTAAAAATTTCATGTTTGATATGTAGTTTCAGATGATGTGCTCTTACAATTATTTATCATCACAAATACAGCATGTGCTTTGAACAAAAGATGATTTCACTTACTATCTTTATCAGCTTTTTCGATAATATCTTTACATTCAGCAGGAGTGGATGAGATTGCTTCAGCAAATTCTTCGAGGGTTAATGCACCATCTTTGTTCAGGTCATATTTGGTGAAATCAGGGGAAAATGGCTCCTCATCATTGGCAACGGAACGACGTTTGCGGCCAATATTGCACACCTTATGGCAGACAGGAGCACAGATCCCAGGTGCAGTACATTTAGTATTACAATACATGTTACAGATGGGTGCGATGATGCGACGGAGACCAAGCCTTGGTGTTCGAATACGGAATCTCCAGGCATCACTGGTCTGTAAAGTGGCAACAACAGCCAAGAGGAGGAAGGCAACAGCTACTTTCATATTTATACCTATAAATAAAAAGTTAGCATAACTCTTAATTGTGGTTGATTTAGCATTTGTATTTATAGCATTAATGATATGATCAAATGTTTCAGTGAAAAGGTAATAAATGTAGTTTAAATTACAATTGAATGTTTTTCTAATACTCTGTCCCTTTTATTTTCAACTCAACAACATATGTCAGTTTAAACACATGGATAAACATGGAGTGATATAAACAAAATAACATGATATACTATATGTGTACTATTTTCTTGATTTATTTGCTAAAACTTACCTTGAGTTTGAATGATCCAAAAGAGTGAGTTTTCTATTTGCCTGAGCTGTTGTATTGTCCCAAGTCCAGTGATAAAGTGATGGAGTCCCTCTCATTCTAATCTTATATACAATCCAAGTGGAAATGCACTGAATATATTTCTTCAGATTCATGTTGGATTTCGGGGTAAAGATGAAGTAGAAATCCCTAAACAAGTTCAAGTTTCAAGTTGACTCTGATAAGACACTTTAACCTGCTCACAGTGAAAATAATATTGGTTAAACACTCAACAGGAACTTATCCTGATTTAATTGACTTCCTTGCTGTCAAAGCATTGTTTATCCTGGTTAGGGTAAAAAAATTTGCTCAAGTACATAGTCAACAGATACGGAACAAATATTTCAAAATACTGTAATTTCCATCATAACTTATTTTCCTTTTTTCAATGAACATTCAATGACTTTTAAAAATATACTAACAGTATGATAGAAGTGATGAAGGGAATTTAGCACTTTAATGTAAAAAGTAGATGAAAGATTATCAAATTACAACAGCGATACATTGCTGATTCAAACTGTTTTTTTTACTTCCTGGTCAGTATAACCTCTAATCATATTACTGAACTTCCCATATAGTCTTTCATTTTCAGGAAAGATTCATACAAAACATAGGTTTCAAAACTGGATCAGGTAAAACAGAATATTTCTTAAGTGGCAAATCCAAAAAAAAGAAATATATTTTGACACATACGGTAAATGAGTAAACAAAAAGTTGAAAGACAGAGGCTCTATATAAAATAATACAAAATATGTCCACACCGCATGATGAAGATTTTAACAAATGATGGTGAATTGAATGTTAAGTATATAGCCTAGAAGCATAATCATTGAAAAAATGTATAGTTATAACCAATTAAAAGTTATTCCCAATAACAAAAATGTAAAAAAGAATATTACCAGTATTTTGAATGAAAAGATTGACCAATGGATAACTTCTTGGGTCATGAATTCATATTGATCCAGATTAACATTTGGTGAATTTGTACGATCCTAGGATTTTGTGGGGAATCCCCAAGATTTATCAAAATTATATTGGAATTCAGATAAAATTTATCGGAAAATCAGAGATATGGATGACATTTATCCTAAAGATTGTACGAATTCACCAATGTTCGGATAAATTCCAAGATTAATCCCACAATGCATCATTACCATGACGAGATTTATCGTACCACAGATCGTACAAATTCACAGCCGCCCATCCCATCAAAAATAAACCAATCTTTTTTGTGAAATAAATGCATTTCTGTCTAACTAGTTAATACTTTATGGGCAATCACCATATTGCATAAAAATTGCCAGAAGGAAAAATTCCATGTAATATCCCCTAGAGTATAACACAATACAATTATATCTTTGGGAATTATTGGCTGATTCTAGCATTTGCTGATGTTCTACCATTATGTAATTTATGTCTCTCAAGAGAGAAACAAGAGTGTCAATGTATCAATCCACATTCAAAAGAAAAAATGTTCTGTTTCACAAAAATGGCATGCCAAATGTCATCATGTCAGACATACAGGATGTCCCAAATATCAATAACATACAGAATGTCCCAAATATCAATCACATACAGGATGTCCCAAATATCAATCTACATACAGGTTGTCCCAAATATCAATCACATACAGGATGTCCCAAATATCAATCACATACAGGATGTCCCAAATATCAATCACATACAGGATGTTCCAAATATCTATCACATACAAGATGTCCCAAATATCAATCACATACAGGATGTCCCAAATATCAATCACATACAGGATGTCCCAAATATCAATCTACATACAGGATGTCCCAAATATCAATCACATACAGGATGTTCCAAATATCAACCAGAACAATGGCAACGCCAAAGCGTAGCGAATCCCAACAGCCATGGATGGCATTTTTACAAACAAAGTATATAGCAAAAATGGCAGCCATTTTACAAAATGGTCGCCTTCTACCAAAAGTGTCATTAGACCATGTGCCATGCTTATAGTATTCACATACCAAAAATGAACAAAATCCCTCCACTACTTTTCAAGTTATAGTAAAATACGGTAAAATGGCGGCCATTTTTCAAAATGGCCACCTTCTACCAAAAGTGCCATTAGACAGTGTGCCATGCTTATAGTATTTACATACCAAATATAAACAAAATCGCTCCACTACTTTTCGAGTTATAGTAAAAATACGTTAAAATGGCGGCCATTTTTCAAATTTTTTTTCAAAATGGCCGCCTTCTACCAAAAGTGTCATAGGACAGTGTGTCATGCTTATAGTATTCACATACCAAATATGAACAAAATCGCTCCACTACTTTTCGAGTTATAGTAAAAAACGTTAAAATGGCGGCCATTTTGAAAGATGGCCGCCTTCTACCAAAAGTGTCATTAGACAGTGTGCCATGCTTATAGTATTCACATACCAAATATGAACAAAATCGCTTCACTACTTTTCGAGTTATAGTAAAATATAATAAAATGGCGGCCATTTTCAAAATTTTTTTTAAAATGGCCGCCTTCTACCAAAAGTGTCATAGGACAGTGTGTCAGGCTTATAGTATTCACATACCAAATATGAACAAAATCGCTCCACTACTTTTCGAGTTAAAGTAAAATACGTTATGGCCACCATTTTTCAAAATGGCCGCCTTCTACCAAAAGTGTCATTAGACCATGTGCCATGCTTATAATATTCACATACCAAATATGAACAAAATAGCTCCACTACTTTTCGAGTTACAGCAAAAATCGTAAAATAACGAGTAAAGGCCGCCATTTTTCAAGATGGCTGCCATGTGCTTCTTTAATATCTAAATTTCTAGCTTTCTTAATGTCCTATATAATTTTTTTACATTTAAAACATATTGCTATTACAGTTTTACATATTGCACCTAAATTACTGTAAATTCGGCACTAAAATGGCCGCCATTTTGAAATGAGCGGCCATTTTGAAAATCGGCTTTCGAGCAGAACTTCTACCCCCATAGGGTATATGTGTACAAAATATGAACAAAATCGGGCCAACGGTATTTGAGTTATTGCCCGGACGGACGGACGGACGGACGTACGTACGGACGGATGGACGTACACGACGGATGGATATACGTACGGACGGACGGACGTACGTACGTACGGACGGACGGAGGCGTTCCCTATATCCCTCCGAACTTCGTTCGATGGGATAATCACATACAGGATGTCCCAAATATCAATCACATACAGGATGTCCCAAATATCAATCACATACAGGATGTCCCAAATATCAATCCACATACAGGATGTCAATCCATATACAGAATGTCCTAAATGTCAATCTAGATACAGGGTGTTCCAAATATCACTATGCATACAGGGTATCCCACATACAGGGTGTCTCAAATGCCAATCCACATATAGGATGTCCCAACTATCAATCTAAACACAGGGTGTCCCTTAATATTAATCCACAAACATGATGTCCCAAATATCAATCCACGTACATACAGAATGTATGAGATAAGACTCTCATAATTTTCAGAAGAATATACAGTATAAAATATTCAGAGTACATAATTAACAGACATGGAAACATACTCACCATACCATGATGGTGTCTACTTGGTGATGATGGACAGGTGTTCTCTCTGGAAATAAACACAGAAGTAACAATTTTTTGTTTTATGTTCACATTCAAGTATAAAATACTTCCAAAAGAAATATAACATGTGTGTCAATTAGGCAGTATATACAAGGGTTGTTCAAAAAGTTTTGCACAAATATATCTAATTGTGAAAATAATGGACTAATCTTGTTCATAGTTGGCATGTATGTGCCCATATCTTATTCCCTTACACTGTCAAAGTTTCGTGTATATGCGCCTACTACTTAACATTTTAATTCTGCTTTGATAATACAAAAAAAATATACTCTTGGAAAAGTCAAAACCAATTGTTTTTGATGGTTTTAATATGCATATCTGAAAATATATCTACATAATATTTTATGGATAGATAGGTTATGTTAATTTGTTTGTATACTAAAAGGTGACTCATAAAAGGTGGCTAATCCTATATTTGTTTACCCTCAAAATGAACACTCACATAAGTGCTTGTTAATTCACTTTCAATTTTTCCATTGCTGAATGAGGTTTATTTTTATATTCCATAAAATATTAGTATCTTGTCCTAAACAGAACCAATTCTTGATTTAAAAATAATATTATGATATCAAAAACTTACTCAATAAATCTGGTATAACAACCAACATGATACCATCCTTAAAAAACATCAATCTGAATTATGGAATTAACCATTAAAGGTAAACCATAAAAACATTCATCTACAATTTCCTGATACAATATCTCGATAATTAATAAATTCAATTATCCAGAGTGATTTATCAACGATTAGAGCATTAAGGTTGCTTAGTAAGTTGATGACTATATAGCTTTATCACTTCCAAAGCATATTAAGCTAGATTACACAGATAATGGTACCCAATCTAAAAATATGAGAAAAATGATTGATTAGAAAAAATGCTGAAAAGCAAAAGAGCTTAAAATGGAATAAACACCCAGGGACATAATCTATTGTCAATACTATAAATATAAGTTAATATTGATGTGAATATTTAAAATAAAAATACATCAATTAATTCTCGTTCTAAGTTGTTCAGTGTTTGGACGGACTGCGGTACATAAATCTTGTAAATCTGTCCCTGTAATTCAAGCTGATGTGTTAAATGGAAAAATAATTATGGTGTCTGTTCAAACTGACAACATTATTATGAGATAGGTGGAATGAAAAACTAATTGTGGAGATTAACACAGGAGGTGGTATCAATCCCATCATTCATCTGTTGGAAATTGACAAGAGATTGCCTAAGCCAATGAGTATGCAGACCATATGAGTTCACTCTCCTTCACTTAAAATCAAAATTATGCATTTTTCATTTTATGATGCATTGAGCTGAATCAGCGTGAGGACTAGCAAAATACTTATCTAAAGCATGCTGGGAATGGTAAGCATCATTGTGTGATTTCTTATACAATATCATTACTGGGCATTACTAAAGTTGTTCCTTAATCATGCACACCTAAATCTGGCCTTTATCCCAACTTTATTAGATCTTAAGGCAAAAATCAATGTAGTCGATTGGCATAGAATGGCAATCTGGCTGAATATAAGTGAATTGACCGCAACTAAAATACCACAATCCTCAGTACATTTTGCAAATAATAAAACATACATTTATGTTGAATTTGTGATGACATAAATGAAGAAACATTTCATCAACACTAATTGTAAATGTGTTCCAGCAATTTAGGGTAGTTTATTCTTCAGAGACGAGTAGAGTGGAATGAGTTAATGACCAGCAGAGATATTTTAAATAGAGGAGAGAGCAGATATTCTTATTGAACCAAAGTGCAGAGACTATACTATGATAGCATCCTCAATAGCAGCCATGTGTAAAGATCAAGCACAAAAGGGTGGCTTAACAAAACAACCAATCATGTCACACGATAGGCGACTTATAAAAATATCACAGTTTAGTCGAAATGGGGACAAAACTGAAATTTCTAATTTGAAGATTTATTTGTTATTAAACTATTAAATGTGAACTTATTTCACCTGGCACTATGACTATATAGGAATTTCTCATGAAAAATGTTCACATTTAATTGACTCTTGAAATGACCTGCTACAGGCCTGACTCCAATATTTATTATGTGTAGAAAATCACATGCATGAACTAATTTCATTAAATATTTCCATAGAAATCTTTACAACATAAGTAATAATAATTATTTTGCCAGCTAAAAATTCTATACATGTATATAATAATACTGATGGTGTTGTGATATCAAAATTGATACTCATACCAGGAACAATGTCACCTGGGATGGAAATACTTAGTACAGTATCAGGCCCGTACGACACTTTTCTCCAAGGGGGGTGCGGTTTTTACTAAAGAGAATATAAAATTGTCAATTTTTTGCCGCGTAAATCAAATCGCGTAAGTCAGAGGGGGGGGGGGGTTTGGTTACTCCCTATATTGGTGATTTCTGGGCACTTTTAAAGTGTTTAGAAGTAACTATGCAACTTCCAAACGTTCCAATTGTTTTGTGGGGGGGGGGTGTGAGGAGTGGTCCAATCCCCCAGAAAATTTTACAGTTTTTAGATGCTATTTGGTGCTTTCTGGGCACTTTCAAAGTGTATGAGTCAATAAGAAAAATGTGAAATTTTTTTCAAATTCTTTTGGGGGTGTCAAAGAGGATGAGAGGGTGAAGTGGGGTGGGGTGCCAGAGGGGAGCAAGAGGTTGTCCCCCAGAAACATATCAAGGTGCTATTTGATGATGTCTGGGCACTTAAAAAAATGTCTGAGACAATTCATGAAATTCAGAATGTTTTCTTTTGTTTTGTGGGGGATGTGAGGCGTGGCTAACTCTCCTAGAAAATTTTACAATTTAAAGACGATATTTGGTGCTTCTGGGCGCTTTTAAAGTGTATTAGTCGATAAAAACATTGAAAAACAATCACAATTTTTTTCAAATTTTGGGGGTGTCAAAGGGGGGAGAGAGGGGTGCCAGAGGGGGAGTTTGGGTTGGGGTGCCAGAGGGGGAGCAACTGTTTGTCCCCCAGAAACATTTACAATATCAAGGTGCTATTCGATGAAGTCTGGGCACTTTAAAAGTGTCTGTGCCTAAAAGTGCCTATTTCCCAAGAAAATTTTACAATTTTAAGATGCTATTTGGTGCTTTCTGGGCACTTTCAAAGTGTATGAGTCAATAAAAAATTTGAAAAATCTTAATTTCTTTTTCAATTTTTTTGGGGGGGTGTCAAGGGGGGGCTGCCAGAGGGGGAGGGACTGCCAGAGGGGGAGGTGGAGTGGGGATGCCAGAGGGCGAGTAAGTGTTAGTCTCCCAGAATCAATAACTATATCAAGGAGCTATTTGATGATGTGCTGGGCAATTTAAAAGTGTCTGAGACAATACATAAAACAAATTCAGGACGTTTCCATTGTTTTGTTTGGGGTGTGAGGGGTGGCCCACTCTCACTAGAAAATTTTACAATTTTACAACGCTATTTTGGTGCTTTCTGGGCACTTTCAAAGTGTATGAGTCAATTAAAGAATTTGAGAAAATCACAATTTTTATCCAATTTTTTTTTTTTGGGGGGGGGGGGGTCAAGGGGGGGGGGTGCCAGAGAGGGAGGTGGGGTGGGGATGCAAGTGCAAGATGCAAGAGGGGGAGCAAGTGTTAGTCCCCCAGAAACACTAACTATATCAAGGAGCTATTTGATGATGTCTGGGTACTTTAAAAGTGTCCGAGACAAAACACTAAAATAAATTTAGAACTTTTCCATTGTTTTATGGGGGGTGTGAGGGGTGGCCAATACCCCTAGACAATTTTACAATTTTAAGATGCTATTTGGTGCTTTCTGGGTACTTTCAAAGTGTATGAGTCAATGAAAAGAAATTACAAAAAAAAAATTTTCAAACTTGGGGGTGTGAAAAAGGGGGATGCGGTTGCACCCATCGCACCCCCCCCATCTGACGGCCCTGAGTATATTAATCAAAGATCCCACCAAGCAATCAATGGCTAACATCCAACATCCAGCATGTCCAGGGTATTGGTTAAGAGCAAAGGCACCAGAACAGATAGTACACTTGACCAAAAAGAAAATCAATCCCCTCACTCTCTCAGTATCAAGGAAAAAATTCTTTCTTGGAGCAAAGAGAGTGGGGAGAGGGGTAAATTTTCTTTTTAGGACAACTTTTTACTCTACTATCTGTTTTGGTGTTTCAGTGGTAGAAAGTGGTACACAACAACTGTCACCTCATTCTTTATACTAAAGTCCTCTTTTATATCATGAATAAACGCTTTGAGATACTTTTCCCCCTGAAGATGGCATTTGACATGTAACATATAACACTACATGGAGAGAGCATGTATATTGATGACACATAAATGGTCTTCACTAAAAAGACAAAGTGCAATGTAGACCATTTCATTGGTGAAAATGAGGGAAATCAACAAGATATATGAAGTATAAACTCATGCACTGTGTGTGTGTGTGTTAAATGTACAAATTCATATTTCACATATTCATTCACATTTTACAGAAAGAATGTGAAATTAGTTTGACCAAATCAACTTTAAAGGAAGGGTCTCTAACATGATAATCCACTATATTCATTGGACTCATGAGACTCATTTGCAACTGCAAAAACAAAACAATATAACATGATAAAAACATATCTGATGAGGAACGATTCTCTCTTGTAACTATTTGCAAGAGCTTGACTTATGGTGCTCTCTATAATTCAAAGAAAATATTTTGACTATACAGTCAAAAAATTATGACTAGACATTTTCTGCCCAAAGGTAGCAAATATTAATTTCACATTCAGACTCCCATTAACCTCTTGAATCCCAGGCTCTAAAATCGGTTTGAAACCAGAAGATTTTTCAGTTTTGCCGGGCTTTTGACATTTTACTATATATTTTTTACAACAGGTGATGCTCAATTTAGTGGAATTGGTGGACAGGGATTATTTCTACAAATTTACGATGTTTTTTTTGTGTAAGTTAGATGAAATTGTCCAAATGAGTCGTCTGCCACCTTTTGATACATGTACATTAGAAAAGGTCACCACCAAGTTGCTCACAATATTATTAGTTCAATCTTTAGTCAGATTTGAATTTCTGAGTACTTGTAGATGATTTTGAAAAAAAATTAATTTGAAGCAAGTTTAAAAAGACCTTGAGAAGGTCATTGAAGGTCAAATCTTTTTTGACCTTGAGAATGTCATTGAAGGTCAAATCATTAGTCAGATTTGAACTTTTGAGAAAATGTAGATGATTTTGAAAAAAAATTGGTCAATTTGAAGCAAGTTGAAAAAAGACCTTTTTTAACTTTTCTTGACCTTGAGAAGGTCATTGAAGGTCAAATCTTAAATGTTAAGTCAGATTTGAACTTCTGATAACTAATAGATGATTTTGAAAAAAAATTTGGTCAATTTGAAGCAAGTTGGAAGAAATCCTTTTTGACATTTTTTAACCTTTTTTGACCTTGCTCTAATTTATTTGTCCCAATTTTCAATGTGGTACAAATGAATTTCAAAATAAATGAATAAGACAATATTCCAACAAATATTCAAATGTTAAATGCCAAAAAGTATATTATCGAGATAAAACAGGTACTCAGACCTATTTATTTGTAACCTGAACCTCTCTGGGGAACAGCTCTAATATTTCTTTTCTCTAAGAAAAATATGGTGTGTAAATATCTCTGGGAACATTAGCTAATTATCTTGTGATTAAGGGATACATTAGGATATTTGATAGCATTCTGAGGTAATTATCAACAGTAATAAAAAACATTCTATAATTGCAACATTTGTTTTGTTTTTCTAGTATTAAATCCCTCTCCTATATAATTACTTCTCCCCTGGGAGTGCAAGGAAGATGTACAGGAGAGCATAAGAAAAAGCTAGCATTGTAGAAACAAACTCATTTGTTTATTTGTCATATTGAATTGTTAAACTGGACACTGAGCTAAATGTTGATTAAGAGATAAAAATATGGAGAATGGAGACCATACCATGGAAAAAGGAGAAAATACACCATACCATATGTGACATTTTACTTTGTTCAATTTAATATGCCTACCGTCCTTTCAGAAAAGGTCTGATATTTATTTTCGCATCAAAAATATATTACAAAATGTCATCTGAACATTAGGGAATGATCTTGTGTACAAAGATACATTAGAAAATTAGAAAGATTGGAAATTGAAAATGATGAAAATACAAAACAATCATACTTTCTTTTAGATGAGACAAGTAATCTTTCTGATCTTTTTTGAAATGGAAGGTCAGATTCATCATATTTTATCACCCACCAAACATGTGGAATTCAGAAAAAATAAATGGAAATGAATAAACACTAAATGAATTAAATCTAATTAAAAATTACTTTAAAATGGAGTGTTGGACTCATTTTCAGACAAAATTACAAGACATTTTCAAGACAACTTCAAGATAATTTTATTTAGCTTTGATTAAAAAAGAATTTGCTTTGTGCACTAAAAATAAGTTTGGTGTGCAATCAAGGGAAAATCAAATGAAAATATTTGCAAAACAGTGAAGAATATCACTTGAAATCAATAGCTCCACCCTAATGTAATTTCCTTCTCAATCAGAGGTATGAGAACATGTGCAATAACAATGCATACTTGAAAGGTTTAATTCACAGATTGATCCCATATTAGATTCAAAGTTAATATCTTCTTGCAAAAATAAATATTTTTTAACCAGTTCTGGATAATTCGGAAAATGGGCTTGATATTTGTTTAGTACATTCCTAGTGACACACAATCATTGGATTTGTGATAGTCCCCGAGCTGTAGATTTGACTTACTTTTGTCTGTGTTCATTGAGGAACTGGTTTAGGTCAAATGTGTCTCCCCTTAGAATGGTAGTGTTTGTTGGCCTTGATATCATCACTTGGCATGCCTCAGATTCTGCAATGTGCGGGTCCAGGCTTTCAGTGTCCAACTTATTACACTCATGTCTCTTTACTGTTTTGGATGACCTATGTAAAGGATTTTAAAGAAAATGTTCATGTAAGCAGGGGTTTCATTTGCAGCAAGCAGCAAGGTTGTTTTCACAAAATTGCCTGTTGTTTCTAGGGACTTTTCAACTTTTCCATGTTAAATATATGATTTCCATTATTTTTTTCTGTTGTTTTAATTTAGTCAGCATGTTGTGAGAAATTCTTGTGAAACCCCTGTGTTAGGCACTATTTTTACCATAACACTCTGAGGATCTAGAGTGAGCATATTTTAGAGACTTCACATATATAATAGGAAATATCAAATCTATAAAGTATTCAATAAATAAACAGATCAGACTATTCTAATTTTCTTTATGAAACCACGAGCAACAAAAAAACAACCATATGTATTTCACCAGAACGCAGATTCCATAAAATGAAAAAATCGATAGATCTGGCTTTAGACATCATAGTGAAAATATCTTTTAATGCCCTCTTAGATTTATGTGATTATTCCTTTGAAAGTGTCAAGATTTCCAATTTCTGCTGGACCAATCTCTATAATCTTGTGATCTCCTGTGAGATAAATTGATCTTTTCAGACAAAGACACACTTGTGAATAATAACTAATGGTTCTGTGTATGAAGGACATTTAAGTTATATTCTGGAATGTGAAATTGCCTTGAATCTCTACTAGTTAGATAACCTACTCTCGCAACTACTTCAGAGTATTACCAGTATGGACCCCATTTGAAAATAAAATGGATATGATGAGAATGAGTTTAGACAATTGGCAGTTGACTTCAATTTTTGAAGGAAGGAAGGAAGATAGGAAGGAAGGAACTGAAGGAAGAATAGACACAAGGATGAAATGACAAATGGGTAATTCCAGAGACTCACTGTGTGGGGGCAAAAGAACAATTTTGGTCCATTTCATGTGTACAATATTCATATATGGCCGATGCATGACAACTGGTTCATCTGTCAAGTACTTTTAAGTGCCATAACACAAGCCATATGCCACAATAAAACAAAAACGATATTGTGCAAATTGCCTAAATTGAAATCAAATTCTTTCCAGTATGTGTATAAGAGGCTTAATTTCGTTAGCATTACAGGATTTCTTGACCCGGGTGCATAAAAGAAGATTGATTACTTCAGGCAATTATATCAACATGATTTATGGCATAAAGATCGAGCATTGCAAATTGAGTTATGATCGAGTGGCCATGTGTAAAGCTAGCTCAATGCTGATCTAATCCCAAATGTCAAAATGATCAGAGTTTTCTTATTGAAAATTGAAATGAGACAAACATTTAGAAAGATCTTATAAAGTAAATAACTATACCTTCCAAATAGGGGAGTTGGCAAAATCTGCCCCACCCTGTATTTACTGTGTGCCTCTTCTGTTTGTTGGCTCATATTGTATTTACTGGATGTCTCTTCTGTATTTGGACCCACTCTGTATTTACTGGGTGTCTGATCAAAATATTGTTCCACCCTGTATTTACATTTATTTGGCATTTCGTTTTCATCAACTTCTTCCATTTCTTTAGATTTGCGTCTCTTCATCATCTTCAAAGGCTCGTTACCATGTAGACATTTACTGCTAACAGCTATTTACCTAATTGGAGTGTCTTAAAATTCAGATTGTTTTTTCAAATTATCGTTTCAAAGGCTAGGGCTTTTCCTCTGGGTATTTTTCTAAAGAATTGATCTTGATACACCTACGTGTATTTTTGCACTTTTCCTGTTGCTTTTTACTGTTTCTTTTGATTAGTCGCTCTTTGGGGAAATATGTACAGTGCTTAACTGATACTGTTTTCCTCTATAGTTTAGTTACCTGTATATTGGTGGTATATTTTGATGGTTGTGGAAATACAACACAATAATTATAATTATTTCATGCAGTCAAGTCAATATTGTTGTTCTCATTTGAATAAATTAGCGTTAGTCTTCAATATGCATTTAAATCACCCAATATAACAAAGATGTAATTGCCTGCTTCCTTCTAGAGAATTAATGCAGATTTATCGAGCGTCAATTGTTTACTTCATCATTAAGTTTCACTTTATTTCACCACGATAGTTTCTTGAGTGTCTAAACGTAAATCTCACTTGTGTCCATTTCACGTATCAGCACTCTCCAGTGTATTCTTCAATTATACGCTTAATTTGTTCATGTCAAGTTTACGAACTTTATGACCATATATAGTACTCCTTGCTCCTTGTATATTTGCTACCAATCAGAACTAGAACACTCTAAAAGCTAGCCGGAGGATCTAGTACTGTTTAATCATGAACGTTGGGATAAAATACTGGTTGAGTGTAGAAATCTTTTTCTAGATTAATTTGACTTCTAATTTTTAAGATATCTTTCCAAGATACAGGTTACAGATCACACATAGAACTCTTTCTCAAAACTAATTGGACCTCCAGTGTTATAAAATACTTTGCCAAGATTGTACGTATTGTTTGGCTCATCGCAGCATCGACAACATCTACAGCATCTACAACCATAGGCCTCTCGACACAACATGTAACATATACAGACACAGAAAGCAATGAAGATGACGCCTAATACACCAATGCAAATGTACAATGTTTCCTGGGACATCCTAATTGTTTTGACGGTCCTACTCCTGCGCTATACATCAGTTTCTGCTTCTGCGTAACTACGATCTTGATTTATGTTTATAATTCCAATATCATGTAATGGTCAGTGTTTCCTGTTGTGATAGAAGCAGGTTATAATATTTCAAGTATAGTTCACCAACTTCTGTGTGCTTCGCTATAGTTTTGAACAAGTGGGTCTTATATGCAGTTTTCTCTCCAGATTAACACATGCCACTTGCTCCTGTTTTGTCCGTCAACTTTATAGATCTTTCAGCTTTGAACTTTAATCAGGTAGCAGATTCACAGATCTCAGATTGTGTTTTAATCTAAGGCTGATCCGTAAACCACACTATTCCCAATACAATAAACAACGAAAGCCGTTAACACTTAAAGCTTTTCCCCGTCAATATTCCATAACTGTTATGGGAAATATAATCTTGAAATTATTCATCTATTTTTAATAATTGATTAGTTAACCCCACTGTGGTTCCTCCTTACATGGCTTTATTCTCGTGCATTCCTGAGTAATCTACAAGTGCATTCAGGTATAATCTGAAGTGCATTATTGACATTCAAATGTTCAAAATGCAATATTTCGTGTTTATCATTGAGCTGTGTTTCATTCCTGGTTTTGAATCCACTTCATATAAATCTGACAAATACTTGGTAATTAAAAATATAAGCCTACTTCAGTTTTGATCCTAACAAGCATTATCGATACTTCATATCTATACTCATAACATGAATAGTTGATATGATGAGTCACTCTCGATTACCTTATGTTATACTAACAAATACTTGTTAATTAAAAATATATCCATCATGTTAAAGGATTTCCTGGGTTGATCCGCTGACTGACTATCCGAGACATCGTTCAGATTTGCTTCCAATATTATATTGATCAGAGATGGGATTTCGTAGTCGACCCTTGCTGCCTTGACTGCAACTCTAGAGAATCCTTGAGTTTTTATGTATAAATCTTCCTGGCATCTTCATAATCTGGAATACACATAGAAATATTCAATATAATTGATGTTATGAATATAAATGGGGGCCTGGAGGTATGACATTGTAAGGGAAATATACAATATTATATGGGTGGATCTTACAAGATCAGCCTATAGCTATGAATGTCAGCTGAACAGTATATTAACAGGATATGGCTATATCAAGTACCGTTTTAAAAGATTTTCTGTCATTTTCAAGTAATTAGCTCAAAGATGGTTGATCTTGGTATCTCTTACATTGAAGTACATGCAGGAAAATCAATCCAAACCAATAAAACAAGCATTCAGTCAAGCAACCTTTCAAACTCTGGGTCATTATGACCCCTAATATTAATTGCTACTGTAATTAAAATGTCTGTTTTTCAAACATGTGTCAATTGGGAAATAAATCGAATCTATAGCATGCTTTGATTATGACTCAGGTTCATAAAACACTCAATTAATCGAGCAGGCTTTAGGCATGTATAAAAGGAGTTACCAGAGTTGATATAGATACAAGACCCGACCAACAAATACAAACACAGTGTAGCCATGGGCTCCAAGAGAAGGGCCATGATGTAATCCCATTATGATTTTTTCTTAATTTAATACAAAGTTCTTTGTTTACCTTCCGATTGTGAAATCTCCAAAACTGGTCAAATTAAAATATCCCAATCTTTCTGATTTCTTAAGTTTTAATGGTTTAGGCAAGTGATTTCCAGATAATTTACAATTTTCTGTTGGTGCAGCTGAGTAACATTTCATTTCAATATTGCAGAGAATCTATTGAATGATGTTCTTATGATCAAAAGATGAAAGTGCCTTTCAAGAGAAAATGTTTCTTTAAAAATTAACTGGCCTTGATCTATCTAAATACATTTTGTAAGAATCTCTTTTAGGTCACATCATCCATAAGCAAAGATTTTAGTGAAGAGGATCTGCCTTCATCTCAATAAATTGATTAAGTGAACGTCTACATTCCGATCAAATAGTTTTTTCAATGCATCCATTGTTTTCGTTATCTTGTAACTAAGATTATACCATGTTGTTCTATCAAGCCTGAGCTCACCTCAATAAAGAGAATGACCATGAGGATGATTCAACATGGGAGTCACTTTCACACAAGTGCAAAATCACAAGCCAAATCAATGAGAAATTAAGTAAATGTATGTGTATGTAGAGAATACTCTTAATTGTACAAAAATGCCAGAAAACCATGAATTTCATTAAATTTTTGAGAGCAAAAGCATTAAACAGACATGAATAAGAGAAAAAAATTAATTCAGGAGTTTCGGAACACATGGATGTCATAAATACAGTTTACAATGCATTTTGTATCAGGTTATTGCTATGCTCTCCGGAGAAATCTTACTTAAAAGTTTGTGACGTGACAATTCCATGTTGCAGTCACTCAGTACCTCGCAATCTTGTTTTGCTGCAAATTAGTACCTTGCAATTTAGTTTTTGTATTTTGCAATTAAGTATTTGTACCTTGTAATTTAGGATTTGTGCCTTGCAATTTAGTATTTGTACCTTGCAATTTAGTATTTGTATTTTGCAATTTAGTATTTGTACCTTGCAATTTAGTATTTGTACCTTGCAATTTAGTATTTGTGCAATTTAGAATTTGTACCTTGCAATTTAGTATTTATACCTAACAAATTAATATTTGTTACATTGTAGTATTCTATGATAACTGAAAGTCCCCTTTAGTTCCTTACTTATTGTAATTGAGGAAACAAAAGATACAAAGCCCTGAAGAGACGCAAGTAGCTTTACAATGTTAATGCACAATCTAACCTGACTTTCAGCAATTTACGTAATCTTCAGCAAACTGTCTCGTATTATTCTACAGCACATCACAGTTCCTAAGTAATTGTTGGCAGTTTAATACCTTGTTTTTTATGCTGTTTTTACAACAGTAATAAAAAAGAAATAAATGCAGGGAAAAATGTCAAGAGTGCCCATAAATGATTATAAAATGCAATAGAAAGTCATAAAATTAGCAAGAAATATTGTTTCATAGTTTAGTTTATAAATGTTAAGAAATGACTAGAAATGGGACGATTAATTCCAATACGGAAAAAAAGATACAAAATCAATGTGATGAGTGTGGCTTTTTGAACACGGAAATAATACCCATAGAGTTGCAGCACTCGAAGTACTTCAAAGCTATAAAGCAGATGAGATACGAGACTATTACGTTATTATCTCCTGATAAGGTCCATGTAATTTTCTCTCCTTTTGTTCACATCAGATCTCTCATTTGCTTCGTCAAATATAACCTCGAGATCCATTATCCCATCAAGATTTGTAGAATTCACGCCATAGTCAATGTTGATCTATCATGAAGTAATGTTAAAATCACATTTCAAGTCCATCTCAGAATATCATTGAAGGATTCAACTCTTTGCAATAATTTGATTTCACTTCTTCACACGAGAGCTTCGGCTATATAGCAAAACCTGTCTAATCTGAATGCCACTGGAATTGGCCAAAAGTGTTCAGATTAGCATTTGTTCACATTTCAAGGTTTATGTGAATCAATGGGAGATAACAATTCAGAGAAAAGTGTTCACATTGAGAAGTGTTCAGAGTCTTGAAGTGCCAGATATACAGGCTTACTGTACTCAGATTTTATCAGCATCGTAACTAAAATTGCATATTCAAGTCAGAGTGCGGTAATTAAGCCTAACCTCTTGATATCAGTAATAAATCCCTTTTGGAAAAGATCACAATTATTGTCAACTTCAAGTTCATGCCGCTTGAAATTGAGAGCAGTTTCGTGAAATATGAAAATACATTGTCTGATTATTAGTGCTCTGCATGTATTGCATTGTATTGTATTGTACTGTATTGTATTGTACATGTATTGTATTGTATGTACAGTGAAACCTGTATATCTGAACACCTCTCTAATCTAAACACCTCCCAATGTGAACACTTTTTCTCGGTCCACATTTAGTTATCTCCC